CCCGGAGGCTCGGTCCGTCCTTCAGGGCCCTGCTGTTTTGCTGTGGCGAAGGCGCCGTTTGTGAGCCTTGACGGCTGGAAGAGAGCTAGTTTTCTGGTAGGTTCAGAAGGCAACGTTAGGCACTGGGAGCCGTTGCCCGGAGGCTCGGTCCGTCCTTCAGGGCCCTGCTGTTTTGCTGTGGCGAAGGCGCCGTTTGTGAGCCTTGACGGCTGGAAGAGAGCTAGTTTTCTTGTAGGTTCTAGGTTCAGAAGGCAACGTTAGGCACTGGGAGCCGTTGCCCGGAGGGTCGGTCCGTCCTTCAGGGCCCTGCTGTTTTGCTGTGGCGAGGGCGCCGTTTGTGAGCCTTGACAGCTCGAAGAAAGCTAGTTTTCTTGCAGGTTCAGAAAGCAACGTTAGGCAGTGGGAGCCGTTGCCCGGAGGCTCGGTCCGTCCTTCAGGGCCCTGCTGTTTCGCTGTGGCGAGGGCGTCGTTTGTGAGCCTTGACGGCTGGAAGAGAGCTACAGCTATAGTTTTCTTGTAGGTTCAGAAAGCAACGTTAGGCACTGGGGGCCGTTGCCCGGAGGCTCGGTCCGTCCTTCAGGGCCCTGCTGTTTTGCTGTGGCGAGGGCGCCGTTTGTGAGCGTTGACAGCTGGAAGAGAACTAGTTTTCTTGCAGGTTAGGCAGTGGGAGCCGTTGCCCGGAGGGTTCCATCAACTATGCACGTGCCAGTGGTTGGTGGGACACTGCTTTCCGTTGGGAGTGCGATGAGTTACTTGAATTCGGCCGGAAGCTTTTGTTGAACGCACCACCGCGCTGCATGTCGGACACATGTGCGTATGCGTGCGACCTGCAAGCAAGCCATTTGCAACGCGAAATTCGTGGCCGCAACCATCACCTCGGCGGTGATCGATTTGTCCTGTTGCCACTTTGCTTTGCACAGATTTGGCGCAGTGTGGGCAGATGTATGTGTACAGTTGTGGCGTAACCGTGTCAGGCCCGACAGCAAGCTGCTGGTTCGATGAGTGGGCAGTGTCCGTTTTGGGAGCTTCTGCTCGCGTGGAAGTTTGTCTTGCTGTGTGTATTTCCTGAATTTCCTTGCGAACGTCCTCTAGGATTGCTGCGTGACGGTGGCGTCTTTCGCGTTGGCGCAAGCGGGCCAGGTAGACTTTGGGATTTGAAACAAGCCAAGCAATCATTGCTTTCTCTCCAGCCCCCCGCTCACCGCCCCAGGCAACAATTCCTGGGGTCGGCGGCAGGGGGCGTAGCCCCTTAATAATTATATTGGTTTTCATAAATTGTACTACTCCAATAACTATGGTTTATGGTACTTATAACTATAGTATTCATGGGGTTTATAAACCAACTAACATCACTGGGGGGCCCCACATTGTACCTTTGCTATCAGTGTTCAAAACAACCGCGTTTCGTCATCAACCATTGTAGTGGTTGAGGACGGGATTCCCAGTTGATGGATGATGACTTCCTCCCCAATATTTGCCCCCTCTACTCACCATATCTTACTGTACTCATGAAAACATCACATCCAACATCACATCCAATTACAATACTCCCACTATCTCCCAATGATTTTCCTGTCGTAGGTCTACCAACCATTGGAATTATCTCAATTCCCCACACCGCTTCTACAAACTCAAAATTCCGGGATCGTTCCGCAAACTTCCCAGACATTTTTAGCTGCAAAAAAAGGGCTTAAGGTAAATGTCCCAACATCAAACCATCAACCAATTGCATAGATGATTTTACCTAAGCATCAACCAACTAGTTGCGGAATGTTGGGGATGTCATCTCAATCTCCAACAGAGACTTTTTCAGATCTTCATCCCCCCAAATGATTCTGGGTAAATTATAATATTTCACTAACCTGAATTGTTGCGGCCATTTGGGGATGATTTCCCTAAAATAAACATGATTCCCAGTGAGGGAGAACAGTGAGGTCGTTAGAATTTACCCAGAAATGATCCATCCACCGGCGCAAAATGGGCCCCAAACATCACCCAAAAAAAGCCGCGCCGCACCGTTGCCCTCGTTGCGCAGCTCGGGGTCGGCGCCAGCGCGGAGCAAGGCGGCGGTGCAGAGGCGGAAGCCCTGCGCAAAAGGTGGAGTTTTGTTGCAGTTATAGCCCAAAAAGTCATAAACATCACTCATTTTTACTAGGATTTTACTAGGTCCTATCTCTTTTGGGGGTTACTATTATGTTGAAAATCATTTTTTTTGAGGTCTTCAGAAGTTTGTTGGTGGATTGAAGGTTTCTGATTATCTGTGTTTATGGAGAAATTGTGAGAGTTGTTCAAGGGTTTTTAGATGCTCTTGAACTTTGTGTACATGCATTTGAAGGTTTGTCTGAAAAGATGTAGGATATATTATGTTCAATAGTTCTTTGGGTCGTGTTAATCGATGTTTAAGCGCAGAATGCGGTGTTTCAGCAATAAAAAAGTAAATCTAACAGTAACAGCAACAACAATAATTCAACCGACAAAAACCGGGATTTATAATGATTTTTATAGATAATCATCGTGAGGATTCTACCGTTGGGGTAGAAGCGACAATGTCACATCAACTCCGCAGTGAAAAAATTGTGTCGAGGGCCAGTTGGAAATGGATAAACCAGTGGAAAAATCTACCTAACAAAAATGTTGAGCATCAGCAACAAACATGGCATAGCGGCATAGCTGTTGTGGATGTTGTACACCTTTGTTCTAATATTGATAGCTTCCAGGAAATCTAGCGTCTAGCCAGGCTGGAAAATCACCTTCGGATTCGCCAGCCATGATTCAAATTACCAGAGGGAAAGTCGTCTTTCTACATCGTCCGACCCATTATCTGGTGTCTATGTTACTTGGGGATGGTATAACCCCAAATTATTACTGGTAATTCCTTCCATTCATGATGAAACCAATGTTGAGCAATAACCGTTGTACAGTAGTAAACCAAGTGAAGTCACTACTAATCACTATTAATCATACTGTAAATCACTGGGGGATGGTATATCCTCGGATTGGCTGAAAACAATTCGGAATCAACGTCCCAGTCCCAATTCACAGATTCCCTAAGTGGATTCCCGGCAAAACCAAAAACATCAACAGAGTCCCAGGTACCCTCTCGTAATGACTGTTACATAGCTATTGAAAATATGGTGATTTAGTTCGTGGATTTACCCAGCTGGAAAATGGTGGATCTTTCCATAGTAATCACCATTTTCCCATGGTTTTCCCATCGTTTTTTTCCGTGAAATTCCGACCGGCCCATCCGCTGCATCGCTTCGACAAAAACGCGCCTTGGCTGCCGCATAGATCAGGGCCGTGTTCCCACTGTCATCACGGGCATCCAACAAATCCCTGGCGGAAACCGGACGGAAGCTATCTGGGGGTGTCCAGTTAACTGGGGGTGTCCACAACGGGTAGCAGAATAGCCCCCCCCAAAAAAAAGCCACTTTGATATAGGATAACTTAGGAAAATCTGATAAATACAGGATGCATGGCATGGGGTGCCTTTTTTTTTTGAGACAATATCAGGAAAAAACACATGCTCCGGCCTAAGCTTCTATCAGAAACGATGAGATAGTTCAATGCAGAAAATGATAAGCACATATCAGAAACTCTGAATCTAAGGGCCTTGGATTTTCAACTACCCAGTTGGAGTAGTGCATGTCAATGGTGGGTCGAGTTGTCTTCCTTGAAAGCGACATGGCCCTTCGACTTCCAGTAATTCTTGCATGGCCTTTTTTAAGATCGAAGTATTGACATCAACATGGGTCATTAAATGTCCCCATTGAACATCACCCAACCATTAGATATATGGTTTATAATGGCTACTATAAGGTGATGTCCAATATTCCCAAAATGGGACATTTACCAACCCCTGATCAAGCATCATCGGATTCCACCACTGGACGCATTGCTTTTGGGATCATCGGACATGATGAATTTAGCATCCTGACTTTTTGTGCTCAACCCATTCATGTTCCCGCAGACCACTTGGAACCAGCTCCTGTATCCCATATCCTCATTCTGCAGCAGCTCGCGAACAATTTGTGGGTACCTCTGCATCGCATGGGAAATCGGTGCTAGAAGTTCATGAGGTCAACCTAGCTTTACAACCAACGTGTTTAAGGTTTACATCTATTCTTTAAATGAATATAATTAATATGTGTATATATATATATATACACCCTCTGGTTATTTAACGTAGCCATGGAAGCCATCACCATTTTTAAGAACGGTAAACCATCTATTTCGATTAGGGCCATCTATACCATGGCTAACTGTAACACATAACCAGAGGGTACAACCAGAGGGTATTGATGATGTACATTTTTATAGTGATGTCCAAGTCTCCACCGCTTGATGGATGACTTTTCTATTCAAAAACCAAAGACTCTTTGATGTCCACACAGGAGGCCCCCCAGTTTTAGGCACTGGTGAAAAATTTACCCCATCTAATTGTAGATATATCTACCATAAATCCAAGCGTTAGCCCGGTGAAAAAACACCAACATAGTTACTCATGTTTTGAATGATCCGATTATAGAGGTGGAAACCATGTTGAGTTCCCAAAGGCTTACGTGATCATAACTTTCCTTCTGAAATTTTCCCAGATCAAACCCACCATCCACACATTTCAACGGCACACCCATCATGGGTAGAGAAGATCAACGCCTCGGGTGTTTGCTGTGGATGCCAGGAATCTTTGGGGATTCATGAAATAAGATCTGGGATAGAACGGTGAATTATTTGGAGGATTATTTGGAGGATATAATGAGGATATAATGAGGATATACCCTCTGGTAAAAAAAAAAAAACATAGACCCTAAAAAACGCCATTGTTTAGTTGAAACTAATCTTCCAACCCCTATCTGCCAGGGTCTATGTTAACTTACGGGAGGGCAATATCTACAGTGGATGGTTGGGAAATCCTGCACCAGTTGGTGACCATTGGTAACTGTGAAACACTGTGAAGATATGAACATAATATAAAATAATGGGACTATAGCAGGATAATCATGTATAAACCATCTACCAACTGGTGCAGGATTTCTTCCTTCCAACGTGGGTACATATGCATATATAGTATTGCATCTTATATATATATACATTTGGTTGATATCTATTTTATCTATTATACTGTATATCATACATCAAATATTCTGTTATTATACAATGTTATCATACATTACACATTATAGTATGTATATATATATATCACATATTGCATTACATATCATACTACATATAATTATATAATATTACATCTTATATACCATGAAGATATAATATATCATAAACATATATTAAAGTAGGATATGAAGTTGGGATAGTAAAAATTAGGATACAAAGAAAAAAGCTGGTTGGTCGTATGCTGGCTACCAACCTGGCCAATTGATAGCTGTAATGGCAGAAAAAATTGGCGCATGGCACATGGCTGTAGGTCAAAATGAGACCACCCCCAAATTGCGTGGATCACCATTCCACTAGTGTGGCAAACTGGTAAACTTAGTAATTAACAAATCATCCCCAATCTCACCAGAAAATTGATGGTATAAACCCTGCAAAATCCACCAGTGCACATTTTGTGAGTCTTCTCTGTGGTTCAACCCAATTTCATAAACCATCCATCCATCCCCAAATGGCTGCGACTTGCTTATGGGGATCATCATCCCTTTTTTTGCCTTGGAAATGGCACATGGCTTTGAAGCCACCAGTCGTGCCTAGTATAACCATCATGAGCAACCTGAATTTTGAGGTCCAGCAGAAGACTTCATCCTGGATGTGATCTTTTTGATGTGATAACTTGCCCCGGCCCCCCTTCTTCCGCTTCAGATTATGAGGCCCAGATCATTACCGTTGCTGAGGACATCCCGCTGCCACAAGCCGGTGGCAAAGCCCTGATCCGAATGGATTATCCTCATGCCCCCGCCATTTGTGGGGTACACGTCCAATATAAAACATACCCATATTATCCAAAAACCATCCTATATCCATTATTCCTTGGTAAACATCCTCAATTTTTCATGTAAAAATATTAAAACAATAACCATCTTATGTCAACCATCTTAATAAGCCCTATTTCAAAAAGACGTCACCGCGTTGTGTGCCTGTTATGAACGTCAACCAATTTGGGGAAACCGGGAAACCCCAGGCTTTCCGACCGCATCACCGTATTGCTGCACGTAGCTGTCGGCGTACCTGGAATCCAACGAAGCCACCCGGGACCTTTGGTTTTCGCCGTTAAAACGCCGGAATTTCAGGTCACAAAAAAACAAAAAGCGAAGAAAACTTTGGTGGTGCCCCAGTTCGTTAACTAAGTTGGTGAACATAACTCCAATTTCACTATGGTTTATGGCAGATATAACTATTTCATCTGGAATACAATAGATTGATCTGGGTAAACTACAAAAAGTTAATTCACCTGAATTGTTGCGGCCATAAAAGGGGATGATTTCCCGAATCCTAACCATGATTCCAGGGCTCGGGAGAACAGTGAGGTCGTTATAATTTACCCAGATTGATGGTTATTTTGGTGACATTTTTTTGGGCTGAAAAATGATGATCGTAGAATTCTCGTAGAAACAGTTTGTTTTATGGGCTGTGTTGTCCCACTAAAAAGGACTTGATCTTTTTGGGTCCAAAAATCAAACATCTGGGTACCCTGGTGAATATCCAGAAAATCAGTGATTTGGTACTGACCCAGCCCGTCTTGACCAGTCTGTGGTAAATTCTTAGCTACCAAGCTTCAGTAGACATCAGTAGACCCTGATGGTCCCTCTGTTTTTCATGGTCTACTGATGCTAGTTGGATAGTGTTATTGAATCTGGAATGTTCAATATATTTCAATATCATATAACATATAATATACCCTTTGGTTATTTGTTACATAGCCATGGAAAATATCACAATTTTTAAGAACGGTAAACCATCTATTTCTATGGGCCATCTATACCATATGGCTATGTAACAAATAACCAGAGGGTAACATATAATATATCATATAACAATATTTCACCTCTCTGAAAATTTCCATCTCCCAAAGAAATCCGCCAGTCGGGCACTGAGATACCTGACTTTGAGGTAACGTCACCTCCTGCCACGAGTTGCCAGGGGTCAAGGTTTCTGGGTCTACAATGTGGTGCCCCCCAGTAATGTTTGTTGGTTTATATATATATATAAACCCCATAAATACTATAGTTATATCAGGTATATCTACCATAAACCATAGTTATTATATCCATATCCCTATCCTACTATTGCATCTCCACATCGCCAACGTTTTTTGAAGTCGAAAAGTGGCCAGATCCAGCGACCCGAGGACTCAATCCATCGGTGACTCTGGGCAGTCTGATCACATGATTCAACCGGAAAAAAAATGATTGTATTAGATGCAGTGAGATAGTATTAACCTAACAGTTAATGGGATTATTAATGGGATAATTAACAATGGTATATTGAAAGTAACAGTAATAGTTAACTAATGGGATACCCTCTGGTTATTTGTTACATAGCCATGGTTAAGCCATGGCCCTAATCGAAATAGATGGCGAACAACTGGGTTTACCGTTCTTAGAAATGGTGATGGCTTCCATGGCGAACTGTTAGTCATAACCAGATGGTAGATGCAGTGAGCTGGTTTCAGACGTAATGTTAGAATGTCTTATGATCATGTAGTTTCCATGGGTTTTCTGAAAAAAAAACAGACCTATCATGTGCTTGGGAGACTCTGATTAGGCTTGCTTCCTAGGGAGGTGTTTCCTAGGGAGGGAAAAATGGATTGATTAAGAAATAACATTGCAACAATGTCCCCTAAAAGTGCATATCATTTATTCAGAAAGTCGCTTGGAGCGCGACCCTGTTTTTTTTAAATGGTTAAATTCAATCTCTGGTTGGTTTAACTGTCTATATATGTCTATAAATGCATCGTTCTTGATGGTAAAATCCTACATGGGAAAACAAAAAAAAAAAAAATTTTTTGAGGTTTCCTAAGTCATGGGGAAAACATGGGGAAAACCCAAAAAATCCTCCAAGTTCTTAGCCCCAAAATTCCATGGTGATGACCTTTCCGACCTCCACGTGCTGGCCGTTGTTCAGGAGCGGTGCTCCCCGGGAGGACCTCCCAAAAGATGGTAGGAATCCCGTGGACCACGGTAGGATATCATAGATGGAATTCCTAAATTGATATATTATCATGGAATTAAATATCTATTCCTAAACATAGTATAATTAAACATGGGATATCAATAGAATTATCAATGGAATATAAAATTAAACATGGGATATAAATTAAACATTGGAAATAAATACGGGATATAAATGGGATATATCGTACTAAATGGTGTGTGTGTGTGTGTGCATATATGGCGGATACAAAAGTGGATTGTTAATGGGGCAGATCAGCAGGAATATGATGGCGTGAAGGGGGATTATATCATTTGTCATTCATATCATTTGTAGAAGTTTTAACTATGAAAAACATGGGGATATAATTTATACATGATGGTTAGTTGATATTATGTACCACTTGATAGGGACAGAAAGGGGAATAGAACTTCAATGATAAATCCTTCTGAATGGTATAATCATCATCAAAATTGCATACGAATGGTATATTAGGTATATGATCATACTAGGATGGAGGTTGGATAATTCTAGCATCCTATTATGATCGCATATCATATGTGAAAAACCCCGCATATAGGCTCCCAAGCATCTCAATCCTGGAATTCTTGTTGATCTTCACCGGGTACTCTCCATAACTGCGCCATGAAATTTGTGACAATTCAAGGCCTTTCCATCTCAGTCATGGCTCACCTTTCGGTGGCAAGGAAGTGCTGGACTGAAAAAAAACACCATGTTTTGGCCCAAAAAATGAATAGATCCCATACTCAACCAAGGTTTCTAAGTGGTATGTCATTTTAGTTTTAGGTGGAAGGGATTCTTTAACCCTATCCCGTACCACGAAAGGAACCCAAGAAATGGGGCCTCTCATCTGAGGGCCCGGCCATCCGCCGAAAATCCAGGAGAGCCAGGAGAAGGGAGGAAAGGACCTAGGCCGCTGCTATCGGAGGTCCCCGAAGACCTGGAGGTTTCGGTTTCAGCCCAAACGGAATCCCCAGATTTTCAAAAGATTCTGAGGCACCTGACTCATGTGACATCTGTCAGCCTGTGGGTTTGTCTGAAATCCCAGTTGATTTTCATCTTCCCTAAAGCATGAAAATATTTCCGAGGGGGTTCGGACAAACCGACAAACCCCAGGCTTTAGAGCACAGTCAGTGGCACCCGAAAACTGGGACAAGCACAAGAAGTAGCCAAAGATATCAAAGACCTTGAGCGCGGCTGCTGCTTGCCATGGAAGACTCTGGAACTTGCGTGACTCAAGTGACGTGAAAGTGCCTGCGAGGTCGATTTTTGTTAGGGATGGCAGTGTCTGAAAATACGGGGCTACCCCAAAAAAATGCAAATGGTGATAGAGAAAGTGATGATTTAGCAATGGTTCTTGATGGTTTTTAGTATTTTCCCATCATGTTTTTAAAAACAAATGCATGAAACAGAGCTGCAAAGGCTTCATTCGTCACCCTTCCTGGCTCCCCTATATCTTCCAGGCTTTACTTGGTGATACTTGGTGCCAGGCTCTGGTGCCGGTCCCCAGTTCGATAGGTAAGTTGGTTTATGACTATACAATAACTATGATGAGGTTGTAAACCAACTTACATCTAGAAAACCCGAGATCAAAAGCTGCATTCAAGTGGGACTATCAACTATCTATGATTCTGAGCTGTTTGACTAGCACAGGCACCCAAAAACCTTTGGTTGTATTTGGTGGAAAGAGAAGACAGTGCTTTCAGAGCAACTCAAACCCGCAAGATACCTTTGTATCATGCTGGTGATGACTGCCTGGTGTACAAAGGCAACAAAAAAACATATCACATTAGATCACATTGATATTGTGCAATGTTCATCACCGAATTCTTGGGTAAGTTTGATCCATATCCAAAATTGCTGACAGCAACTCTCCGAGGTTCCTGAGGTTCCTCACAATGTAGAGTGGCCACATCAAATCCCACCTTTCGAGCAGATTCTGCGGTGAAAACTGCGGGTTTGTCTCGAAATGGGGCATCCCCCCAATTTATCGCCGCTCTGAAAAATGGGATATAGGAAAATGATGGAAAATGAAGATACATCTCTGCGATTTTAAGGTGGTTAGCTGAATTTGTGAGACATCCCCAACGAAAACAGGGAATTTTTGGTTTGCTTTTGACCAATCCTCACACTCTTTCAGCTACTCAGGAGCCCTTGGATGCCTTGGATATCCAGCTGAAAGTTAGATCAACAGAGGTTGGTGGATGGCAAATGTTCCATTCTTCCACCTTCTCCCCAAACAAGGCACCCCTTGGGTCCGGGTCCGAGTGATCCTGAGCGACCCAGACCCCATCAAGAGCCAACCCACCAGCCAAATCCCTGCAATGCCCATGGCGACCTGGCGGAGATCCCGGGGATCCCGGGGATCAACGTTTCAACGTCGACCAAGGGATGATGTTTTTGGAGAGCACCCCACATGACTTTGGAAACCGAAACCGCAATTTTTTTTTATGGGTAAGTTGACCCCTGATAAAGATTGGAATCATCAACTGGAACTGCGACCACATTGGAATGGAATGGTGATTTCATGGATATTACGATGCCATTGAAACTGGTCTGTTTTGGAAATTTGTTGGAATAATGTTAGTAAAGCAATAAATAACACCCCTTCCTTCAATTTTCGTGGTTATACAGCCAATTTTTGGCAAATTCGGAGATGTTTGACTAGTTCTTTGTTATAGAACATTAATAACATGAATTAATGGCCAAGAAAAGGGATACCATTGCTTTTCTATTTGCTGATACTAACACAAATGTTTATACGAACCAAGAAGTACCCTCTGGTAAACGTTTACATAACTATGGGAATGTTTAATGGGAAAATCCACTATAAATGGCCATTTTCAATAGCTATGTTAGTCATAACCAGAGGGTAAGCCCATTTCGCCGTCGTAGATCTTCCCCTCGGTGCTACGTACGGCCACCTTCTGCAGAAAATCTTTGTCGGCCGTCAGGCCAGACCTGGAGAAAGTTCGCCGCTGGGAACGTGGCAAACTTAAGATATGCCAGTATGGAATATACATGAATAAACTAAGGCAACATGTAGACAGAATATACATCATGTATACATGATGTGTATTTCATATTTCTATGTATATATATATAAATTCTATCATATATATATATATACGTATAATTTATTACGAATATTTATGAACACCCCAAATGTCGAGTCCTGTCACTTTTAAAGTCAACTGGCCATGGGGAGACATTGCTGTGCTGCACGTTCACCATTTCACCATCCCTTCAGGCCAACATGTTTCAACTTTCGATGGTGAATCTTAGATGTCAAATATACACCTTTGATTCACCATCTAGATTAAAATGGACACATCTTACATTTATCTATTGTTGTGCGAATTCATATATCTATTTGTTTGCGAACGAAAAAAATGTTACATCATTTTACCATGGATAGCAACATATGAAAGTGATTGAAAGTTGCTAAAGTATCGAGCAAAGCTTGACCCTTTGAGAACATTCAAGAGACTTTGAAAAAAAAACGGTGAAACTGCCTTGGCAGTTTGCTGGGACCCACCGCACCTCTTGCCCTTGGACTTGGCATCAGAACCATAGCCCTGTGCCGAAAAATCCGTGAACTTTTGAAGGGAGATGTCAGCCTGGTAAGCCTACCATTAGGAGCATCTTTGGAGGCAAAAGCCATGGATTCCTAGTGATGTCCATATCGATGTGAATTTTATTGAAGGGTCATGTGGTAAACCCAATAACGATTTATTGAGTTAAGTGATTTAAGTCCTGAAGATTGGGATAGAATGGGGCCTCAACGAACATGGAGATCATGGTGGATAGTCATGGGAGATAGGGTTTTTATTTTTTGGTTATTAGTGCTGGTACACCCACTAGTGGACATGTTTTCAGGATAATCAATGCATCATGAAGAGAACATCACAATGGAATACAATAGATAGATGTCTTAAACCCAATATCTGATCAACTGCCTATTTGGGGATGATTAGAAAACCACTGGACCATGTCTGGTAAAAGTACGGATGGCACCATTATTGGGTTCAACACATTATGGGGAAAACCATTGGCACTTTCGACAACATGTTGTTCTCAAAGTTTAGGCCTGGCGTTTTTACACCTTGCTTTGTAATTTACCGAGTAACTTGGCACAAAACTATGCTAGCCTAGGGTTTATAGATGGTGTATATGTAAAATGTATCATTTATAATATAATATTTTATAATATATTATATAATATATTATATTATATATAATAAGATATAATATTATATAATATAATATACAATATATAATACAATATCATATAATATAATATTTATTATATTATATTATATTATATTATATTATAATATGATATAATATGATATAATATGATATAATATATGACATATGAATAGATATGATATCAGACATCGGAGTTGGATGGCTTTATAAACCAACAAAAATACCTCTAAAACCAACGCCTCGAAGGGTTGGATGATGGGCCGACCACCCGAACCTCGCAGAGCGTGGCGTGGGCTCTGCAAATGATGATTGAGAAGTGGAAGGGGGAAGCCGATTGTCAAACATATTGGGTATGGATCAATACCTATTAATACCATTTTTAGGGGAATGAACATCCAGAACTACCAGCTATTTTGATGTGAACTACAGGGGTACAAGGTTTTGACACACTGCCATATGATTTCTTCACCATCCCTGTTTCCAAATGGCTCCATTTGGAGTGTTTATGGATCTTTATGGCAAGATCATGTGGTTAAACCACTGTTTTTACCCCTCCGTTTGAAGTGTTTACAGAGACCTCCAAATGCCCTAAAGTGGGCGTGATGTACTGCTTTACCACAAAATTCAATCGGTGCGGTGCAAAACTTTGGTTGGTCGGTGGGAAAATCACAGTAAGTACAGTACATACACAGTATTCACATCTGGTAAACTAACATAACTATGGAAAATCACCATTTATAGTGGATTTTCCCATGAAAAATGGTGGATCTTTCCAAAGTTATGTAAACGTTTACCAGAGGGTATTCACATCTGGTCATCTTAAGTAGCCTCTGGTCATCATGGCTACTAAAAGGGTCGGAACCATCACCCATGGCTAGTTCGATTCGATTATCCCATGGCCGCCATGGCCTGTTGCCAGATGCATTGAACGGATATTTTGGGATCGGGGGATGGCAACCCAGCGGCCATGATGACACCGGAGGGTGTCAGTTTCTGATCAAAAAAACAGAACTATGGGCACGAAACACACCATCAGTGTTCCTGAAAAAGATCTAAGATATTCAAAGATTATGTTCAGCACGGATAGCTTAACACATGGAGAAAATCTGCGGCAAAACCAGTCCTATCCAGTCCTAGCTCGAACTTGGTTGGGATTTTGAACACACAAAACATCTGCGGATAAAAACGTTGCAATGGCAAACGCACCAAGTACTTGAATTCTGTGTCTCCTTGGTGGGAAACCAACCCAACATGTTCAAGTCAACGGGGATCGTCATCCCATATGATCAGATCATCATTGGTTTCCCTCTGGTAAACGTTTACATAGCTATAGAAAATCACCATTTTGAGTAGGTAAATCAACTATAAATGGGCCATGTTCAATAGCTATGTAAGAAATTACCAGAGGGATCCAGAGGGTACATACCCATAAAATATACACAGGTTAGATCATTGAATCCATATTATTTTTCTTTGTCGTGTTTCTTCTCCAGAAAGAATCTGACCAGTTAAGTTTGTTGGTCCAGCTTCTGCAGTGCTAAACGTTTGGTCGCTATCGTCGGATTAGAAATGCCAAAACAGGCACAAAGCAAGGCCCCGGTTCGTTGGCTAAGTAGGTTTATAACAAGCAGGTTAACTAGGGTGTATGGTTAATAATAACATATTACAACTATGGTTAGATTAGCAATCAAACAACGAACACAACTATATAGGAGGGCACCTCCTTGAATGCCCAAACAAGCACCACTCTGACTAGGATTAAGGCTCAGTTAATTGACGCCTAAACATTGAGTTGACGAGTTGACACCTTGGCCAGATCTCAACTGGTTGTCCAGAAATCAGTCAGACACTTGAATGGCAAAATCCAAAATGCCAGTGTCACAGAAGAAAACATCATCATCATCATCATCATCGTCATCATCATCCAACTCCCAATCCCAATCCCAATCATATCCTCCAAAGAACTAGTTAGCTGATTCAGCGGGATTCAGATTCGGAATATTCAGAATGGCTGATGCGGAATCACGCCCTCGCCTGCCATTGAGATGGTCTTTCCATAGCTGTTTCCTCCTCCTCCATCGGGCGACGAAAAGGGCCCCTTGTGGCCACGAAAAAACATGGGAAAATCTACCGTGATCTACCCAAGAAAAAACGTATGATCTCTGGGATGGCTGATTTATCATAGCTACCCTCTGGTAAACGTTTACATAACTTTGGAAAATCACCATTTTTAATAGGAAAATCCACTATAAATGGCCATTTTCAATCGCTATGTTTGTTTTACCAGAGGGTAAGTTGATTTATAACTTGGTTAACTAGGATGTATGGGGGATTTACAGTAAATTACAGTAACATACAGTAAGTATACTTAATGGGGCTATAAACCAACTTAGAATTACGGGGACTTAGCTTGTACCAATTCCAAAGGATTATCATCATGTCGTCGAAATAGCAGGGAAATGGTTCAATATGATTCGATAATATTCGATATCTCGTTCTGGACCCAAATAGAAAAATAGGTGTTTCTTGGAAATCATGAGGAACATATCAATCTAGAATATCCCGGAAAAAAATGAAAAACATATCTTTCTTAGGACCCTATATGTTAATAGCATTTTTGGACACCCAAAGCAGAAGACTCTTGCTGCCCATGCACTAGCCGCAATCTTCTCATACTACTGGGATTTCTTAGGGTGGTATTGGAAGCTCATTGCGGGTTCCATCATTGTTTTCGACATCTATCAATGTATGGTTTACTCATATTGCTGGGTATGTGCCTCCTAAGGATGGTGTGTGACAGTTTGTGACCATCAGGTACCGTAGGCAACCGCCCACAACTGGGTACCTGAAATTAAGACACCAAATCTGTGGTTCCCTCTCTAAGTTTGACCCGCAATAAACCATTGGGGAAGCTTTGGGGCAGGTCATTTGTTGTTTAAATCACAACAGGAGCAGCATTTTGGAAGTTTCTTGTCAGTGGACCTCAACGAATCAGAGTTCTACTCATTCCCGTTGCGAACAGAACAGCCGGAGAAACATCGCTGGCCTCTTTTGTGCCTCCGAATTGAAAGAACCTGGTTTATTTGAAACTTCAGTTGGGGTACCCTCCGGTTATGAACGGCGCTTTGAAAAATATTCACAATCAGCAAATCCAAGAGAAACAGATGGAAAAATTGATGAACATGATAGATGTTTGCGATTCTTTCTGTATAATATATCATGTACAAAAATTATGGTAAATACCTCTAAAACAGGGTTGACTCCCAACATCCCCGGTACGGGTAGGTGGTAAATGTGTCCCCCCTTCGCTCTCATGTAAGAGGTTGGCGCTATCCTGTGGATGGCAGAAGTCCGAGACCACCACCGAAAGGATGGTTGAAAGCCTATAAATCATGGGTTAAACTGTTCAACAACCTATCAACTGGTGCAGGATTTCGCAACCATCCACTACGTGTCTTCCAAATTTGGTTGCTGGTGCAATGACCATCTTGAAAAATATGAGTTCGTCAATGGGAAGGATGACATCCCATATATGAAATGGAAAATAACATTCATGGTTGAAACCACCAACCAGAAATCATCTACAAAACACACGGACTTTCCATCCAGCTTTGACCAAAATCCGCTCGCAGCTAGTCTCCTTCGATGTCCGGGGGGCCTGGGACCTGGGCGATACGCAGGGCAGCAAGAGATTTCTCATTGAAAACGATGGCATTTATGAAATTGCGAAGAATACCATCAGGGTAAAGCAATCTGCTACTGAAATACCCTCTGGTAATTTAACATAGCTATAGAATGCTATAGAAAATCGCTATTTTTAATAGGTAAACCATCTATAAATGGGCCATTTTCCATAGCTATGTTAGTTTACCAGAGGGTATAATTTGCAAACCAGGAATATGAATCTTAAGATATCCACCATAACAATGATCTCTCTTGCGAAATGTAAGCATCTTTCCAAAGGATTAAAAGATATTAAAAGGGCTGATTTTGGGACGGGGTCTTCAAAGAGTCGCGAACTCTTCCCTGGGTATTCCGACATAACTTCGACAATTTTACAAAGGTTGACCTTGATCCGCATCTTTAGCATGCTGATGTATGTTGTCATCCAAATTCCTGCATTATTACTGCATTATAATTGTTGGTTATCACATCTTGTCACCTCAGCGAAACAATTTGCATGGATTTCTCATGATTTCTCGAAGCGTTTCTGGTGGGAATGCCCTGATTCCAATAAATACCCTCTGGTAAACTAACATAGCAATGGAAAGATCCACCATTTTTACTGGGAAAATCCACTATAAAGAGCCATTTTCAATAGCTATGTAAGAAATTACCAGAGGGTAATTCACTGATGTGAAGCCATGGAACCCGAATCCCGCTTGCCCCCTTTGTTGATACCTGGAACCCGAATCAACATGGATTACTATATCAATGGTTTTTTTAGTCATGTTGGTATATTTTGGTAGGCTTCAGATTCCAATAAATTCCCAACCTTGCCACATAATGTCAGCTGATTAACAAACTCTATGATTCGGGTGAGTACCCTCTGGTAATTTAACATAGCTATTGAAAATGACCCATTTATAGTTGTTTTACCCATTAATAATGGTGATTTTCCATAGCTATTTTAAATTACCAGAGGGTAGCCCCTTTTTTCTACATCAAATTACTGCCAGGAAATCCCCATTTAGCTATCTATAGCTCCATACATTTAGAAAACCAAGATTTACCCTCTGGTTATGACTAACAGTTCGCCATGGAAAGATCCACCATTTTTAAGTTCGGTAAACCCAGTTGTTCACCATCTATTTCGATTAGGGCCATCTATACCATGGCTATGTTAGTCATAACCAGAGGGTACCAAAAAAATACCCTCTGGTAAACTAACATAACTATGGAAAATCACCATTTTTAATGGGAAAATCCACTATAAATGGTCATTTTCAATAGCTATGTTAGTTTACCAGAGGGTATCTCTGTCAAATGTGGCTTTTTCACAAACAAACAGCACCATTTGTCGCATCTGGTCACCACGGTCACCACGTCCTGAGTTTTCGACCACCTCTGGCGCGGTATGACGCGGTCGCATTTCGTGACGCCGGTCGGAGATGGGTGCAGTTCAAAGTTGCTGATTTTTCATCGACCGAGCCAAAAAAACGTTGGATTTCCAAGAGTTTTTGTTGGAGTTTTTGTTGCAATTCGACGTCTTGAATGATCTTGAATGATCTTGACATATCATGACATATCTTGATTCAGCACCGCTGTTCTGTGGATTTTTCTGTATGAGCCCGACCTGAGATGAAAGAAATGCAAGGGAAAATCATGAAAACCTAGTGCAACCTCTGAGTCTTCACATTTCAGCACTCTAAGTGCACCAGGGAGCAAGTGGTGGCTGAACGCCTAAGAATCTACAAAACTTGAGCAAATGGAAAGTCGGCACCATCTGTGTTCAATGAACTGGCATTCAGGCAGTCTGAACCTTATGAACCTATCTGATGGTTTTTCTGGGCATTCCAAAATTTCCCAAACGAAATTCGTATTGAAAAGTCAACTGTTGGATTATCATCCTAAATCAGAGGGGGAGAATAAAACATAGTGGTTTACCCTCTGGTTATGACTAACATAGCTATTGAAAATGTTGATTTATAGTGGATTTCTCCATTGAACATGGTGATTCTTCCATAGTTATGTAAACGTTTACCAGAGGGTACGTCAAAATCGCTTGATGATCATCTTTGGGTGTGTAAACAATGAGCTGTGTCCGATGGGGATGTCCCGCGGATGAAAAAAAAATTCTTTTGAGGGACAAGGATTCGATGAATCAGTGAATTTGATGTTTGTTACATTTGGCTGCCCCATTTTTGGACTCCCCCAAAAATGACATTTCTTAGACATTTCGAGCAAGAAAATCCGGAAAAGTCGACAAAGTTGGGGCCATCCACTGCCGATTTTGAGGCACCTAAAAATCACTGGAGCACCCATCACCCCACGATAATCCTAGTTCTGGTTTCTGGGGCTCAACAGTCTCAAACTGGGATGATCCTCCAAGTAGTTCTACGGAGGTCCTTTTTTTGTTTGGGAGAATGTTGAAGAAAACACCTAATATCAACCCTGGATTAATAAACCGCTAGGCATCCCTAGGCTGTTTAATTGGGAGGGTACCATTTATGTACCATATTGTGACTATAGCCACTATAGCCATGGAAAGATCCACCATGCTATTAAGTTCGGTAAACCATCTATTTCTATGGGCCATCTATACCATGGCGAACTGTAACAAATAACCAGAGGGTAAATGAGAACACATTCAGAAAATGATCGTCACCTTGTTCAGCGGTCATGACTGTCATCATTGACTCACTGACTCACCAACCTGTCGAAAACAAATCAGAATCATGAGAATATCGAGAAAGGAACACATATTGAATGATTTTGGCATGATTATTGGCATGATATTGGCATGAAAAATGTGATTTCATCGCCCTGTTTTTGCCATGGCCTCTGGGTGCTGTTTAGGGGCATAGGGGCATGGCTCTTGAAAGGTTGGTCACAAAAAGGAGCCTCAATCTCAGCCAGTAGACTCGTAGACAGTTGTGGTTGGTTCTGTTGCAAATATAGAAGCACCTCCATTTTCAGCGGTTGGATGTTTGCAGTTGCCACGACCTATTCTCCCTGGACTCCATTGAAAACAGCGTCCGCTCCACGATTTGTCAACTGTTTATCCACGTTTTTTGGGGGAGTTGATCACAAACATCGGTTGATCTAGATACTCTAATCCCATTCCTCTAATATTATATTAAACACACCCTAAATGGCTCCATATATAATTATATATATATATATGTAATTATATATATATATGTAAATCCCCTCCTAAACCATGGTTTCTGGGGCATGTTTAGTAGAAGGGGGATGGGATTAGTCTTATAGCTACCAGATGCCAAGGGGGGGTCTATCGGAGGGAAATAAACATCCCTTGAAAAGCAAACAAGGTCCTTTCGTCCTAGCACGTAAAAATTAAGGTCGAGCACAGTCATGGCATGTAGAATAGTATATATAACAATATATACGTATATATAATCATAATAGTGACAATAATGATGATAAAGATAATGACATTACAATAATAATGTTGATAAATAGATAATCATATACGACTCAGCCAAAATACATGAATCCTGGGAATTCCAGGATCGACATTAGCAATCATGTTCAATCATCTTGTCAAATAACGGGCAGCAAACAGTTTGTAACGATTTTAATGAGTGTTTTTACCAACACAAAAAACAAAAAAAAACTCACAGCGAGATTCACCACACCGTGACACCGATGATGGGGTCCCCCTTTTTCAGCTGCGGCTTGCTTCGGATCTGAGATCCTGAGACTGGGTTTTCTTGTTTCTATGCTGGTTGCATCTCCAAAAAAATGTCTCCAAACATGGCCCCAAAAATGGTTTCATCATGTTTCATCAACTAATGGCTACATCGATTTTCAAAATCTGTAGATGTGAGTCCCCGAATTCATCCCCTTGTATTAAACATTCAGAAAGGTGATGTATGGTTCATCTCTATTGATGGGTGCCCATCTGCCGGGTTGGCACTCGGCGCACCCGGAACGCGCACTCGCTGCGAGGTGGCCGACAATCGTGTTTGGGAGTCATCACCAAACTTGTGATATCCACTCGAATCTGTATATACATATCATATATATATATATTATAGCATATATATATATTATAGCATATATATATAGCATACATATATATAGCATATATATATAGCATATATACTGGAACTGATGGGATCTGACGAATGTAAGGAAGTGTTAGGCCAGGGAAAACTACAGGACTGACCAGGTGCTGTTGCATTTTGGGTGTGTCCGAATTTTGACAATCCTGGTTTTTTTCGAAACCTGGAATAATCTCATCCCCCAATATTCAAAACCCGCTAATTGTCCCTAATATGTGTAAAGCCGCTAAACCATGGTTGCTGGCAAGTGTTTTATGTTTAACATTGCGGGGAGATTCTGCATGCTCCAGTGACTCCAGTGTTCAGAAATCCAAGCATATCCTAAGGATTCCGCTACAGTAAACCTGGTTGGTGGTATACCTACCCCTCTGCAAAAATATGACTTCGTCAGTTGGGATGATGAAAATCCCAATATATGGAAAAATAAAATACCCCATGTATGTTCCAAACCACCAACCAGAAACTAAATATCAAACAAGGAGTGAACCCAAACATCATCTAACGGCCGTGTCCAACGCTGGACGCTCGCGATGGTTTTTGTCCGCTCCGGCTTGCCGAAGGGATCCGAAGGGATCCGAAGGGATCCGAAGGGCCAGGGCTCAACTGCGTCCAACTAAGACCTCAGGCTCAACACATCGAGATACCATCCGGGATGCCTGGGGATATCGGATATATCATATATATATAATTTATGAAGCCCATAATATGTAGGTACTGGTATGTATGTATTATATTATATTGTATTATTCTATATAGCCACCATTAAATTGTGTCTATGTGCTTTAAAATGCTTCAAAGATCATCAAAAAACGTTGGGTATCGTTGCTGTCATGGCTACCTGCAGGACCCGCAAAAGGCCAGTCATTTTTGTAAGTCTTTGTTGGAAATGTGTGTACTTCATTGATGAGTATATTTATATATGGAGTAATGAATTTTGGGAGTATCCAGTTAAGTTCAGAGATCTACTCCATAGTAGCATCATTTTTTTGGATAGTAAAGTTATTGTCCACTACTTTAGTAGGATTTTACGTTCCTATCTGGGGATAAAAAATCTATATACTCCATTTGGAGGGGACGTGTCATTTCGTGTCATTTCTATCTCAGCTCGCAGATCGCTGATGACGAGATGGATCGTAAGGATGTTTTTGAAATCAAAATTGGGAGGGAAAATGCAAATCTTTCAGAATGTCAAAAGTATCTAACATATCCAAAATCTACGGGTTGAAATTGCGTCTTGAATTTGGATAACAAGTTTGAGGTCACCCTGCTGTGAGGGATTGCTTGTTTTTCCTTTCTGTTTACATACTGAGAGTAGTGGTTGTTGGACTTGGATGAGATAACTTGCACCACCTTGCACCTTTTTATCTACCAACATGCTTTTTTTTGGTGAATCATCCATAAGTGGGTCATTTTCCCTAGCAAACTGTTACAGTCACCAGAGGCGAAGTTGGTGTGCCGATCCTCATATGTTCCATGACAGCCGATGGGTAGCAACTGCCAGCAACAAAGAAGGATAAAATTGGAACAATGTTATGATCAAACAATATACCCTCTGGATATTTAACATAGCCATGGTATAGATGGCCCATAGAAATAGATGGTTTACCGTTCTTAAAAATGGTGGATCTTTCCATGGCTATATTAGTCATAACCAGAGGGTAAAACCAAATAAAAGCCAAAGAAATTGGGGGATTTCACTATATTTCACTTCCCGGAACCCCACTGTCCCTGATTGTCCCTGGGTCCCCAGGCCCAGCCCTTGCTTTCTGCTAATCTGTGACATAAGGCCTATGGCGACCAAACAGAGAGTACTTGCGATCAAACTACACTCTCTGGGAATCAAACATGGCAATTCAAAATCGGAAATGGGGGTTAAATGGGTCAAGCCGTTTTCAAGCCATGTTTGATTACCAGAGGGTATATCAAACAACTGTTAAAATTGTTGATTATTGAGAAAGACCGTACCCTCTGGTAATTTGACATAGCTGGTGAAAATGGCTATAGAAATAGTTGATTTACCGAACTCAAAAATGGTGGATCTTTCCACTTCGCAAAGTGTTAAACGTTTACCAGGGTGCAGTTTTCGATTGTTCCACGGACCACCTGGCCACAGTGCAATCCTTTCCCACTGTGGGTAAAACAATTTCATATCCCGCAGGAAAATCACCATTTTTATAGGTGGTATGGTTACCATTCCCAGGAAAATGGGTGGTAAACATGGCATTGTTTTAACCACATTACATTTCATACATAATACTATATACTTTACAATATTGAATACCCACCAGAAGCCTTTATTTGGTAATGTTCGGGGGACGAGATTCGATTCAAACCTCCGTTGTGACTTTGATACTCTCCTCTGGTAATCAGTGGGAATGGAAAATTGCTGAGTTCAGCAAGAAAATCATCTGCACTTTTTCCCACGTTCCATTACTATCCTCCCTGCAAAAATAGATACAAGTAGTTTAATCTCAACATGAGCCATTTTGTGGGCTGGACTCATACCCAGTTTGATGATTACAGCAGCATCTGGGTGAATAAGTTATAGCTCCTTACAACTGGGTCGTGTTGTAATAATATATGGGTTAGGTTAGATTCACAAAGGGATGTAGATTTATGACGGCCCACGCCTCCACGTCTGTGGCTGGCTGGATATCATCCATGCGGCATTGAATGCCCCGCCTGTGCAGGTCTCGAGGCACTCATGTTATCACAAGGGTTGGTAGATGTCCGAATAAATTTCACAACAGATACATACAGAAATATATTGGGAATCTGAAATATATCTGAAATGTCCGAATAATTTATTTACGATTTTTTGTTGGCAATCTGAAATATATCTGAATTATAATCCCCCAAAATAAGGACAGAAAACCGACCCTTGTTGTGGATACCAAGGGAGTCATCCAGGTGCAAAGAAGTGCTCTTTTTTTGCTAGGTACGAAAGGGATTCGTATTGATGTTCAATTAAGGCTGTGGGAAAAGTATTCAAAAGTAACAGCCCAAGAATGTGCCTTGTGATGGTATGTTTTTATCCACAAAGTCCTGTAGAGTTGACACTAGTGCGCCATCACGATTGACTCCTTCCTGCCATGCACCGTCTAGAACGGGCATGGATAGTTGAATTAATTAGATTAATTGAGCTGACTTAGATGGACAGAATTGGAATAGAATTGGGCCCTCTACCAGCAATGGTACAATATAATGTACAATGTACTACCCTCTGGTAATTCTATGGAATTTTCACCATGTTTAATGGATAATTCAAAAAATAAAGGGCCATGTTCATCCATTTTCCATAGCTTTTTGTAAACGTTTACCAGAGGCTAACTCAACTGACTGGGTGCAAAATCATCCCAAATTTTGGGGATCAGCATCCCCTTATATTTTTCCCAAGGGAAATCCCCACGGGTCCCCGCGCCAGAGTGGATGTCGACCTGGCAACTGGAGAAAATCCACCACGCAACTGGATTGATTCCCCAAAACAAAACACTGGGACCAGGAGGTTCCACTTTTTTTCGCAAAGCCGGCTTTTTTTGGAACTGGAAATTTTCAAATCCTGCTCAAAAATTGGGAGAGTCTGACAGTGCTTCGCCTGGGGATGATCCTGTGGACTTCGGATGAGTTTGCAAAATTCCAAAAACGAAGAGTTTCCGATTTCCCTTACACCTATCATCCAATCATCAATCAATCATTAATCTATGATTTCCCCAATCATCACCAATCTATGATTGATGTTTGGTAACCTGGGGGAACCCTGGTGCCTGTGCTGGCCACCCACCTCTCAACTGCTTTTCGCTCAAAAACCTGAGCGAAATTCGACATGGGAAATGCTGAAGTAATGCTGAAGTAAATTGACCCGGTGTCTACCACCCCAAAAAATATTGGCCCTATCGGCCCCATCAGGATTCAAGAAACTCTCCTAGAAGTGACACCCACCAAATCATTCTCATTGAAAGCTTATGAAGCACCAGCAACCATCTTTTGGATTCTTTTTTTTCCGGTGGAAATCCTCATATCTATCCTCTAGGCAGCCATGGCTGGGAGGTCCACCAAAACATGACATGGACACTCATGCCATTTCCATGCTCGAGAATTGTTTGAAAAAAAAACAGCTTTGAAACCACCAATTAGCAATGCGCAAATTAAGTGGCTTAAAGGGGAAACATATGGAAAAATCCTCCATGGCTCTTGCCAGGTTGGATAGCTGAAAAATCTGAGAAGGGAAGGATGAAGTTGGGGGATTCTGAGATGATATTTAAAGATTGCAGATTTCAAGCTCCATTTCTTCATGTCGAAAAATATGTTTCAATCCCTATTTTTCATCCAAAAAAATCTGCTTCAATATGTGCTAAACGGTGCTAAACGTAGAGAAATTTCGGGAATGATCCACTGGCTAACTATCAAGCAGATCATCCCAGCAACCCCCAGCAACCCGTCCATTCCCTACGTAAAACGCACCAGTAAGTCTGCGATCTTTGGACCATCCCAAAAGCACAATGAGTCAAGAGGCCGAGCCCTGCAGCACGGAGGGTTTCACAAAGAACTGACCGGTGATGGGGCAGAGTCTCGGCCGATGGTGCAGGATGGTGCAGGTATCGTGGGGCTTTTTTCGCCAGCTCGAAGCAAAATGGAATCTGATCTGACAATTACAGTAATCATCAGTAATAATCGCTGGTATTAATTAATACTATGTACAATATATACGTGTAGATATATATATATATAATATCCTATTAGTTGATCTATCTAACTGACTATGTCCCAATAGATCTAAGATGATCTAGCAATTACAGTACAGGATCTTTGTCCCAATAGAATAGGATGATCTAACAATAGAATCTAACATGATCGACCATGATCTAAGTTGATCTACAGGATAGATGTCCCCAAATAATTCTTAGATCATGGTATAGTAATTGATGAAATAATTGTTCTGTATTACCACTAACGGTACAGGATATTTGCCCATTTGACCGATGCCATTTAAATGGTTGTTTTCATAGTTGTTGTTTTTCTGGGTATCCGTCAAAACCACCCAGCAACTGTCCCTTCAAGCGACTGAATTTACAGAATTTGTCTGTTGAAACTATTGCTCCAGGGAAGCCTACATTGTTCCCAAGATAGAACAGTAAATCGGAATCAAAATGAGTTTCAATATCCCACTCATCAGAGTCAAAACTCGCTTTCGTTTGGCGATGGCTTTTGACAATGGGGTTACAGGTTTTTATACAGGAGATCTAATACACGTTTTTCATGGTGTGTCAGTGTTCAAGGGGTCTGCAAAACCAGATTTCAGTACCAAAAACAAGTTTTTGTCTGGGTTTTGATTTCAAAACCCTGACTCTGGTCTCGCAACCAACTTTTTTCGGGGATGTGGAAGCCAAAAATATAGTATATAAATTACACATATAATAATACCTCCACCATATTATCATTTTTTTGTATTTGTTGTTCTTTTTTGTAACTTGTTGGGAAACCATTCAAAACACCCACGGAAACTTCAAGAAAACTTCAAGTCCACCGTCACCATTGGACAATGCTCGAAACGCCACCGCCCATTTAAGTGATTTTTGTGCCCCTCATGCTCCACTCACAGGTGAAACATCTGTGTAGGCTAGTTCGAATAGGTGTTTTTGTGCTTATGATGGGCACAGATCAGCTACACCATAATTTCATAATTCTGTAAAGTTGATTAAGCTTGTAAAGTTGACATGAAAATGCCATGAAAACTAATATTTATACAGTTTGATAGTTTGATAGTCGCCAATGGAAATTTGCGAAACCTCTACGCCGCACTGGGATCGCATCACTCCGTTGGGGTCGAAATTCCATGTACCCAAAAGACGTCATCGAAGTGAAGGCAGAACATCTTCCGGTTGTGAGATCAGTAACCAAGTCCAAGTCATCATTGTACAAAATCACCCTTGTTACTCATGTCAGAGCGAACTGGAAGGCTAATAATTACATTAAATGCAATGAAAACATATTGGAATTCATGAGAACTAGCTTGATTCATTCATGGACATTTACCTGTTCGATGTTAGGGATCACCCGCTGTACAACGTCACGACTGGGAAGAATGTCGGTCACACAGAACCGAAGAAGTTCAGAAAGCTGCGTTGCCTCAATTGCCAGGGTCAGAAAGGGGTTCTATCAATGGTTGGCCCAAAAACCAACCATTCGAATGGGTGGTGATACGTGGGACCAACAGATGGGACCAAATATGACAAATTTGGGCCAAAAAGACATGTAATATTTGATATGCATCATTTTCGGTGTAGTTCTTTAGGGGCCTGGGTCCACAAAAAATGGTCAAACGACTTTCAGAATATCTGGATGTAACCAGCAACCCTGACTGACACGGGGATAATCTTTCCGTTTGTCCATCCCTTTAGTACAACTCTCCACGTCTAAGCAGTGCAGCAGTTCACCTATTAGTGAAACTGTTTGAGCCATAGGCGGACTCGAAAAACCTCATGTGTTGTGAAAATTCTCTTTCGATTTTTGTTGAGCCAAAATTATTCAAAATTATCCAAACAAATTGTTCACAATTATCTATTTTTTTCTCACGTTCGTCCAAAATTATTCAAAATTCTTAAGCCACGCAGGCCGCCTCCCAATTCTTGAGGCAACGACATGCTCGCCACATCCACTGCTTCAGTGAGCCAATTGACTTGTACCACCTCACTTGTGCCCATCGATCCCATCGATTGAACACCAATGTCATTTTTTTCCCCAGATCCAACTTTTAATCGCTGATTTATAAGGAAATGACATAAAGTATGAAAAATATTGAAGGTATGAATTCCATGTAGTTCCCCATCAATTACAAGGACACCTTTCAACTTTACCATTTTTTATGGGACTGTAAATTTAACATGTTTTAGGTTTATCACGGTCTTACGTTTATACTCTCAACCTTAGCAAGGCTTGTTGTGTTGTTATTGGGTTAAACATGGTTAAACAAATATTCTTACGCTGTCTGACTGGCACCAGCCATCGTGGCATCGTCGCACCTTGCGCTTGTCACGCGCATTGAAATCTAGAACGATCTCAAACTCGGCGCCTTCCTGGCTGAACTTCAGGTACAAAAGGTTTGGGACATGAAACCATCCTGTACTTGGGGTTGCAATGTTGGTTATAAATGAGGGGCTAATATGGGTTAATAATGTCAATAGAACCATGACTTCACCTCCATAAATTTGGATATCAGCCCTTGTTTGTTATGGTGAAATAGATATCCAGCCATAGTGCCATAGTGCACTGGAATTACTGGAACTGCAGAAACTAAACTCCCATTGGGCCTTCAGGCAGGTGAGCAGGAAATCTCGATCATCCTCAACCCGACCAGGTCCTGCGTTGCAAAGGCGCAACGTATCTATGCATGATACGCATCGTTCGTAATACATTTACAATGTCTACATTTGACTATACATTACAAATCATACGAATATACATATGTATACTGGAAACATGTGTATAATTGTATATTTACAAAATATGTACTGTTTAATTGTATAATTCTATATACGTGTATGCTTGTATACACTGTGATATTGGCAAAACCCTGAAGCAGAGATATCTCGTCACAAATTCAAGCACGGAAAAGACATTGACCATGCAATTCTCGTTGGGACACCTGGTAGGTATATTGATCTAAAGATATCTAAAAGAACCGGGCATCCCCTTGCGAATGTCGGTATCCAACCATGACATTTTAACATGGAAAACACACAGAAACCCATGGTGACGACTGTGGATCCAAACGAGTTTTCGTTAACCCCCCAAAAATGGATCCAAAACTAGAATATCCCATTTCCTCCTAGGGATTATCCGTTTTTTTTGTTTTTTTTTCAACATGACCTTAGCCCAAGTACCAAGCATCAACTATCATCAAATATCATGTCTTAAAAAAATGCCATATAACTACAGCAACTACAGCAGTCTTAGATACTCTGCAACCGCTCTCAAGATTTTACTAGTTGGTGGTTTCAATCCCTCTGAAAAATATGAAAGTCAGATTGGATCATCATCCCAGCTATTGGGGAAAATAAAAATTGTTCCAAACCACCAACCAGTTTATGACTGGCTATGACTATAGATTAATCAATTATCATCAATTTCTGCCTCATAATTGCTGCGGCATTTTACACGCTGAGATTTCGAAAAACAATTCGTCGTCCTTTCACAATGGCGATGCCAGGGGGAACTCCGCCTTGGGGTTGGTTGAAGAATTCCCCCATTGCCTACGTTTAGCACGAGTAAGGCGTTTGGGGGAATCCGAAAAAAAGGACCTATCTCAACCACAGGAGGAATTCCGATTGTCATACAAATAAAATATATTGCACAACGATCTACACTAAGACAAGCTGTGGATATTTGTGGAGACATTACAATATGGCGCACGAAGATCCGAGTTTCAATCCCCAGGTTCATTGAGATTATTGGAGAAAAAAAACACGTGTGACAATAGATCTGCAAGTTGGTGGACAACAAGGCTGGTAGTGTCTTTGGATATTGCCGAAAAATGTTTCCAGAATGTTATACATGATGTTTCCCCCATATTTTGCAGGTCTCCAACGTTTCTATCTAGCTAGACCATAAAAATACCAAAGAACACACTAAAAACACTAAACATATTTGAGGCAAAAAAACAACCATTTCTGAAGGTACTTGAGGGTCTGGGATGTCTGGGTATGCCCGTTTCCCCACTTTTCGATCATGTTCTATCTACCCAACCTGGTTATGACTAACATAGCCATGGTATAGATGGCCCATAGAAATAGATGGTTTTCCCAGCTATAAACCTTCATTTATGGTTGGGATTTTCCATGGCTATGTTAAATAACCAGATGGTATTTGAATAAATTATAAGAATTCACACACCCTGCACCTTGGGATGATTCCCCTTAAGCATTACTAACCATAGTCTATCGTTCCGCGTCGCAAGGTGAGGTCGTTATAATTCAGCCAGAATCAACTGTTGATGAATGAATGAATATCAACTGCTGCTATAAGTAGTTATACTTAATCAGTTGATATTCATTGATATTCATTCATCAACAGTTGATATAGCCAGATTTTGGAGGAATGAATATTACATATAGTCACATGGTACCTGTATTGTCTATTGTTGACACAAACCCCCCTGGATCATGAAAACAATCCGCTGATATATGGCTTTCTCTGAAAATAGGGAATCCTGAGACGTCCAGCCATGGTGCGCGAGGTGTATACCCTCTGGTAAACTAACAGTTTGCTATTGAAAATGGCCATAGAAATAGTGAGTTTTCCCATTAATAGCATGGTGATTTTCCATAGTTTTGTTAGCCCGTTGACCATTTCGGGTACCCATCAGACACCATCCATCAGCGAGGTGATGAAAATCCCAAACCTTGGAGAAGTCCAAAAGCCAAGCAACCAGGAGTGTCAGGATACCTCGCGTCGACACTCTGGGACCGACATAGCGAACTGGAAGCCATGGCCCATTGAAATAGATGATATGATCGTGATATGCCTGTTAAAATCTACCTTAAATTATGTGAAAAAATACGAGAGGAAAACATGTTGGGATACGGCCCTGAAAACTTGCAAACGACCTCCAAAATACATCAAAATAGCAATTTTCAGCACGACCTCCAAAGCAAAAACTAGGCTAAACCAATGTCAGTTTTCAGTTTTGGGTCTCCTTCATATTCCTCCAAGGCATAGCCAAATACCCAGGGACCCAGTTCTTATCTGTATCATTTGTTACTGCATCCGGTACACCATTTCTGTTGGGCAAACCTTGGGGATGTCCACGGTTCATCACGGTTCAACCTGGACCCTTCTGAGAGATTGTCGCTGGTCCCTCTGTTTTGAGGGGTAAATGGTTCCTCAATTCATGATATCAAGTCATGTGGAAAAGTTGATTCAAAACCATGGGTTGCTTACGGTTTTCACTGTGTGTTCCCCCAAGTCGTCTTTTTTGAAAACACTGCAAATTCTCAACTCACGCGAACTTGATGCTACCATCTTCCATTGAAATTCATGCTTGAATCCCCTGCAACTTTTTCTGCGGAAAAATCCTGAAAGAGAAACTGAACCTTTGCGACCAAAAATCTATGGTTGACTAGCCTTTTTTGATATCCTGGGGAAATCTCTCCCGGATTTTGATGCGCCAAAATCTCCATAGGTTGGTGGTTTCAACTTTATACCTACCCCGTACTGAAAAATCATGGAGTGAGTTCGTCAGTTGGGATGATGACATTCCCAATATGATGGGAAAGTCATATGGAAAGTCATAATTATAATCCATTCATGTTCCAAACTACAAAATCTCCATATTTTTCCACCAACCAGATATTTTTGCTGCGAAAACCCAAAAACAGCCAAGCTGCAGGGCTAAGTCTGGATCCTCATCCACGATGATGCTGAAGCGCTCTTGCTGCACGCAAGGTCCAGCCTAAGGCGTAGCGTTAAGGCGACGCTTAAGGCGACGCAACGGCGTAAGACCTGTGGGTTGTGAACAGAAAATGGTGAACATGGTGATGAACCAATGAAAAATAGAGATGGAATTGGTGAGAATGGGGATGTCACCCACGAAAGTGGGGGATTTAGATTACTCACCTCCAAAACAACAGCCGCGGTCTGAAACTTTGAATGGGTGAAAATGTGCGCGAAATCAATTATAGACAGCATAGAATGCCCCGCCAGTTAGGAATGACTCCATATTCAACCGTGGCGGGATTCGGAACTCGGCACAGGCTCCCAGTTCAGGGATTATGACCATATGACAAGGATAGTATGCCCATATTATAATCATCAACCAACATTTGTCTTCTTTTCTGAAACTGATCGTGTGCTGGGAAACGGGTGTGAGACCAAAATATATATTGGTCTATTCAGCTCCCCTTTGCGCCGCATTCCCCAGAGAAAACAGCCGCCAGCGAGACCCTGCACGATGACCAACTCCAATGCGAAATTTTAGGACATACTGGTAGTCTGGTTGATGGTTTCCTCAAAAAATTGGCTAATCCCTATAAAGTGATAGAAATCAACGTTCACGGCAACAGCGCCCAAGGGGCTGTTCCACGATAGACGAAGATCCCGGGTCTGCATGGCTCAAATCTGGGGTTGCGATGTATATACTGTAAAAACTTTAATGGTAATACAATATAATATAATAGAATAGAATATAATATAATAGAATAGAATAGAATATAATAGAATAGAATAAAATATAATATATAATACAATATAATATAATATAATATAATATATAATATAATATATAATATAATATAATATAATATAATATAATATAATATAATATATTATAATATATAATATAATATAATATAATATAATATAATATATAATATATAATATATAATATATAATATAATATAATATAATATATAATTTAATATAATATATAATATAATACAATATATAATATAATCTATAATATAATATAATATATATAATATAATATATAATATAATATATAATATAAAATATATAATATATAATATAGTATATAATATATAATATTTAATATATAATATATAATATATAATATATAATACATAATACATAATATATAATATATAATATAATATATAATATAATAGTGTATATATAATAGAGAGTACCTGTTGCACTGGGTCATTTTTTGAACCTAGCTTTGTCTAAGACACATCGGATGGTGGCTGAAGGTACTGAGAAGTACCAAACCCATCAGGCCAAAAGGTGTGGAAAAACATAGAGAACCCACCTCCCAGGCCTGTTTTAGGAAACCTCCATATATAAACTATTATGGGCATTCAAGAAACTCTACGAAAAACAATGGCACACGCAAATGGCTAGCTGCTGTCCGGTCCGCTAGTAGCCAGCTGTAAACCCACGGTTTCTCACCACAGCAGCGCCTGTCTGCTGGCAGCATCTGCTCCTGGTTCCAGTTGTTGAAGCTTCCCAGGACCCAATAGCTGTGACCTGCGGTCGCACTTCCCTTTTGTTTGATGGCTTACCCGGCTTACCCTCTGGTCATGAAACGTGGCAAAATCCCCCATTTACAAATGATTTTGTCCATTAAAACAATGGGAAAAGGACATATCTACAATGGTTGCTTGAGGCCCATCTTTTGCTCGGCGCAGTTGGTCCACCCTGTTTCATGGACAAGCTTGCAGAACAACCCTACAACAGAAACTCTATATATATATAATTCTGGCTGGGTATTAGAGTCTCTCAGTTGTCACAACAGATTGAAGAGTGGTGAAGTACCAAGAAAACCAGTTTACCCAGTTTTGGAGATTCTTTGTCGGTGTTTCCTACCATTGGTTGTTAAGGTGTTGTAGTCCCATTGAAATACATATTTTTGCAGTGACATCCCCATTAAATCCCACTGGACAGGTTTTAAGGCCATTAAATGACATGCCATTAAATGCACGATTTTGAACAGTAGAACTACCCTCTGGTAAACGTTTAATGGCCATAGAAATAGTGAGTTTTCCCATTAAACATGGTGATTTTCCAGTTCGTTATCTAAACGTGTACCAGAGGGTATATCGAATTATCATGGATTCCCATGGAATCAGAGAATATCAAGACGTTTAAAAGGTCATATCCCCATGAAATCTCTGGTAATCAGCTCCATGGCTAGCTGGAAACTCCCCGAACTTGGAGGTCGATTGGAAAATCATCTCTTGCTGGGGGATTTCCGAGCCAGAAAAATGGAGCTGATTTCCCATTGCGTGCAATTTTCAGATTGGCGGTCAAAATATCATTTATATAGAGTAATATCCCATATTAATATCATTAAATATGAAATATCCCAAACCATAAGGGGGATATCCCTATTAATATTAATATCCCATGAAATCTGCATTTTTTGGTGGTTATAGCTACACCACCCTCTGAGTCGCTGACGTGCAGGACCCGTCACTCCATGGGCTGTCCAGGAGGGCCCCGTCCTCGCTGCCAGATGTGGGAAACCCGATGCCGGAAACCTACCATGGCTGGGGATGGTTTACACCACCAATAAAGAACATGTGATTTTGGGGATGTCTTATTGTTGGGTTTGCCACATTGATGTTCTTGGAGCTTTTCAGAGTTAGTGGTATGTTTTTCATGTCAATGGAGTGGTTTGTTGGGAAAATACAGGAATAAATATGTCAATTTATAGCCAGTTTGAACAAATGATGATGAACCAAGACCATGATAAATCCCGAATTTGTAGCCGGTTTGAATGTCTATTGATTGGCAATACGGTCGAAGTTGAAGCCATGGTCTTTACCCCGCAAAAAAGGGTGGTCTTGCACATTGTTTCCTGAACCGTTTCTTGGATAACGCGAGTTAATGAGAGTTTTATCGGGAGGTTAAATGCAGAAATAGGTTAAATGCAGAAATTGTGAAACATGGACGTTTTTCACATTAACAATGGTGGAAAAATGGTAGTTTAATCACCAACATACCCCAAACATGCCAGCCACCACAGCAACTTTCATCAGATCCGTCCCAAAACTTGCATCCAAAGAATCCAACGTCACTCTCCAAACCCCTGGTGATTCTTTGTTTGATACAGCAGTTATGGATGTTCAGGTCCCTAAGAGTAGCAACATGGTGATATGTATTGATCCATAGAATCCATAGTCATATGCATCCCAAATCTACAAAATACCACATCATCACATCTGAATATGATCATTCACCTGAAAACTTCCGTCATTTTCTGGGAGAATTAGTAAGGTACCTTTTGAGAATTTAACAGTTTATTTTCTTATGGAAAATCACCATCTTAAATAGCTCAATTCTCAATGGAGCATCTATTTCTATGGGTCATTGTCCACAGCAAAGTGTCAGCAACCAAAGGATCTCCCATTTTAATCCTACCATTTGGAGCTTTCCAAAGTCATGACGGGGTACCCCCAGTCATCATCCAGCTATTAGATTGTTGGATTTTCCATGAAATTCCAACCATCCAGCGATAAAGGGGTACCCTCTGGTAAACTAACATAACTATGGAAAATTGCCATTTATAGTGAGTTTTCCAATTAAAAATGGTGGATCTTTCCATAGTTATGTCATGTTATGTCAACGTTTACCAGAGGGTACCCCCCATTTTACCCATGGAAAGCCCCAATGGAAATCACCCGAGATTTTCTCCCAGCGTCAGGCTCTTCACCTCGACCTGCACCATGGCATCCTTGGATCGGATCTGGATCTGGATCTGGGAATAAATGGCCCAGTTGGTTACTCCACTTAGAACTGCTTTTGGCTGGCATGAAAGATGGAAGTTTAATGGGATATTATGGTGGTTTAATAGGATCTAATGGGAATCTCAATGGATAACAGGTTGGTGGTTTCAACCTACCTACCCCTCTGAAAAATGATGAAGTGAAAGTCGCTTGGGATGATGACATTCCCAATATATGGAAAGTCATAAAAGTCATGTTCCAAACCACAAACAAGAAGTGGGATGAACCACCACATAGTAGATTCCCCGGTTCTAGTGAATTTACCACTCGGCAATGTTCCGCATAGATTCCACAAACGGAATCATTGTAGACTTCCCACCTAGTCTCCCTAAAGTATATGAACATACAGAGATTGTGCACCCTTGAAAAGAACAAGAAACACTATTGACTCAGCAAAGTAGAGAAATTACCCCAAACAGATTCCTCTTTTTTTCTTGTGGATGTCCCATTTCGTCGAAAAACAACTGCAATCAACTGCAAAACCACCATATGTTTTTTCGGAAAAAAAAAAGAGTAAGAACAAAACAGCCTGACTCAGCCTTGGCATCATTGAACAAATAAAGAATATGTCTAGCCTTTCGGACAATCACAGCTCAACCTGGGTTTGCCAAAGAGCCATCAACAAAAATAAGGATTAAAAAAAAAAAAACAATCCCATCGGATTCCAAAAAAAATGATGAATTATGGCGGATTAAAATGGATTCACCAGAAAATAAACAGTAGCTCGGCACTACTTCATGGATTATGGCCTTTTTTACATGTATTTACCAGCAAAATCCATCACTTCAACTCAGCAAATCTATGGGGAAAACCACCCTTCTTAATAGGTAAATACAGGTAAATCATCCACAAATGGACCATTTTCCATAGTTATGGATCTTGATGGATTATGGAGGATTACCCTCTGGTAATTTAACATAGCTATGGAAAGATCCACCAATTTTAATGGGAAAATCCACTATTTCAATGGTCATTTTCAATAGCTATGTTAAATTACCAGAGGGTAACATGGATAAACATGGCATTCACCAGATCAAAATCCATCCCTTCAACTCAGCATCTTTGATGCTCAAGTGGATGGCCACCACTTCGCCGTGTCGCCCCGTGATGCGCCACATCTTCCCGTTGCACAAGGCATCCGGGCCGCGCACCGGGACCAACGAGGCGTCAGCGTCCGAGACGCTCTTCGCCTGGTGAAGCCCCAAGTTTCACTGGATTGGTTTAAGGGAAAATCTTAACCGGAAACCCATGGTTTTTACCATCAAATTCATCGGGCTTTCCGGTTCCAATTTTCCCATCATCCAATTCTATGAGATACCTCCCCAAGTTGAGAACATATGGATAATCATATGAAAATCATGGTGAATGGGGATACTTCATGGAAACTGACTAACAACTAATCTATATATATATATATACTCGTTGGTGGTGGTTTTAACTATCTTGAAAAATGATGGAGTGAAAGTCAATGGGGTTGGGATGACATCCCATATTAATGAAACGGAAGTTCTAATCCATTCATGTTTGAAACCACCAGATATCCATTTTTTTAGTTGTTTCCCATCAAGAAACCGCCCAGGAATGGCACCGAATCAACTTGGGGATCATTTTTACATCACTATCGTTTCCGGTAAGGTCGTGTTCACCTTTAAAAAAAATGGCTTCGAAAACAGATACCACAAAATGTCTTGCTTCATCATGGTATTTCCCATGGCTATATGGCTATTTGATCCTTTTTTTTACCATTTTCAGACACAGCCACATCTTTTTCAAAAGCCCGGCGGCCGGATAGATGGTTTGCTCTTCATCCTGATCTCGCTGGAAACGAAAGTACTCGTTGCCGCTCATGCCGATGCGCAGCTGCGTCTGGAAACTGCCACCTGTTCTCCAAAAGAAAGGTGGGATTCGCCAATCATCTACACATCATATCACATAACATTGCATATCTATATGTATGTATATTCATACTATAAAAATCAACATATACAGTATATATATATATCATATAATGTATCATATGAATTACATTATTTTTCATCAGTAGCTATGTTAATTGTTGTGTCATCTCTGTGAAATGTGACCACCACTGGGATGATTTGTCGCCTGAGGGCGTCATTTCAAAGCAGCTCCAACTCGTCCAGGTTCCCAAGACGAAATAGCGATGACCTGCAGCTCACGGATGGGCTGAAAACATGGATTATTGTGCCTGGATGTATATGGGGATGGGTCAAAACCCAATCCCCCTGGTGAACATCAAAATAGCTGGTAAATGGATGTTCATCCCACTAAAAATGGTATTAATAGGTATTGATCCATACCCATATCTCGCTGGTTGAGTTTTTGATTACTGATCTTTAATGATCTTAATATAATACGGGGTTGCTGAACCCAACAACAAACCTACCATTTGAGGTACCATTTGCGGGTGGTTACTGTAACAACCCGTTGATGGTCATATTGGGGATGTTCTTTCTTGGGTGCATCACAAGAATGATCTTTCCGAACTCTGATTGTTCGCCAATGAAATTGGGGTGGTGTCCCAGAGAGAAAAGAAGAGAAACATCGTTGAAATTCAGCTTCGGCTTCGTCAGCCTTCGTGAGGTCACAATAGTTTAACTACCCAGATGCTTGATGATTTGAGGAGTTGGATAGACGAGACCTGGATAGACGAGAATCCCCAATTGGTGATGGCGACATACCCAGGTTTCTCCAGTATACCATTACTTGAGGCCAGGGGGGAGGTAGGAAAGCTGGCAGGGCTGTTGTTGCAATGTCTATTGGGTCCAGCAAGCCAGAAACCCCCAATGCAACAATCGTCTCTCGCCAGGCTTTTTGAGCAGAAGAAAAGCCAGATTTTAAAAAACATGGACACCCAAATCTGCATTAGGCCTACGCAAGATGTTCAAGGGAACACAACATATCTATCATGATAATAATAGGTGACGACCGGTGACGACCCTGTAGGCCATTTCCAGCAAAACCAGGAGGGAGATTGAACCCCTGCCAGGGGGTGGGTATAACGGTCCTGGTGCCTGCCTATTCCTTGCTAAAGCAAGGGCAACTCCAGCTAGTACAAGCTAGCTTTCGTGATTATGCCCCAAAATGATCAAATGGCAAGTTCAACGACAACCATTTTATTGACCGCTGCTTTAGGGTACTTGTCCATCTCTAGACAGCTCTTTCTGGATAGTTTCAGACAGCATCCCAAAAAAAAAATAGCCAATTTGGTTTATAACTATAGTAACCACAATCACTATATAACTATAGTAACCATAATAACTATATAACTATAGTAACTAACTATAGATAACCATAGTAATCCCCATGAATCATCCCAAATGAGGCTCTCTGAAGTCGCCATGGGACCATGAATTGGATGATGATTTGGGCTACCCCCATGACTTAGGAAACCTCCAAATGGTTGGAAATAAACCCATCTGCCAAGCATAAAATCCTGAGAATCCAAGAGGCGTGCGTTGGTGCCAATCACACTCTTGGGCGCAATCGCGCCACCCAGAGCGATGGACTTCTCCTGTTGCCATGAGACTTTCAGTCGGAGACCCCAGTGAAGAGTCACACGGTACACCTTGGTGGCTGAGTCGTTGGGTGGATAATTCGGGGATTCAAATTGAGTACATGTATACATATATATATATATGCGTGTACATATATATATATATACGTATATATATATAATTATATATATATATGTATATGTATATGGGATATTATGGGATATGGTCCATAGTATGGGTATTTAAAACAAACAAACAAACAAACAAACAAAACAAAACAAAACAAACAAACAAACAAACAAACTTGATAGACGGCGTTTCATCGAAAATTTGTTGGTTCTTATGTTTGCTTCTCGTACTGTGTCTGAACGGAGAATGATTTTGATTGGAAACCACCAACCAAATTGCCTTTGGACGGATCACCCGTGGGTTGGCTTTGGAACGCCCTCCAAAACCAATTCTTAGGAGCAAGCGTAACCAATCCCATCGCCCTCATATGAAAATGGACCCATATGTATATAAAATTATATAAATTCCCCTACATCCACGATGCTTTCTGAGGGATGTCGAATCTTAGGGGGACGGGACTACTGGGTTTCCATGGGTTTCTGATTTGGTTCCTGAAGTCCATCCTGTTTTCCCCATTGAAATGGCCCCAAAGATCACCCACCTTTGGACAAATCCAAATGTTGGTGGTAGACTCTGGGGATGAGCGGATCCCAGACTGTTTGGACTCTTTAAATCCCTATAGTATGTTATTGTATGTTATTGTTCTTTGAAATTTCCCCGTGTTCACCGTTCACTAAATATCCAAGTTTGCCACTCAAATTCTTCATCCTTTGTTGCTTAAAATCCAATGTGTGCTGCTTGAATCCCTGCGTTGTGCTGCTCAAATCACCCTTTTTGCATGAACTCCTAAGAATTTCTTGGTTAGAATCCCCATGTTTGCACGGTCGCCTATTTTAAGACAAAGCCTATCGAAATCACCTCGACCGGGCCACCGTTCCGGCCGGCACTTCTTCATCTCGGCCATCGATGATCCAATACTTCCCCGCAGCGTCAGCATGTGGCCCAACCACACGGGTCATCATCGATCCATTGGTCACCTGAAGGACTGGACACAACGACGAATAGGTGGTGGAACCAAAAAATCTGCTCGTCCATGATGATGATGATGATGATGATGATGATGATTCCAAGTGGGAAAAACTGTTCAAACCACGATTACAATTCTAAATACGTTCTGGGATAATAGTTCAAACCACCAAAATCGAGTGTGTATATATATATATATGCATATAAAAAAAGACATGTGTGCACCCAAAACCAATGTTCAAACCAGATTGATTACATATATAAACAATTATAAACATATATAAACCCCAAAATTGATAAAAACGAATGGGTGAATACCAAACATAACCATTATGTTGAGGCTCCATTCGGTCCACTGGTACCCCATACCCCATGTTCACATGGATGGTTCATTCATACAAAAAGCCAACAATCTGCCATCCAACTTAGTAAAGCATCCTTTTTCGGGCTACCTGATCTTGACTCCAAAGCCATGCATGATGATTTGGCATCCGACGCCCTGGCAGCTTAAATATATATGGCTTCTCAAAGCAAACATCACCGGTGGGCACCAGCTTGTATCAATTTTCACATTGTATCCATGATTACCCCATAATTATTGACACTTATTATCCACTATTACCCTCTGGTAATCGTTTACATAGCTATGGAAAACCACCATCTTCATAGGTAAATCAACTAGTTCTATGGGCAATGTTCAATAGTTGTTAAATTACCAGTGGGTAACCAACCATTCTTCACTCATTTTTTCATTATGAACCATGGTTTTTCATGGTTTTTCCACCACATTTCTATCTCAATTTGTCACCAAGGCACCCAAGGATAGATGGCCACCTCCGGCTCACTGGCCAGGCGGAACTGAAACCTCAGGAGGGGGTAGATCCATTGGATTCTGGGCGCTATCCGAATGGCTATCCATTGGTCAAACACCTACCTAGCCATAGTAGTAATACATCATATATCAATGAAATAAGTGACAATATCTATATATCTATCTATCTATCTATCTATCTATCTATCTCTCTCTCTCTCTCTATCTATCTATCTATCTATCTATCTGTCTGTCTGACTGATCACTGTATATATCATACACGGCAGCCATGGTTGGCCATTCTGAACAGTGACTCAAATGTGATTTAGAACATAGTGATTTAGTTCGAGATGGCAGACGTTTAAACACGAAATGCAAAAAATAAATGTTTGAAAGTTGGCTATAGCATCTATTAACCATAATTATTGACACTTATTATCCACTATGACTCTCTGGTAAACTAACATAGCTATGGAAAATCACCATTTTTAATTTTCAATAGCTATGTGAATGTTTACCAGAGGCTATCATACTCTCTGAATGATAGCTATAGCATCAACCTATGAACCTACCAAGATTTACACAAGTAGGAACTGGTTTCATGTCTCACATTTCGGCTGAGACCAATGTCAAGTACAAAGCATGTTGCTACTTTTGGATGTGACCCACCTCGGAAATCAGGTTTGAAGTTCCCAACAAAAATGTGTTGAAAAGTACCAAGGTTAACTGGTTGGTGGTTGACCTACCCCTCTGAAAAATATGAGTTCGTCAGTTGGGATTATGAAATTCCCAATATATGGAAAAATAAAATTCATGTTCCAAATCACCAACCAGTAAATATTTGATCAAACACAATTAACATCCTATCACCATTGTTTTTAAACTGAGAAACTTCTTTAGAGATTTACAACCCTGGAAATTTCCCTCCGTTCCAGTCTGTTCGTCCAGATGATGGCGGTGGTCACATCATGTTCTTTTGTCTCATCCAACCTTACCTTAACGAACCAACTTACGGATGTGCAGTACGCACGCATACACATAGATGTATAGATACATAGGTGATTCTGCGTACATTACATATGCGTACGTATATACACACACATATGTGTATGTTGCTTTCCCTAAAAATTTGCCGGTTGAATCCCACATCTGTTGCTGAATTCCCTGTAACTGGTTGGTCAAAATCCGTTTTTCTGAATGAATTGCAGGACTTAACCAACCTTAAAAAAGGCCGTGTTGGCATAGTTACACCCATTCCCATCATTCCAGTGACGTCGGAAATTTAGCTCGTTATAATCTAACATCATAATCTCCCACTAGCTGTTGTTTCTGCCCATATTTGATGGCAAAAATTGTCGATGCTTAAATCGCATGTCTTTGACGACAATTAACCATCATTCTTGATGGTGAAATCACCATTTGTGATAGAGAATTCAGCATTTTGCTGGGTCAAATTCCATCTTTAGTGGTGAAATCCCCATTTTGCTGGGTCAAATTCCCATGGTTTTTTTGACCCATCGCCAGGGCATGCGCCGCGGCACCGCTCCACACGGGTCTCGCCCAGCTTCACGAGGCACGTCCAGCAGTCCCCCTCATCGGACATCTCACTGGGAGAGGAGAAGGAATCCCAAGAGCCAAGGATACCTGGGAGGAAACTCTCCTGGTTTCATGGGATTTTATGGTGGTAAAATCCCATGGCATCTGGTTGGTGGTTTCAACTTTATACCTACCCCGTACTGAAAAATCATGGAGTGAAAGTCAGTTGGGGTGATGACATTCCCAATATATGGAAAGTCATAACATTCATGTTCCAAACCACCAACCAGTCTCTGAAAGATTGGGAGAATCGCCCCATTGGTGAGAACATCGCCCGGAATTTGGGAGATTTTACGGAAGTACGAACCATATGTCCATGATATATAAGATGATACGATTAGAAATGGAAATGGCCATCACAATGCCATTTTAGGTTGGTGAAACCTCAATTATTGTTGCTTAAACCGTAAATTTTGATGGTCTGATGAGTGGTTAAGCGGTCAAGCAACCCATCATCATCCCAAATGTGGAAAATAAACTATGGTTGAAGCGCCAAGATCTAGTTGGAACTGGCCATTTGTCTCATCCACTATCATTCCAACTGGCTGATAGATGGATGGTTTTATTTGTAGTTCGGGCCTACAAGTCCTATCATTCCAGCGAGGCAAACAGCTAAGGAACCCACCAAAATCAACAATCAACAATTGCAGTCAAGGAGGACCAAGGGAATAACATATGTGAATGTAATCATATATATATGTGTATATATGTGTATATATATATATATGTGTGTGTGCTGATATATATATATATATTTATTTATATATTTATTTATTTGCATCATTACATATGAATATATATGTATATATATAATTACATATAATTACATTTAATAATAAAATATATGCTATATGTATGGAGATGCATGTGCCAAATCATTGCCGATCTCCAAGCTGCACATGCCAGTGTCAGGACGATCGGCAGCCACTTCTTCAGGTGGACTCATCTGATATTTGCCAGAGTACAGACTGCTGTTGTAGTCCTGTCCACTTTCAAAGGGAAGGTACAGTGTAGTACCCTCCGGCAATCAAACATGGCAATGGAAAATCCTCTGAACAACATGGAGGTTTCTAGCTGCGGGAATCATCGAACTAAATGGATGATTTTCCAGCAAACCATGTTTGATGACACCGGAGGGTCAAGTAACTGTGACAAAACCGGAAAGCAAAAAGGACACGACACCATTTCCAGGATACACGGCTGGTGAAATCTAAGCGATGTTGGTGTACTGCCAGGCAAGAAACAGCACCATGAGCAAGCTTTGGATGACCAAGAAAAAACACCACAACTTCCAAAGTAAAGGCAAAAATCTACGGTCCCAAAAACAAACACGGCACCATTCACCATTCCCCATTCCCCCCCAAAAAAAAATCGATGCGGCTGGCCCCATTAAGGATGTTCAACTATCACCGGGGAATGTGGAGAATCTGCCGTGTTTGTCTAAGCTGAGCTGTAGGGATCGTATAAATCGAACTCGTCCCGAATGTTGTCGCAGCGATAACCTCAGGAGATGGGACCCTGGGGCCCTGGGGCCCTCAGGCTTGGGGGACCTACCCAAGGCCCCCTAGTTATGTTTGTTAATCTGCTACCCATTCAACGATAGTTATTGCATCACAATAACCCTAACAGTTCACCTAGGCAAGTGAAGCAACTTAGCAAATTTTCACTTGGCACCTCCTTGTAGTCACAGATCTTCACCAGTTACGAAGTGTGTTATTTTATGGCATAAACCAGTGAAGTACTAATGTTGGAAAAAAAACATCTCAAGGACCGTCCCACTTTTTTTTGTAACCAACCCAACATATGACCCAGCTAGTATAGCCTAATTATCAAAGAAACATACTCCCAGCTTCCAGGATCACCCAAGTATCCAACAATTTTCCAATCTAGAACCCAACAATTGTCCAATCCGAGTGAAGTACCTGACTATAAGTCTGTAAGCATCACTCAAACATGTCCGAACTTCCAATTATATCTCATTTTATAACATATATATATATATTATATATATATATGCATGTATACCCAATTAATTTCCCCCTTTTATATCCATGATAGTATTACCGCAGGGTACATCCCATTGTCATTAGATTCCCATTCGCTCCCCATTAAATGGTCATGGTTTTCAACAAACTTCTATCTATCCATGTCATCCCCACATATTTTAGCAATCAGCAATTCTTCTCAGTATTAACAATCTAATTGTTGTGCAATATACAGTTATTTCCTCAAGACAACTTCCCATTTAAGCTCGATTTAAACTCCATGTTTATAGGATGCTTGCCATAATGTGTGATTATCGGACGACAATTACTGAGATTCAAAATGAGGTTCCCGCACCAAATAAAAAATGAGGTTGTAGTTATAGTTTATAATCAACAAACATAACTATTCCAGAGGTTATTGCAATGCCATTGATGATCATTAATAATCAGAACTAGAACCATATCAACCACTTCGTATCCTGTGAATGTCCCATTGATATCCATGAAAATATCCCATTTCTGTTCGTGTTGCTAAATAATCCAGATACATATCCCATTAGTATGATATTATTACACTTCATCCAGATTATGTTATATCATAATATCCCATTAAACCATAATTATCTCAGTAATGTTAGATAAATTCATTTATACATTATGAAACCCCATCTACAGAAACTGACGATTTATGATGATATATCTACCATCAACCTCGTAAAATGTCAAAATAGCTGGGGGTTCCATGAATGACCCATTCATATCCATCATGCCATTCATCTGATGTGTAAATCATCCAAGTGGATATTAATGCCAATCATCAGTGGCATTGATAAATATCCAGTATGATTCTATCTACCCTCTGGTAAACTAACATAACTATGGAAAATCACCATTTTGAATGGGAAAATCCACTATTTCTATGGCCATTTGCAATAGCTATGTGAATGTTTACCAGAGGGTAATGGGTTCCATTCATATCCCATCTTCCAGATCACCAAAATTACCATTGGTTAATGGGATGGTATTTTATTGTTAGATATAACCCATATATACATATATTAATTATCGAAAATTATTCATGTATATATATATAACATATATGATATGTATATATATATATGAATATATAGATACAGTTAATCGCCTCAAGTTGGATCCACAAATCGTACTTTTTTTTCGTTGCAAAAATCCATGGTTATCCCGTCGATAAATGGATGAACTATGATGAACTAACATAATAGCTATTGAAAATGGCCATAGAAATAGTTGATGTACCCAGCTACAAAATGGTGGATCTTTCCAGTTATAGAAATGGTAATGTTGGTAAAACAATGTCATTTGCACCACCCCAGTCATCACCATTTTTATAGGTGGTATAGTTACCATTCCCAAATGGGTGGTTTATGGCATTGTTTTAACCATATTACATTTCATACAATATATACTTTACAATATTGAATACCCACCAGAAACCTTCATAGAAATAGTTGATGTACCCAGTAGCCAACTACAAAATGGTGGATCTTTCCAGTTCGTTGCGTAAACGTTTACCAGAGGGTATACATCATCAGTTCCCGTTATATTCCCATTTTATCCCATTACACCACGATGTTCATGGTATACAGTACCATTATATGTCCCATTACATCCCATTATATTCCAGATACCCTCTGGTACTTTAACATAGCTATTGAAAATGGCCATAGAAATAGTGGATTTTCCCATTAAAAAATGGTGGATCTTTCCATTGCTATGTTAGTTTACCAGAGGGTAGATAGAATCATACTGGATATTTATCAGTGCCACTGATGATTGGCATTAATATCCACTTAGATGATTTACACATCAGATGAATGGCATGATGGATATGAATGGGTCATTCATGGAACCCCCAGCTATTTTGACATTTTACGAGGTTGATGGTACATTCATTCTCCAGGTTTGACCACCCCCCCCGGGGCACCGGCCACGTCACGGCCGCGATTCTTGAAGATCCGCACGCCGCTGGTGGGCACCTCACGACCGTCCACGTAGTGCATGGGACCCTCGTCGAAGGGACAGGGCACCACCACGTAGTCCACCTTCTCCAGGTTCACCTGGTGGGATCCGCTAAACGTTTACATAACGAACTGGAAAATCACCACTTTTAATGGGTAAATCCACTATAAATCATCTAAACTGTGGATATTTTATGGGTACCCTCTGGTAATTTGACATAGCTATGGAAAGATTCACCATTTCGTAGAACCGGGGAAATCAACTATTTCTATGACTATTTGAAAAATAGCTAAACGTTTACCAGAGGGTATGGGAACTCCCCGAACGAAATGGAGGTTTGAAACATGGAAAAACCATGGAAAATGCTGAGTTCATGGTGAAAAACCATGGATTTCACCATCCAAAAATGGGGCTTTGATTTAACCAAGGAACATTCGTCGATTTATAGTTGATTTGTGGTAGCTATAAGTTATGTTTGTTGGTAATGTGTGGAAAATGTCTAGAATAAAACGTTTAAAGTAAACTGAATCATGATACAACCATCAATAATGGGGATATTAACGAGATTAAAAAGGTGGCATATAGGAAAATGTCCGAAAACTGCCAGAAATAGGGAATTTAGCCCTGTAACACCGACAACATCGGGGATTTGATGAGAATATACTAGGACTAGGATCTTCAATAGCCAAACTTGGTAAAATGTTGATAAATTGACAACTGAAGATGGGTGCATATGGGTTGCTATAGCCCGGTCAATCTCAATCAGTTGTTTATGCGTTTACGTATGAAAATATCTGAAAATGGAATAACCCAAAAAAAAATGGTGGGGGAAATTATGACCATCTAATTTGAGAGTCCAAGTATACTATAGCTTATTTTCACAAATCCATCTGGTTTTGACAACCGGAGCGGGCAAAGTCAGTGACCACCCGCAAAATGGGCTGAACATGGTACAGCCATTTACAACTATCAATCATGGGGATATATTCCCATTACCACTATTTCTCATGGTAAAATCTCTATTCTTCATGGTGAAATTCATGTTTCTCACAGGAACATCCTTCTCTTTCAATGTTTCAATCTCCAGATTTTCCATGGAAAAAACATGAAAAAACCATGTTCGATGCTGAAAAATCCTAGTTGATGCTGAAAAAATCACCATTTTGGATGACATAAAACACCATTAGAGTATCAATACTAGGTGTTTACCCAATTGATATACCTAATAGATCCTAATGGTATATACATCGAACATACCAATTAATAGGGCTACTATATACCATTTTTCCGATGACCATAATTAGATAAGTCCCGCTATTAGCACGGACAACTTCCCATGCTCCCTTGGCACAGCAGCCGCTGCCGCCGTGCCGCAGAGAGCGATAAGTCCCAGTATTAAAATCCTAATTTGGCTATAACCATTAATTTTTCACTGTCATCGGTGTGTATAATACCAATATTCACACCATTTTTCAATGGAACTTATATATATGTCTATATTATAAATATCTATATATAATTAATAAGAATAATAATAAATAATAATAATATATCTATATATAATCTATATAATAATATTATTTATATATACATATATATATATATGTACTGTAAACCTGCCATCGAACCCAGCCTTGCCCGGCTTCCGCGGCCCGCGGGAGGCGATCGCGAAGACGTCTGCACGCGCGTTGGCGCCGCCGAAGCCGAAGCTGCTGACGCCCGAGTAGCCTCGCGTGCCATGAAAACTGGCGATTTCACCCTGAAGAAATGGTGAAAAGTTGAGATGTTCGTCCAAAAATCTGGTGAAATCACCAGATTTCCAGTGAAACATGGCAATGTCAACATCAAGAATTCTAATTTCCCCCCGAAAAGGATGGATTGGTGAAGCTTGGAGATTTAAACCTCAAAAAGTTGGAATTTACCCTCTGGTAAACGTTTACACAACGAACTGGAAAATCACCATTTTTAATGGGAAAACTATGGGGAAACCATGGGAAAATGGTGATTTATATGGAAAGATCCACCATTTTATAGCTGGGTAAATCCACTACAAATCATCTAAACTGCGGATATTTTATGGGTATGTACCCTCTGGTAATGACTCACATAGCGAACTGGAAAGATCCACCAGTTTACAGCTGGATAAATCCACTGTTTCCACTGGGCCATGTGAACAAGTTCGCTTTTTGTAAACGTTTACCCTCTGGTAACATGGGGATATTTTTTTCCATCCAATGGGGAGATTTTTTCCACCCACTGGGATTACATGGATAACTGCTATGGCAGTCATGAGTGCTTTCCCTTCGCGGAGCTTCGTTATTTTCCCATCACTGAAGCAACGTGACTTCAGTTACATCATGTTACATGTTCAGTGTATCTCCCACTTACAGACTTATAAGGTTTTACATTCCCATTTGTAACATGATTGATTGTTACATATTGTTACCAGCATTATCAACATACATTCTTAGCAAGCAGTTATGTTGTTGAAGACCAGTGGAGTATTGATTGCCTTCTGGTACATTAACATTGACCCTGAAAATCACCGATTCTCAGCCGCTTCCCTAATCTTCCAACCCCCAAATCATGCCAGGGTCGTCATGTTAAGTTACCAGAGGGTATGTTGTAAGCCCCAAATCATTGGGATATTGATGACAAGGGGCAGCCAGAAGCAATGGCTAGATGGCTATAAATGTGGGTAAAACTGTCATTTGCACCATCCAGTCATCACCATTTTTATAGGTATAAAGTATGAACTTACCATTCCCATTTTTATGGCTGGTAAAAATGGCATAACTTTCCATGTTTTACGGCTTTTCATGGCTACAGCCAGGTGACCAGATTGGTTGCCATACTCCGACAGCTCCGTATTGAAGACCGTGGGATAGCCATTCACCTGGGCGCAAATGGCAAGCAGATGGGTCCGTTGATGGTTGAGGAGATGGACATTTCCCACCTTCAATGGATCATATCAACCATCAACGGTTTAAGGTGGGAGTACCATCAACCATCAACCAGCATTGGGTAGCCCTGGATTTCCTTCTATTGATCATGACTGGGAGTTTCCATGGCCATGGGGGTACCCCCAAATAGATGGTTTATTTCATGGAAAACCCCAATCTAAAATGGATGATGACTGGGGGTATCCCTACTATCAATGTGTTTTTTTACATAAGTCAAACTTGCGCAACTTGTGAGTACTTTTGTTATTTGGTTCATATTAACTGAGTCAATTGATTTGTTTGGTAAACATTAATGTTGCCCCATTCAACCAGTCAACATAGTCAACCCCAAATGAAGAATAATCAACGATCAGGTGCCGAACGAGTGACATCCAAGTGCGGATTGAGAATGTAGAGATGGCAATTTGGAGTACCCGCGCAGGAGTTGCACATCAGCATGCCTCAAATGTCGGACGAGACTCGGATAGAAACAGAAGCGCTGAGCTCAACTTGGCTATTCGTTCAAACATGGCTATACCATGCTATACCTGGATATGAACTGACATTGAGAACATATATGATACCCACCAGCGTTGGATATGGCCCCTTGACATGCCACTGCTGGTTGACTGGCCTTTGCTGGTTATGGCCCCTTGAAATGCCACGGCTTTTCTGTTGCGATACACATCCAATGGTTGGGGTCTCAAGATTTCACACATGGTTGGTTCTGTTAACCCAAAACAGCAATACGAGCCCCGGTGTTATTAAAGCCGCGACAATGTTTTTATGAAATAATGGGGTAAGGCGTAGATACATGGCGTTGAAATAGACTAGACCTTCGAAAATACCAAGATCCGCAAATCAGCCTTTCACCCTTTACTGGCGTTCAAACAAATGGCACATCCCTGTATTATCCTGTATTGAATTTTCTGTTCACATCAACAAAACAGCTGGTTTTGATAAAGGGAATTTGGCAGTGTGTCAAAACCTTGTACCCCTGGTGAACATCAAAATAGCTGGTAAATGGATGTTCATTCCCTAAAAATGGTATTAATAGGTATTGATCCATACCCATTTGGCCAAGGTACATTTGATGATGCCCGCCTGCCCTGCGTTAGCCTCCAAGTGCCCTATGTGACTCTTGGCGCTGGTCTGCATGATGGGTGCCTTACGATCCTGCCGAACCCGAACGGGTCTCGGTTCAAAATGTTGTTCTACAGTAATGGTTAAAAGGAAGACAAACAACCAATTTTGAGCCGCGAAACATATTTTAAAGATACTGTGTTTACCTTTTTTTAAATAGCAGGAACAATAAGTTGTAGAGAAATATATAGATGGGTAGGTGTGCTATATTTTGTCAGTTCCAGATGGGATAAAACCAAAAACTGGAGCGTGAAAACGGATGGGAATGGAACGCATGTTCCATGTCATTTGAACAAACATCCGCACAAGGACTTTGTCTGCTTAGCAAATCTTTCTACAATCCTCGCCGCTGTTGTAAGGTTGTGTGGCTTTGCTCAAACTTCATGCCAGAGTAAAGTGCGGATTCTGGATGTGAATTGAAAGTTGCTAGTTCTAAATCAAACATCAAACCGTGACAAAAAAAAATGCAAACTACTCCATCCGTAGCATGTGAGCTCTATCAAGTCTTCGACCCTTCCGCTGGAAATCTTAAGTGTGATCATGGCAAGGTGTTTCTGGGACCACTCTAGTGGTAAGCAGCTGATGCTTCCCATGCTGTCTGGGGACCACTGTCTGCTAGTAATCACGCTTGCGTAGTGCTTGTCCCCCCAAAAAGAGTCCCTGAAACATAAAAACCACCTACTCCAGTGAGGTTAATTGGATTAAATGTTGGTTGACTATTTTGGCACCCAACAATCCATAGCTACACGCACCAAAAGGGAAAACAAACATCGATCATTTCAGATACCCTCTGGTAGGTTAACATTAGCTATAGAAAATCACTATTTTTAGTAGTAAATAATCTACACATATGCAATGTTCCATCGCTATGTTAAAAATGTTAAACTGCCAAAGGGAATGTTCAGAATGTCAGCTGTACCCTCTGGTAAACTAACATAGCTATTGAAAATGTCCATTTATAGTAGATTTACCCATTAAAAATTGTGATTTTGCATAGTTATGTTAGTTTACCAGAGGGTACCCAAAGCAGGGCATAGGCCGCAGGGTCAAACACTTCAAGTCCCGGCCGCCCGGCCACCCAGCCACCCCCTCCTGCATGACACCTCTCAATGCACCCACTTCGATGGGATCTCCCAAAGCTGTACCTGTTCCTGAGCCACCGAAACGTGGCAAATCAGACTGGTAGGTATACATATATATATATATATACTGTATATATATATATATTATGTATGTATATATATATATATATATATACATACATATGTACATACATATATATATATATATACAGTATATATATATACAGTATATATATACACACATCAGTATACCATTTATTACCTATTGCTGGTTCAATGATAATCAACCAATGCTGTTATTCTGGCTGGAGGGTTCCTCTGTTCGCAATGGGAATATCCAGTCTCGGAGCGTCATCCAAGGGGTTGGGTGTTGATCATTACGGAGTTGAAGCCTTTTTAGGAACAGCCCAGTTGAAAAAAAAAACACAATAACGGCCCAGTTGACAGGTTCATGAGAAAAAAAACGTGGTCTCCAACAACCCTTTCTGATTACGATCCCTTTAAATATGGAACTGCATGACTGCCCTGGCTGTCAGTTTCGCTATCGCTCCGGTGTTCCCACTCAGTAATTATTACCAGAGAGTATTCAGATTTATGGCTAAGATACCCTCCGGTAAATTAACATAGACCCTGGCAAATAGGGGTTGGAAGACTGGTTTCCTCTAAAAATTGGTGATTTTCAGGGTCTATGTTAATTTACCAGAGGGTATCAACCATAGAACTAAACTGCATCGAGGTTTACCCATTTGAATTTCATCAAGCCCTCATGGCCCTCATGGCAGCTTGAATCCTCCATGGTCATCTATCAAAGGTATTGAACAATAGTTGCATAATGATATAACAAACATACATACATACATATATATATATATATATATATCTGTTGATGGTATAATATATATATATATATCATGCCATACTGCCATACCACACCATATCATACCATATCATATTACATCAGGAATCATATCAGATCAAAGTCTGAAATACGATGTTACATCTTGATACATTTCAGAAGTTATTCTTATATTTAAGTATATGATTGTATATATATATATATATCATATATATATCATATATAACTATTACTATATATATATAATTATATGGATATATCGCACACCAGCAGCAGCCCCTCGTGACTTTCATCCAGCTTGGCATCGCATTACCGCAGAACACCGAGTCGCCGTGCAGCTCGGAGCAGGTGATCTGATTGGCCGTGAGCCCGGCCTCGCGCATGGAGCCGCGCACGCACTCCTGCTGCGAAGGACCGTTGGGCGCCGTCATGCTGGCACTCCTGGGGCGAGGCTCCGAGGGTCGTGGCGTTTTTTGGCCAAGATCCAAGGGAAGTGGAGATATGATCTACATACTAGATGTATAGTATCTATGTAAGATGTATATAACATGTATATAATTTGTATGTAATTATAAAAAAAAATATAGATTTGATTATATACATATGAACTGAAAGGTTTTGTTTTCCTAGTAAAGAAAAATACATATGTTTTGAGAAAAAAAAACATGTTTTCATAACTGAAGAAAAAAAGTTGGGGAACAACAAACTACAAATTTGTGGGTTCTTGATGCACTAGGCATTTATATATATATACACATCGAACTAGTTCATTTTGTTTTATAGAAACCAACTAACATCACCATCACTGGAGGCACATCAAATTGCGCATGTTCCCCGTGAATGTCTCTGGGCCCAGCCTGCCATCTTGGTTCAGGCAGGCACCAATGACCGTGGCCAGCGCATCTCTGGGGACGCTCTCTTCGCTTCGCGCCAGAAAGCAGGAGGAGCCTTCGCCACGTTCGAAACCATCCTGGGAGTCTGGGCCATCCCAGAGGGGGATCCCCGGATCCCGGCTGGTTGGTTTCATGGAAAAATCCCATCTATAAATGGATGATTGGATGATAAATGATAACTGGTAACTGGTAGCCCCATGACTTAGGAAACCACCATGTCGCGGGTACCCAGAATGGTCCCGGTATGTCCCGGTATGTCATCCTCTGTTCCGGATCCATAAAGAGTTCCGAGCATCTGCCGACATGTCGAAGGTGAAGCATCGGCCATTCACGGACAGCATGTGGGGTCCACAAAGGTTAATATAATTTCCAGGGCCTGGCAGTGGCCACGAGGGGTTCAGTGGCCAACCAGTTTCTATGGCTGATTTGTTTGGCTGTGTTGAACGATCTTGATGGCCATAATTCTGGGGCTTCAGTGGTTATTGGCTGAGATTTCTTGGGTGAATTTCCCTAGAAATATCTGAAAACAAACAGGTTGACTACTGAGTGATGGGGTTACATGGCTCGAAACTGTGGTGCCCATAGACCCACAACAGGCTGGTTCTTTGTAGATACTGTATTTCTAGCATTTACCCCAACTGGGGATTCACTTTGGCCATCCAAGAAAAATGTTCACCTGAACATACCTGAAGCATCTCTCTCCTAATTGCATCAAACAACTGTGCACATATCAAATATCGTAGATGAGAAACCACCAGTCCCAGAATTCTATGTTGCCAAAATGCTTAGAAACCGTTCCAACCCCCAGGATTTCCCGCGATCTCTTCCGATCAACCCGTTCCTTTTCGCGCTTAAGGCGCTCGAAAAAATGTCCCCATGTTGGCTGATCTCCGCCAGATGAGCAGTGTCCTTCTACACTACAAATATCCTTCATAGACTATCCTGTATTTGCTATACACTATCAAATACTGTATATGTATTGGGGCAACTTCTATCCTTTATATATACATATATATACGTATATACATATCAAATTAGCTCAGATACTCACATTCCTCCACCGTTCTCTTCGGTTCGCTTCGTGCCTGGAATCATGTTGGCTCCACCCATCAGCGCTTCGCTGATGTCCGAGTTCTGTCCCGCCAGGGGCTGATCAAAGGCGGCACGACGCAGGGCGGTATGCCCCACTCCTGGGATATGACCCTTACCATCATTCCAGTGACGAAAAATAGTTCGGTCAGGTCATTACGGTCCAGAATAAACAGTAATTCCTCAAGTGGAAAAAAAAAAAACATTTAGGTGAAATCTTGACCAAACCAAACCTAAATGGATTAACCCAGTTAAACAATGTGGAAACGAAACCAAACCAAAACAATCTTGGGAATTTAACCCACTAATTTCAAATTCCCAAACCTCATTCAGTGCCGTTTTTGTTGGTGATTTCCCAGATCATTCTGAACCCAGTTTCTTCCCACCTGATTGCTGCAGCCATTCTGAAGGCAAAATCCCACATTTTACAAATTGCAAAAAAAAACATGCAAATTCCATCTCAGTTTTTTTCACTAAATCCTCATTTCTCCTGCCAAGTCCTCTCGAAACCATGTTTTCCTTGGTGAAATCACTATTTCTGAGTCCATCTTTAACCCCAAACAGAGTTCAGTCTTAGTTTCTAATTCATTCTAAGTATTCCCCAAAGATTTTTCTAAGGTTTTCCCAGTTCAACCCCCATTCCCTGTTCATGTTAAGCACCACCTTTCTATGGTTAAAAAAAATATATGTCATTTCATCCAGTTAAATGGGATGATTAACTGCTTATAGAGTGGTTTATCAACCATCCACAGTAGCTATGGAAAATCGTAAAATCACCATTTTACAAGGTAAACCATCCATATCTGGTCCATCTTTTTATAGCTACCCGCCGCCCAGCGACCATAGGCCACCAAAGCAGAAGAGCAGGCGGTGTCCAGCAGGGCCTGTGGTCCTTTGAGGCCCAAGGTGAAACCTCGATGATTTGGTCATGGCGATGGTTCAACTCATGGTCGGGTTTTTGTTTGGTAAGATAATGGGAATATCATTGGAAGAAAATGAAGTATGAATATGTATATATATATATATGTATATATATATATATATGGGTTAATATATTCTGGTATACGGTATATATGAAAATATAGTGGACCATGTGGAATTATGATGGAAATTTTGGGAATTAACCACTATTTGATGGAAACATAGTGCAATTGTGATGGAAATGAGGTCATTAGATGCGGATTAGTGCAACATGATTTGACAATCCTGAGATGGGATTTAGCCCAAAAAAATCAAACAAAAAATGGTGATATACTGGATGGAAACCAGCAAGTCTTGGAATGGACGGGGAAGTGCTGGGGAATATATAATAACTATATCTAGATATATCTCCACACTGATTGCCTGCACTGGAGAGATATGAGGACAGCAACAAGCAACAAGTGTGAGTTTGGGGAATGTCGATATACATCTACATCCGTATATACATATATACCGATATAAATATACATACATGTATATATATATATATATATGTATATGTATATGTATAAATATATATATATATATGTATATATAGTATATATATACTATATATATATACAATATGTATATACTATATACTATATATACACTTTATATATATATATACAATATATATATATACATATTCAATATATATATATGTATAATTAATTATATTCAATATATATATATATATATGTATATATTTATTTAAAACTATATATACAATATATATATATATTAGAGATAATTTTATTTCTATACATACGATATACATAAATATTTGTATAGACATACATGTATGTTTGTGTATATATTTATACAAGTATCTGAATGGTCGAAATGCCCAGCTGTAAATATCAGCAGCGCCGAGGTGCCGCCGCCACAATAAAACCAAGAAACTAATTCGCCCTGCAATGCACGACCATTTCCTCGCCTGATATCCTGGGTGTAGCGAAAAAACCACCAGAAGACAACCAGAAAACAGCACCAATGATCGGCACCAAAGAAGTACAAATGAAGTCATAAATCCACCCAATTTATCTACGAATTCAATGGGGTGAATTCAACAAGTTGTAAGTGGTGGAGGCATGTGGGCACCCATCGGTGGACAAACCATCAACGACACACCCGCCTTGTGGTGGATGGTACCCAGCCCCACCATGTGCGCTTATCCAAGCATTCCAGACATGATCAGATTCAAAGATGCACACCAATCTCTGATTATCCTTCAACCTACATGCATCCCCTAGAAAAGTCTTGATTTTAACAAAGGTACGACTCCTCCTCCTCCTCTTCCTCCTTCCTCTTCTTCCTCTTCTTCCTCTCCTCGTTCTCCTTCTTCGTCCTTGTCCACCTTCTCCACCGAGCCATGTGGCGGTCTCGGGATGCAGTGGGCCACGCCTGGATCTGAACACCATATCGCCAACTCCGGATGCTGTGGGCCACACCTGGACCTGAACACAATATCGCCAGTTCCGCATGCTACGCCTGCACCCGAACACATGCCAAAGAGAATGCCAGACACAATGCCAGAAAGAATGTCAGAAAGAATGTCAGATAGAATGCCAGAAAGACTGCCAGATAGAATGTCAGAACATTTGACAGATAGAATGGCAGAATAGATGCCAGATAGAATGCCAGGCAGAATGTCAGAACACGTGTCAGATAGAATGTCAGAATTTATGTCGGACTGAATGCTAGAAAGAATGCCAGACAGAATGTCAGAAAGAAAGAATGTCAGATAGAATGCCAGAAAGACTGCCAGATAGAATGTCAGAACATGTCACAAATAGAATGTCAGAATTGATTTAAGATAGAATGCCAGGTAGAACGTGAGAACATATGTCAAATAGAATGTCAGAATATATGTCAAGTAGAATGCCAGAAAGAAAGCCACATAGAATGTCAGAATATATGTCAGATAGAATGCCGAAATAATATGCCAGGTTGGGGATCACTGGAAGTAAAGTAATATGTTCACTAATATCTTACAATTCCTGGATTTGACCCGCACATCCAAGCAAGAAAATGCAAAAAAACATGGCTCCACCTAAATGTCATGGTTAATCATCATTTTCTATAAACATCATTAAATATATATGTATATATATAAACGCAGGGTGGCGGCACACGGTGTAGCACTTTACGGCCTGACGCTGACGCCGCATTCTGACGCCACATTCCCTGATGCTGTGACGCTACATTCCCTGACGCCACATTCCCCCCTGACGCCACATTCCCCCCTGACGCCACATTCTGACGCCACATTCCCTGACGCCACATTCCCTCCCCTGACGCCACATTCCCCCCCTGACGCCACATTCTGACGCCGCATTCCCTGACGCCACATTCCCCCCTGAACGCACACATTCTGTGACGCACATTCCCTGACGCCACATTCCCCCCTGACGCCACATTCCCCCCTGACGCCACATTCTGACGCCACATTCCCTGACGCCACATTCCCTCCCCTGACGCCACATTCCCCCCCTGACGCCACATTCTGACGCCGCATTCCCTGACGCCACATTCCCCCCTGACGCCACATTCCCCCCTGACGCCACATTCTGACGCCACATTCCCTGACGCCACATTCCCTCCCCTGACGCCACATTCCCCCCCTGACGCCACATTCTGACGCCGCATTCCCTGACGCCACATTCCCCCCCCTGACGCCGCATTGTGACGACACATTCCCCTGTTGCTGAGCTAAAATGACCCCCAAAATGACCCCCGGGTTCGGGGGTCATTTCATCAATTAGAAACGGTGGTTATGGTAGCTGAGCAACGGGGTTGTTTTTTCAGCCGTGGCCAATAAGAGACCTAGCCATTAACTTATGTTTAGGTTCAAGTATATATGCCTATATGTGAGGTATAATTCTACTAATTATCTGCGTAGGTTAATATGTATTTCCCATCCGGGTTTCGGTTTGTGGCGCAGGCGCTCTTTTTGACAGGTCATTGCGTCCGGTGTTCCTCGGTAACTCTTGGCCTCAATATGGCGTGGCAGGAGTGAATGGGACTGCCATTGAAAAGTTAAGAGTGATATTAGTTTGGATACCGTTTGGGTGAGTTTCCGGTTGAGGTTGTGGCTGGTCTCTAATTTCTGGGCGATCCCGCAGTGTCCCCGGAGGCATCATACTTCATGTACCTGGTGAAGGGATAAAGCGACCCTGCTAGTGAGCAAACCCAACACAAAGCAAAGCACTGTAAGGATCATCAGCAATAAAGCCGAGAAACTGTTGAATGATTTGTTGGACACTGTTCATTGTTTATTTAAAGTTCGTAGTGATGCGTGTAGTGATTCGCCACGAAAAAATGAAGATTCATCCAGCCAAAAAATGTTATTATTTCCGCTGAACTTAAAGCGGTAGTCATCCCTTTTTCGGGGTCGCGGAATCCAACTCTTGATTTGATATCTCTTTACTTTGGGTTACATTATTTAACACACTTGACTTTGGCCTTTGCGGCATAGAGATTTGAGGCCAGGAATCTTATCAAAAACATTGCCGGGTGGGATTACTTTCTAAGGGCATGGGCTCATTGAGGCACCACCAAAGCTGTATGAGTCAAACGGGTCGTCTGAATGAATCCCATGCTTTCATATAATGGCCTCGTTGAACTGGGCCTTTGGAAGGGCTGGGGGTAGTTTTACGGCACTCAACTGCAATTGGGCTGAAACTGAGCCCTGCAACAACTTAGTAAGGAAAAAAACATGTGGAAGAATAACTGGGAGTTAGCTGGGTTTAGGGATGAGATGCTAAAGACGATATATGTACCCCACCGTATCTCAGCTACCACCCTGACCCGACCAGCTTTGAGCCGTGGCGCCTGTACCGCAGCGGCGCGCTTTTTGGCCTGGCGACCGGTACCCTGTGGATCGTTAGGGTTCAACCCACAGGGTAAGTGGCACATGCCAAGGAAAAGGCACCACACGTACGGTCCCCAAATGTGACAAGAAAAGAAAGTGGAGCTCGGCCATTCACCTGACCTGATGACCCCAAGGTTCTTTTTGGGATGGCCCGGAAGGTTCTTGTTGGGATGGTGAAGTTGAAGGATACATGGAAATGAATCTCATGTGTCCAAAACTGTGGGTGGCTGTTACCACTGCCCAAGGGGCTGCCCTGGGACTCTCGGGGGGCCCCTAATGCCGGACGTTGCGCCTTTTCCGGGGCAGCGCTAGCATCCGTTGGCGCAGCTTCCTCTGCACAAACAGTTTCAGATCCAAAATCCATCAGAATGTCATGTCATGGGTTCGGCTGCCAGCCGAACCAGCAACATTGACATCAAACACAATGACATTGAGTGATGTTATGGTGCCCAAGTGTGATGTCAATTGATGTCAATTGATGTCATGGGTTCGGTTGCCAGCCGAAACAACCCAAAGATGAAGTTGTCTCAGCCTTCTCTGCTAGTTCAACATCTTGTCGCATCAGTGACTCTCAGTCCAATATCTTCTCTTGAAAATCTGGACTGAGAAGGTATTGGACTGAGAAAATACTAAAATCACCATGGAAAATCACAGGGTTAAAAAACAAATGCAATCGGAAATTGTAATTGCGCATGCCCCCGCCCAGATTACATCGAGCTCCTCTTTCACGGTGGCCAAGAATGCCTCTGCTGCCTCTATTGCTGCATCCCTGGGCGAGAAGAGGCTGACCAAGCCAACGGTGCCCGGTACAGTTGATTCAGGTAAGGAAATTGGATGGGGATGCTCGTTAGTTGCCAGAAGGAGTTACTGACCTATTCCGAAAATGATGGAAAAGTAATGTGTTTTGATTGAATTTTGAGCTCGATCCTGCCCTTTTGCAATTTTATTTTCTGCCGAAAGTCTTTGTGGTGGACGGTCAGCACTGCAGAGGCATGCACACACACACACACATGCTCACAGGCACACCTGCACAGCAGAAAATCAGGCCACTGAGACCCAAGCAGTTTCGCTTCATCTGTCGCTGCCTTGCGCTCCATAAAGCGAAGACACCTAGCTGAAGCACCGAAGGAGAAAACGGAGGAGGGCACAAGTGAGAAGAGGAAGCAAGGAAGAGGAATGGCCAGCCCCAACACACCCTAGGCCCGAAACCCCGAGCAAGGCCCGGCTGGCTTTGGCAATTTATTACGATCCTTCAGCATAATCAATCATGGTTCGCCCCTATTGTCCTTTGCCATGATCCTTCACCATCACTCATCATGCAACTATCAATATCATTTTTCATTCGCCAAAACAGTTGACCATGGTTTACCATTCTCTGGGATAAACTTATTGGGTGATGATGTTGTTTTATGTTGTTTTAGCCCAATTCACCAAGATTAACCACCATCATCAATCATTATCAACCTTTCATTTGATCTTTGACCATCAGTAGTCACCATCATTAACCACTTTTCAAGAACCAATTATCAGCCCGATATGGTCACCATCGTCTATCATGACCCTCTGGTAGATCTCCGCTATGTCAAATGTTTACCGGAGAGTAACCATCAACCATCAGCCATTCCTCACTTGGGGCTCCAAGCTCGTCAGTTTCCTTGGATCGCATTGAGGCCTAGCGGGATCACCCCTGACTGGGAATCATCATGATGGTATCAAAAATGGGGGAGGTGAACATCCCGTGGTAAACGCACCTGTAATAGGGATATAACCAACCAATAATAGGGATATGGACATGGTTCAATACCAACTATCACCCAAATTAGGTGGATGAACATCTCCATAAAGACTCTCCTGTTCACTTGTAAAAGGTTCACCAGGCTATCCAGGTTTTGAATGTTATTTGTTTTGCTGGATTCTGGTTCGTCCTCTGCTTTGGCACCTACCCATACGGCTGAAAAGCAAAAACCAGCATGCCTTCCTTGCTGTGATCCAGAGCCATTGTACATGTACTACCATTGGCCATCCGCATACTCAAGAAGATCTGTCAAGCCATCAATCATATTCTTCAAGCAGCACTTGTTGAGAGTAGTAGGCTCATCATTTCTAGGTCTCACATCATTGCGACTACCATCAAGGTTGGGTGTCAATGACGTGGTTCTACTTTGGGCTCCAATTGGAATGTATCATCCCTAATTAACGGATCATTGAAATTCGGCATAGGGATCAAGTTTTTGGTGAATATGTTTGAACACAGGAAATCCCGAGCCTGCGATGTAACCTATGCGTGTCTACGTGTGATCATCCAAAGGGAACCAGGCACTAACTGGTCAAATTTTCTCCCCACTGGAACCCTAACTCACAAAGTATATAAACACATGTTTACGTATGGATGTACATGTATACAAAAGGCATGTACATACATACATGTATACACATGTATGTATATATATATGTGTGTCAGTACATCTCGAGGCATCCAATGTTATCATATGAAATCATACCATGCTTGACAGACAGTGAAACCATTTTTCCTACAAATTGGATAGGTATAACCTAATGTAAAAACACCAACAAAATTTGAAAACAGCCTTTAGCATGAAAATGGCTTCTGTGCTTCGTACCTTTATCGTATTCATCAAATGCACTACCCGGGTTAACTTTGGTAACCTGTACATCGTATCTGCTGTGCATTCTTCAAAACAATGTCTCACACTCTGTTCTCTTCTTGATGTTTTTCTTTTTCTTCTTTCTTCTCCTTCTTGTTTTTCTGGTCTGCTGTCTTTTTGCGCGGTTTTCTTGCTTCCAAGTTCCAATATGTGCCAACATGATTGGAAACCAAACCACCACAGTGCCTGATGCACCCAAGAGAACAACAAGCGCCTATGGCCCAAAATCATTGATTCCCTGTGATACCCTAAAGTGTAAGGGTTCCTCGTTAAAAGATCATCAATTTTGACGGATTGGTACCTCCACTTTTGACCCGCAGGTCTTTCCACCGTAGGTTTTCCTTGCGCCAAGCCACCAACGCTTCAGGTCCAGGAGAGGCAACCTGCACGATCAACTCACCAATGCGGCACGGGGCAAACGCCACAGGGTGATTACAACCAACCTGTAGTGGGTTTTAAAATAGGGACAGGGGATTATAAACAACCAACAGAGCATAATCACGGGGGAATAATAACTAACAATCGGATATAAAAAGGGGCTATAGCAAGTGATCATGATTATGCCTGAACACTGAACAATAATGATGCCACAATCACGAAGAATTATAACAAAAAAGTGATCGCCAATGCGGATGAAGCCGACAATAACGATCAATAATATGACCGACCAACGAGGGGAATGTGACCAACAGATGGGAATATGAACGTATACAGTAATGATGTTGCTTCGGTGCCGGGCATGCCACGATGACCTATATATAACCATGAAGACATCAGGTCATTCCGCCATCCACTAGCAACCAGAAGGAAAAATCATGTTTAAAAAACGGGTTGGACAACAAGGAAAGTGTATGCTGGGGTGTGGAAAAGCCACCCTCTGAAGAATGCGCGACTGTCAATGGGGATCATCATCTCACATGTTGGGGGAAATTGCGAACATGTAGCTCAAACCACGAACTATGTATGTGTTTGATTCAGCAAGGTCAGTCCAATTATTTCCAACTCAGCCAGTTGCTCCCCTAACCCCTACATCCAACTGCAACTAAGAAGATTCATTCAGAAACGAACCATGTTTGGACGCATCATCCGGGACGGTCATCCCATCTTTGGCTGCATCAATCCCTGACTAGGCACCTACTCAACCTGTCACCCAGCCTCAGCGTCCTCTTCCTCTTCTTCGCCTGCCATCGCGATCTGACCTGAAAATGACGAGCTGGCGAAAACAGCTCCCCTGAAACAAAATGCTTTTGACACCCAATACATAGCTGGCTTATAGGGAGACTCATCCCTTGGAAAGATAAGTAATTTCCACCTAACCATATAGACTTAAGGGCAAAACGATGAGCAAAATAATGGGTGCTCCTACAACCTCTGCACAATGGGTAGTACAAGCACCTAGCATCATCATCATCATCATCATCATCGTCATCATCATCATCATGGTCATGATCATGATCATCATCATCCTCATCCTCAAAGCAGCATCAGAATCGTCATCGTCATCGTCATCATCATCGTCAAAGCAGCATCAGCATCGTCATCGTCATCGTCATTATCATCATCAGCAGCATCATCATCGTCATCGTCATGGTCATTGTCATGGGCATGATCATGATCATCACCATCAGCATCATCATCATCAGCATCATCATCATCATCATCACCATCATCATCATCTTGATCATGATCATGATCATGATCATCATCATCATCATTATCCTCATCCTCAAAGCAGCATCAGCATCGTCATCGTCATCATCATCATCATCAAAGCAGCATCAGCATCGTCATCGTCATCATCATCATCATCAGCAGCATCATCATCGTCATCGCCATGGTCATTGTCATGGTCATCGTCATGGTCATGGCCACCGTCATCATCATCATTATCAGCAGCAGCATCATCATCATCAGCAGCATCATCATCATCAGCATCATCATCATCATCACCATCATCATCATCATGATCATGGTCATCATAATCATCATCATCTTCATCATCATCATCATCATGATCATCATCATCATCATCCTCATCATCATCATCATCATCCTCAAAGCAGCATCAGCATCGTCATCGTCATCGTCATCATGATCATCAGCAGCATCATCATCGTCATCGTGATGGTCATTGTCATGGTCATCGTCATGGTCATGGTCATGGTCATGGTCATGGTCATCATCATCATCATCACCATCATTATCATCATCATGATAATCATCATCATCATGATGATGGTGATCAACAACATCATCATCATCATCATCATCACTGTCATCACCACCATCATTTTTTCTTTTTGTGTTTTTTCTTCATATTCTTCTGTTTCTTCTTCTTCTTCTGCTTCTTCTTCTTCTGCTCCTTCTTCTACCTTCTTCTTTTTGATCCTCACTACCAGCGACAATGGCACAACAAGAACATCATATTCTTTGTCTTCTGCTTCATATTTGTCTTTTTCACCTTTCTGTTCTTTGCCTTCAGCAACCACGGCTTCTCAACAATCAAAAATGAACAATCAACCATCAAGAAACCGGATGAGTTCATGCCCGCAAAAATGCTATCACAGGTGATCACGTTCCTCATGGTAATCAGCAATGGGTGAAAATGTTGTGTAACAAACAGCCGTGCTGACGCTTAGGTTCCGGCAAGAGTGGAAGGTCCCCTAGTTACTGGTTTTTGAGAGGCATCCCTTCATTCACCGGCACATGAGCATCATCATGAGATAGCCCCTACTGCTGGTTGCTTAGGGTACGGTTACTGGTTGGACAATAATGGTAGATTATGGCTGATTTTGTTTGATTGCGGGTGTACCCCGCAACTCATGATCCTGTTGGCAAATTTTGGGGTAGCCCCTGCTGAAACACCAAGGCAATTATCAAGAAACAGAGTTGGCCATCCCCTTCGAACCCTTCAGGCTATTTGGAGCTGCGACAAAGAAACCACTAGGCCAACTAACACCAGAGCCTTCCCATAACGCCCCAACAACACCCCTACCATCCCCTACCCCTTTAAGGGGGGGGGACCTTCCAAAGTGTAACTTCCATTTACGGTGGATTACATTTTAAAATCAATCGCAAGCTAGGGTGTGAATGACAACATCTCAAGGTCTTAAAACAGCTCAAATGGACTCCCGGTCAGAATCAAATTTTGAGGAACACCCGTCAACCAGTGACATTTGATTTGGACATCTGTATCATGAGGCCAGATGCCACATGAATTTACAGCCATCAAGAGTCACGAATGGCTAACAAGATAGTACTATCACATGCATTGGTGGCCATTAACAACACCTGCAACACCAATAACAAGCAAGACCACTACGGCTAAAATCCGCTGCGCTCTGCCCGGAGCTGAGGGCACGCGCCGGAGGATGATGTTCCGGGGGCAGCAACAAAATGCTGAGCCACGTCGACAACAGGCCAGGAGTTTCTCTTCGCGGGCTCCAAAGAGTAGAAGCAGCAGATGTTGGATGTGTTGGCTTGAGAGCGAAATACCTTTGCTGTGGTTAATGATCTTTATCATCACCCATTCGCAAGTTATCACCATGAACAGGTAGTAGTTCGACCATCCATAAGTAGGTGGGTTTGTTGATAGTTGGGTTTATCACCAATCCTTGATTATGATTGAATCCCTGTCATTGCTGATTGATATTCCTAGTATTGGCGGTCATATCCATGCATAGTTGGAACTATCATTCACTGCGATTATATCCTCGTTCTTTGGTTATGTTCGCACCTATTCTCAATTATTATGCTATTTTCGAGCCATGGCCTTCTCTGTCCTGCCATTCAACTCTTATGATGGTTGATCTCCACGTAGCACCTCTGAGCCAATCTCTGCATCTACAAGATGAGCGGTAGGTCCGGGAACAACAATTTCTGGAGGACAGAAGGCAGAAATCTTTCAGGTTTACAACCCGGATCAAACACAAAATATGGGGGCCATGGGCCGTAGCCTGGGGACTCCAAACTACCCTGAACCATGTTCAGCATGAAGTTTCCGGTTTCAGTGGCCCTTGCAACTCAGCATGTTCGTCATTGAAGCAAAACCAGCAAAATTAGAAAAATTCTGATAATAGGTCATACAAATCCCCACTCAAAGCATTTGTGAACCCATTCTTCAGGAATTTGAATTTAAACCGTTGGTGCGTCATGGTGCATCACATACAACCAGCAAACAGGCAATTGACAGCGCACGAAGGTTGCAGCCCTATTTTGCAGACCAAAAAAGAGTGCGCAGGCGAAGCGTGGACCGCGGTTGACGACGACAATGATTCCCAGAGGTCTGAGGCACCTGGCACCACATCAAATCAGCATGATGTCACCACGCCAGGGATGAACCAATATAATTGGGATGGTAATCAACAATGAAAAGGATCATAATCAACCAAAAATAGCAATCATAACCAATACTAACAGGGATTAAAAACAACAATTGTGAGGACTGATAACATTTTCTGGATGGTAATCAACAATGACAATGACATAATAAACCAACAATTGTGGCTTATCAACATTGTTGGGTACCTTTTGGGATGGTCAATAGTGATAGGGATCAGAACCAAAAATCGCAGGGACCATAATCAACAATGATGAGGATTTTAGCCTCAACGATGGAGATATAACCGGCACTCATAGGGATTTAACCGTCAATGACGGTGATACAGCCAACGATACTAGGGATGACAGTGAAACCATGATATTGGTATGTCTTAAAATAGGCTCATCTTTAGTAGGTAAATGCAGGTAAACCATCAATCTGGGGGTTCCCCCAATAATGGAAATACCAATGTTCGTTGTTGGTGATATTCCCCTTCTTTTTACCTATTCTCAGTATGCTATCATCAAGCGCGTTACTGCCATTATGATCTGTGTTCTTTGGTGGTGTTGTTGCTACTACACATGATCATGAATTATTATTGTCACTATTATCTCATGATATATCAATTCTACTATCATCATGACAATCCATGTCATGTGATGATAATAAATGACGATCATGATTATATATATATATATATCACCATATTATCATCACAGGTACTGTTATCATCAAGACAACACATGACATGTAATGATAATGTATGATGATCATGATTAAACATGTATATCACCAAATCATCATCGCAGGTACTGTTATCATCAAAACAAACCATGACATGTAATGATAATGAATTATGATCATGGTTAAAAAGATATATAAATATATATACATATACCATCATCATATGTATTGCTATCATCATGACAATGGCCTACCATCATCATTGACACAGCTCATCTGCATTCGACAACCAGCCCTCGGTGTTGCGCCTACGCTGGGTAGTTGGGCCGAACACCTCGAAGGGTGAGGCCTCGATGACCCGGGGATGGAGCTGGGGGTTATGATAGGTAGCAACGCTTTGATATGTAACGACAATGGGGAATATAACTAACAATGGAAACACTAATTACGGCATGATGGTGCAACAGAATGATTTTGTTGTCGTAATGATATGATGTTGACAATGAGAAGCATGGTGATTACCATAATGACCAAACGTACTTGGATGTAGTGTTTGTCCCGGGGTAACACCAATATGCTTCATTCTCCACTCACGGTTTGATTATATCCCGTTCGGGGTCTGACAATGATTCATAATCATACTGTAAATCGACAGTACAATTGATGGACAAAATCCCGCCTCGGTTCGAATGGCAGAAAACCTTTGAAGGGTGGGATCAACTGGTATATAACTGGTGCAGGAGCTTGTCCATCAACATTTTATGGGGGGAAAACCCTGGTACTATGCAGAACCTCCCACAATTCTGGTCAATTTTTGGTGGTCCGTACCAGTATTGACCTGCAATCGTAGGAGGACAAATGGTAAATGGAGTTCGGGACTGCAAAGCGAGAGTAGTTCAGCAACACGAATGGTGACATGATATATGACCACCATGTTCAAGGTATTGTGCTGAATATGAGGTGTTGCATTGATGCATCCGAATGTTCCGCACATAAGCGCTTGAAACATTTCCACGCCTAAGTAATGATATTTGGAAATGTATCAAAACCCGGCCCCCCCCTGAACATCCCACTATGCGGACGCGGTCGGGTGTGAGAGCAGCGGACGAGCCACCCACCCCTTCCTGAACATCCCAAAAATGAACACTGCAGTCTTTGCCAAGTGGAATGTTCATGTACCCAATTTTGGATTCTAATATGATGGCCATACCTGGACCCAGATATTGACCCATCGGATCCATGTATGGATGGTATTGACCCATGCCATCCCATGCCAATATGATCAAAACCCCCCATCCAGCGGCATGTCATCATTGGGGGCTCGAACCAAATGGAGGCCGCATAGGCTGTGCTGCTACCATGTGAGGCGGTCGTACCTCATTCGAGCCGCGGGGATCCAGCAAGCTACCTGAGTTTGGCTGAATCATTTGTAATAAACTTGTGCCCCGCAGCAAACCTTGGGCTGGTATGCACGATTCTTGTCCATTCCTGGCTCAATATAAAACCATTCTGATGATTACCAATAAGGGCCATGCACCCACTACACTTAAAATGTCCATACATTCATATGTACTGCTCAATTTTTTGTTCCCTGAGCAGAACTGGCATTGTAATCAACAAAAACTTCTTGTTAGGCTTCCATCATCATGATGCGGCTTTGTCAAATTTTCATATCATCATTGACACGGGATGTCCGAATCATCAGCCAAACACGACCAATCGAAACCACCAATGATCATGAACTCATAGGCCATTTATTGTTGCTCATTGTTAGTTGCATAGTCATGCCCAGAATGGGGGGTGTTCATCTGTTTTGGGTGTCGACTTTCCATCTTTTTGGGAATAATTATGCTTATAATCACCAATCCCGATGTGAGGATGTGTGACAATAGGGGTTCCCATCACTCAAAAGTGATCATTTTTTGTCAGTAAACCATGGATTTGCGTATATCCTATTTTGGGAAATAACTATACTTATGGGTTATATCCCTGCCATTGGTGGTTATATCCGTATTATCGTTGCTTATTTTCACTGTTATTACCCTGTGTCTAGTCTCGTGAAAGCATAGCACCGCCCATTGATTGGCACATCACCACCCCTCATCGCCTGCATGGAGATGGGCGGCGGCCCCGCAACTGTGCCACCAAGCCTTCAGCAGAGTTTCTTGGACATGGATATAGTTGCAAATCATACTCAGGTGTGTATGCTACGTGCATCTATGCTGTGTCTACCTGTGGACACCTATTCTAAGTATGTATACATGTACTTATTGCAATATCACGTGATATGTTTGCAAATACATACACGTACATGTATTACATAAACATATTCATATCATATCATATTATAACATTATGTACAATTAGATGGTGCATACTCATATCATATCATATATCATAGATGTACTCGCCCAGAGATATCTAAGCAGGCATCTAAAGTATGATAAACCGCTGTTCATCTTCGTGTTTAAAAACAAATAAAGGTTTGCAAACATACATCACCAACCACGTCCATGTCAGCTGGGGTCGAAACTGCTGAGGCGCTTGGCTTCGTCCTTCACCTTAGTAGTGGTGGTCCTCCACTTTTGAAGCACCCATCATTGGATCGACCTTGACACCATCCTTATCAGCCTTCACATCCTGATCTTCTGGAAGATCGACACCATGACTACAAATCATCTTTCCATTCATCCAATATGCTTGGTTTCAACCAGCCTCCGAAATATTCCAAAATACTAGTGATCTTTCCTCATGATGGTTCCAACCAGCCTCCCAATGATCAAAATCGCAGTGCTTCCCATCCTCCAACCAACCCACCCCGTGACCAGTGTGACCTCCTTGAGCCTCGCACACCTCATGGGGACCATAGGTCCGGGGCGAGCCACCGGAGCCGTGCCCCGGAAGCTGCCACCCCCAAGGGGGGCCCAGACCTCAATGGTCGCTGGCTGGGAATCACCAGACACAAAAATTGGGAGTGGGAATGGGTGAATATCCCAAACTTGTTGACGATTGTCCACAATCACTAACCCTTTTCCTTGCTGAAAAGATGACATGTGGTCAGATTTTTCACCTTGCACCGTTACATGTATATTTGGGAAAATGGAACCAGATAGTTGACCATCAAGATTGACGTGGCTGATGATACCCATGGGAATTCGATTGAAACTATCTTTCATGTAATTGACCACATCATGACCAATCGAAACCACCAATGATCATGAACTCATAGGCCATTTATTGTTGCTCATTGTTAGTTGCATAGTCATGCCCAGAATGGGGGGTGTTCATCTGTTTTGGGTGTCGACTTTCCATCTTTTTGGGAATAATTATGCTTATAATCACCAATCCCGATGTGAGGATGTGTGACAATAGGGGTTCCCATCACTCAAAAGTGATCATTTTTTGTCAGTAAACCATGGATTTGCGTATATCCTATTTTGGGAAATAACTATACTTATGGGTTATATCCCTGCCATTGGTGGTTATATCCGTATTATCGTTGCTTATTTTCACTGTTATTACCCTGTGTCTAGTCTCGTGAAAGCATAGCACCGCCCATTGATTGGCACATCACCACCCCTCATCGCCTGCATGGAGATGGGCGGCGGCCCCGCAACTGTGCCACCAAGCCTTCAGCAGAGTTTCTTGGACATGGATATAGTTGCAAATCATACTCAGGTGTGTATGCTACGTGCATCTATGCTGTGTCTACCTGTGGACACCTATTCTAAGTATGTATACATGTACTTATTGCAATATCACGTGATATGTTTGTAAATACATACACGTACATGTATTACATAAACATATTCATATCATATCATATTATAACATTATGTACAATTAGATGGTGCATACTCATATCATATCATATATTATAGATGTACTCGCCCAGAGATATCTAAGCAGGCATCTAAAGTATGATAAACCGCTGTTCATCTTCGTGTTTAAAAACAAATAAAGGTTTGCAAACATACATCACCAACCACGTCCATGTCAGCTGGGGTCGAAACTGCTGAGGCGCTTGGCTTCGTCCTTCACCTTAGTAGTGGTGGTCCTCCACTTTTGAAGCACCCATCATTGGATCGACCTTGACACCATCCTTATCAGCCTTCACATCCTGATCTTCTGGAAGATCGACACCATGACTACAAATCATCTTTCCATTCATCCAATATGCTTGGTTTCAACCAGCCTCCGAAATATTCCAAAATACTAGTGATCTTTCCTCATGATGGTTCCAACCAGCCTCCCAATGATCAAAATCGCAGTGCTTCCCATCCTCCAACCAACCCACCCCGTGACCAGTGTGACCTCCTTGAGCCTCGCACACCTCATGGGGACCATAGGTCCGGGGCGAGCCACCGGAGCCGTGCCCCGGAAGCTGCCACCCCCAAGGGGGGCCCAGACCTCAATGGTCGCTGGCTGGGAATCACCAGACACAAAAATTGGGAGTGGGAATGGGTGAATATCCCAAACTTGTTGACGATTGTCCACAATCACTAACCCTTTTCCTTGCTGAAAAGATGACATGTGGTCAGATTTTTCACCTTGCACCGTTACATGTATATTTGGGAAAATGGAACCAGATAGTTGACCATCAAGATTGACGTGGCTGATGATACCCATGGGAATTCGATTGAAACTATCTTTCATGTAATTGACCACATCATTTTCCATATTTTGACTGCGGGTAGCGGCTGCGAGGATAATTGCAAATGATTATCCAATTCTGGATGCGGCATTTCCACCAAAGAAGCGCCCCGAAATCTACCAATAGTCGTGTTTAACCGCAAATAACCCTGCGGGTGTGTCTCAGAACTAATCATCCCCAAAATGGGGTAGACTAACATCCCAATTGAGTCACCAGCCCCAAACATACTTGCAAAAGTCAGATGGGATGATTGTGAAAACGCTTCTGAAATTAGCGTGAGCGTATTTCAATGGGGGCAATGATGATTATTCCACCTGCCGCTTCACCAAGGAATTTCAGCCCTCAAATTGATTGATGATGAATGTTCATGAGCAAATGGTTGCTTCCAGACATGAGGCAGTGATATGGGGAATTTACCAAGAAGGTGAATTTTTGGCTAGGCAAACCAATGAGTGGCGGAATCCTGATGCTTGCAAATTCCCACACATGTGTGTTTACAACGTTGCAAAAAACATCTAGAGTCCGCGACCGCTAATTCGCTTCGAAAAGCAATGTCGTTTTGCTGGTGCCAAAATCTAAGAAATGGGCACCATCATGATCAATTCGGGCGCGGAGAAACAATGCTATGGAAGGTGGTTCGCATATGTGCCATGGTCAATACTCAGTAGGCTATGGCCATCCCATCCATTATAGGGATCCTTATAATGGTTGTAATAAATCCCTATTAACCCTTGGATGACCATGCCCTAATGGGTAATAATATCCAGTATTGAGCATAGAAATACCCATCTATCAGGGACCAAGCAGCACAATCCGTCCGGCTACTTCTGCCCCACCTGTGGCTCATCAAGCAATCTCATGTCATCGTCCTTAGCCAAAGGCTTCGAGCACGGCACGGGTGCTGAAAGGAAACGACCTGTTTTGAGGCTTGATCATGTTGACTGCCGCATACAGCTAATCCAGCCCCCCCAAAATAAAAGAAAAGTAAAATCCCACATCATTTACCATTAACGATCACACAACTATTATTCATGGCAATATTCCTATGACCGGTGGTCATGTCCCCATTATTGGTGTTTCCCATTTATGCGGGCATGACTGAAGTCATCCCCCCAGGCAGTAGTCAGGTGGCATTGCGGGGCACACCCCCACTGCTCGACCCCCTCGAGCCATGGCGCAGGCGGTGGAGGTCCAGCGGCACCGTGGTGACCCCCGGTCCCTGTGTGAGCGATTGTCTCCTTAGCATTGCGAAGGGGCCATCATGGCCACTTTGTGCTCAGACACTTTGCGTCGTTGGTCTCTGGGCTTCAGGACCTACACTTCTTGGACACCACTGTGATCTAGTTTGATGCTGTATCACGAAACGCGTCAGCCGATTGCCTACCTCAAACGGCTCTGCTTTCCTGGATTTCAGCAGCTATTCCCATGGTGATTTCCAACATCGCTCACTGGCAGAGGTGCGTTGGTTGACATCGTTTCAGCTGCGGCCAGGTTTCTGCATGCTCATACGACATGCCATCTTTGCCTCGGCTCGAGAGACTTTCCATGGCACATAAGCTGTTTGCTGTTGGGGTTGGGGTTGGGTCAGGCTGTATCGCATGTCACTGTCGATTTCATCACCGAAAAAGAACTCAACCCCATTAAACCCCACAACTTCCGTTTGCACTCTTGAATCCTCCAGAATCTTGGATTCTTTGGGCTATTTCCATCCATGGGCGTACCCAAGGGCCATTCGTTTCCCTACTAAACATGATCATGTTTGGGTGCATTTCAACGTTAACCCTTTTTCAAACAATACTCATGTTACCCTTTGGATTCTAATGATCCACATAATCAGCAGGGAGCATCCAATATTGACCCCAAAAACAATCGATCTCGGTTGCACCGGAAGAGTCTGGTTTACCCTCCGGGCTCGAACCGCCAACCTGAGGCCACCGACCATGATGACTGACCTCGGGCAGCTCGTGATACGAATGATGGGGTACGCCTAGTGTTTATCTACCATCTATAGCATCGTAAGGAAAGCATAATAATGATTTATCCACCATAGATACGTACAGGCCATACATATATCCAATGTTATTTAGGCAAATGAGTATAACCAACCATAGCTGGCATATTTGGGATATGCATGATGATGCATCCAACTGTTTTGGGGGATATAACTTTACTAGTTTTCCTTTAGTCTTCCTTCTTCTGTTCATCCTTCTACTTGTCCTTCTGCTTTCTCTTAGCCCTTTCCACACGCATGCAACATGAATCAACTTGAATGTGAAGGAGCTACAAGGTAACATGATGGAAGGAAGTTCAAAGACAAGCAGTAGGACCGAAGCGGGCAACGAACAACAAAGTATCTGTAAACAATGAAAGGAAAAGTATTGAATTGGTGAGTCCAGGATCCAAAAGTCAAAGGGACATGAACGGAAAAGTGTTGGTGAGTCCAGGGTTCAAACGTAAAAGGGAACAACAGGAAAAGTGGAGGCAGGGAAAAAGGTGACTTTCCACTATTGAAGCCCTAGCGTTTGTTTAGGGGAAGGGGGGGAGGGCCACTAAGCACGAACCAACATTACATGCTCATCGCCGTCATCATCAGTGTCATCATGCAAGACTCTCCACCAAGTCCCTTTGGGGTAATTTCTGGGCCGAAGCACGTTGAGGCTGCTGAAGATGCGCTCATGGCCCTGCAGGCTGCGTTTTGTTCAAAAAGGCCTTTACTCTCTGTGGCACGTAGGGTTCTCCCAGGAATACTCCCTAAGCATCCCAAAACGACATGATCAAACAAAAACGCTGTTTTTGAGGTGAGATGGTTTAACCCTTTCCCGCGACACCCGTACGTTATGGGTAACAAGCATGGGTTGTAACATGACAACTGCTAGCTAAGTGGCAACCTAACCTGCAAACGCATGAGTTCCTGGAGAACCAACGGTCATTGCTTGAGCAACCGTGTACAAGTAGTAACTTGATTCATTGCTGACAGCCAAGGTGTGTAACCACCTTGGTTCTTGGCGTTCCTGCCTTGGTGTCACCGCACGGTTCGTCCAGAGGGATCTCCAGGCCTGAGCCAAGGCAAGAGGTTGACAAGCCATGCGGAGAAACCCGGCTCCACTGCTCACTTGAACCCATCTTTAAAACGATGGTTATCCATGGACTGTGATGGTGGTGAATGGAATACTATGGATTCAAAATGTTTTGACTGGATGGTGAATGCTTTTGGTGGATTACCAGCGATTATTCTGGATTACTATGAAGGCCAACGACCTAATTTGCATATGAGTGTTGATGATGATCACGCTTCTGAGCACATGTACGTCTATATGTAAAATGGAATTATCTTAATCATCCGGAGTCAGCGGTTGGCACATTAACCATGCAAAACACGACACAGACGGAAACCTTTTTTTCTCCCATGATTGTCTAACAAGTTTCGGCTCCGCTTGCAAACTCTCAATCGCTCTTGCCGGAGGTGTCCGAGTCAAAATCATAGTGGGCTGGCAGCGGCGGCATGTTGTTCCTCTGGTAGTAGAAGCTGCGATCTAAATAGGTTGGAGAAGTCGTCACCAATCGCTTCGCAAGGCGACACGTCCGCAGCAACCACATCATCTCCATGTGTGACAGCCATTCCACGGTATTCGCCTGTAGTGCGTCTACAAGTTTTGACATTGCGTCCTTCGTAACCTTGAGCCGAATACTTCCCACGAAAGACACTGAAACATTTGCAACGTTAACCAAATTTAAAATAAAGATTGAATATAATATGACATTTGACACCCGGAAACTCGATCATTAGACAGTCCGGAAACTTGGCAACAGGAAACTTATAGACACTGTGGAAACGTGGAAACGGCGGTATTGATGGCTTCAAATGCCTCGCTCCTTGCTTGGAACTCCCCTTCCGCCGGAGACCGGTGTGCGCCTGGCGACCCGGGCAACCCATGCGACGGAAACCTTCAATCTAGATTCTAGATTGCCCCGATGCTTCACAAAAGAAATGCAAATCATAGTTAGGAATTGAGCTTCCGGCACAGGACCTCTAGCCGTGTGGGAAACACAAAGCTAAGTCTCAGACGGCCTGCCCAGGACAGTGCAACCAAACGTTACTCAAGTAAAGTTGCAAAGGATGGGGAAGACACGTAGAAGCTATGGAACGCTGAAATCTCCTGGCAGCAACCTCGGCCATCTTGTTTTGACTCCCGCCACACACAAGCTCGACAATAGCGCATTTATGTAATGCGGTCCTGCGGAAGGACAAATAATTCGGAAGGCCTAAGAGCTGCCAGAGACGGGCTACGGCTACTGTGACCCATTCACAGAAACCAGCCGCGTCGCAACTCAGAAGCCAATTGCAACTCAGGCCGGGAAATCATTCATGCTCAAGCGCAATCGCTTTTGCTCTGCCGAAGCTTTCGGATCATCCTGGACCTCCTGAGCCTCTTGCTGTCAACTTCAAGTCTTTGGTCATCACGTGGCTTCAGCAGGCCATGATCAATCAGGTGCCCGACGCCCTTCTCAATCCTTTTGCTGAGCTCAGATTTGAAGGTTGTCCCTCTCAAGTTCTTCAATAGCAACCTGTCGGCTGAGGTGAACCAAGCATCAGGCGGGGCTCTGTGCATCAAGGTGCGGAGAAACAAAGCCTCTGCATCCAAGGGCGCCTGCTCCTCTGTCTCAGGGATGCTGCACAAGATCTGCTGCGATTCCGCGGCCTTGCTGTTGCTGCTCAGTCCTGCCGCAGCTTCGTCCTTTTTCGAGGCTGCAAACCTGTAGCTTCCAAAGTGCCACTGGATTTGTCGGATCCACTTGTGCAGTGCCACTGTGAACTCATCCAAAGACATGGCTTCCCGTGAATCCTCAGGAAGCTTTGGGCACAAGGTTGTGAGAAACTGCACCGACCTAAAGACCTTGTGTGCGTCTCGCAGCACATCGGAATGGAAAAAGACCAGCTTGGTCCTGAAGACGGGAGGAAGCTTGTTCTCAGACACGAAGTCAGTGATGGCCTGCTTGGCAGCATTGTACATGCTGAGGGCCTGCCCACTCAGAGAGATGACGACCGGCGGCTGCTCCACGCACTTAGAATGCATCCAGTCATGCCAATCTTGGATGAGCTTGTCACTGGCCTTGAACAGCTGCTGGTCCTGTGTCGGGTTCTCTGACAATGACCAAACCTGCTTCAATCGCTTTTGGAAGCCGTGCACTCTAGGCTGCACGACCTCTTCCACAACTTCTGTTTGGCCGGCCACTTTCAGCAGGAAATTGTAATGGGTCAGGCTGAAGCTGCCATTACCTGTGGTCGGGGCATCGGGCTCGCCCTGTGTCCAGGTGTTCAACTTGGTCACGGCTATGAAATGGATGCCCGACTCCCGGTCTGACATCTTTGTGTCGAAAGTGTTGGCAGCTTCGTCGGATGTGACCCCACATCTTCCGTAGTCTTTCAAGCAATTGCGGATGCCCTTGGGTGGTGCTATCAGTTGTGAGGACTGATCGGTCCTGGAAAGCCTGACCAGCGTGGGGGGCGTTGCACATCCAGTCGTCCGTCTGTTGGATCAAGGCCGTCTTGCGTGTGGAGGATGGAGATCCCACGATGACAGGGCTTCCGGTGGAGATGAAATGCTGTGCCCGAGGATTGTGGCACAGAGTCGTGCCATTGGCCTCCAGAAAGCCAATGTTGCTGTCAAGGCAGCCAAGCAAGGCCTCAGTGTGCACCCCTTTCGCTCGCGCGATGGTATGCACTGCATCCGCGATGGGGCCCACAGCGCACAAGCGGATGTCCATATCCTCTTCCACCGCGAGCTGCCTGTGTGTGCGTGCATCTTCCCAGCACATCTTAAGGTTGCCCTTCACTGTGTCATAAGTTTCAGCCTTGTTGCGCATGCCCTCAAAGATTCGGTTCGGGAAAAGCACATCTTCCAAGTCTTCCACAGTCTTGATTGCTTTGAGCTTCTCGACCCACCCCTCCACCGGGTCTTCCATGCTGTAGCCCACAACTTCTTCCTCGGCCAAGGCATCATCAAAGCAGAGCCCCCTTCGATTGGCACCAGGCTCTTGCGATGAAGGTGGGCTAGTCGACAACCTTCCCTGCCTCGGTGGAGGCGTGCTCTCGTTGCTTGCCGCAGCCCTGAAAAGGATGCCTTTGGCGTGCAAGGTAATCAGCAAGCTGTGAAAGTAGCAGTCTCCAGCTTCCCGAACCCTGTCCACAAGCAAAAGCCCATCACCCCTGCCTTCCACTGCGAGAACCATGTCACGCCATTTTTCGTGAGCAGAGGTGCTGGAATGCCAGCTGTGGGCTTGCCTCTGGGTCAGCAAAGGCATGAAATGGCACCCTCCAGCCCCTGCGCCCTCTACATTGGCCACCCCACCAAAGACAACGACGCAGTCTTGCTCTGGATCTGGCACTGCAAAAGTAGGGTCGCGGAAAAAAGCAGCTGGCAAGGCCATCACTTCCGTCGGGAGCTTGGGCGACAGAGGTGCGATACACTTTTCTAACTCTGGGCGCAGCAATGCCCAATCATCGTTGCACCCCCAGACTGGAGACTCGCTCTGGGTCTCGGTCCCTCCGTATGTGGGATCTTCACGGGCAGTGGCAAGGCAGGCCCGCAACAGCTGGATGCCTTCTTCATGCGAAGCCAATCCACACACAGGCAGCAGCTGAGTTTCCAGCGCGTTGACCATTTGTTTCCTGGGAGTCCCCTTGGGAGCTCCGTCAGATCCCATGGGCCCTGGTGATGGCAAGCCATCCATCAAAGCTTCAATGTCTTCAGCCAATCCATCATCGGCAGCGAAGGCGCACAATTGGCTTTGGATGTCTGCGTCGGGCCACTCTTGGCAGGCAACAGAGAACTTGGAAGGGGACTCGTCCGCGGGGAGCCGCACCAGTGCCGCAGCGCCTACTGCGGCGTCGCCGCAGTCACGCACTGGCAGCAACTCTTTGGTCGCAGGAGTCCCCCTGGGAGCTCCGGGAACAATCTCCGCCATGGCTTTCCTGGCTTTGGAGCAAAGAGTTGAAGCGCGTGTCACTTGAGCAAATCGTACTAAGGTGAAAGCATCACAAGGTAAACACAAATGAGTCCGACTTCATGTTTCAATTTTACAACTCTTGGACCATGGGCAGCAAATCTGGCTGACGCAACCTTTCCACCTCTGTTGCACATGCAATGCTGAGACCCGTGCTAGAGTGAGGTCATCTTCGCGCGTCCTCTATAGGAGATCTCTCTATTTGACCTGGATATCACGCACGCAGTCTTCGGTTTTACCTTTTTTGTGCATCAAAGAAGATATTTCCTGAAAAGCTCCTGCCAAGGCTTTTTCCCAAAGAACTGGTGCCAAACAAAATCCACATCGCGCGCATCCCTTACGTCACCAAAATGATCAAACGTCACACAGGCAGCAGCTGAGTTCCAGCGCTTTGACCATTGTTTCTGGGAGTCCCCCTGGAGCTCCGTCAGATCCCATGGGCCCTGGTGATGGCAAGCAATCCATCAAAGCTTTCAATGTCTTCAGCCAATCCATCATCGGCACATCTTCGCGCGTCCTCTATAGGAGATCTCTCTATTTGACCTGGATATCACGCACGCAGTCTTCGGTTTACCTCGGCCTTGAGCCACTCCTTTGTGCATCAAAAGAAAGATATTTCCTGAAAGCTCCTGCCAAGGCTTTTTCCCAAAGAACTGGTGCCAAACAAAATCCACATCGCGCACATCCCTTACATCACCAAAATGATCAAACCAGTGCATTCATGTTTTTATCAAACATATAAAAATCCCAGAGCCATTTTGTAGAGCCTCTATCTTGTCAAGACCTCAGCGTCAACTGCCTTTTTCCCAGTGCCATTTTGTAGGGTTTTTACCCTCTAGTCGTCTTCACTCCTCCTTTTCGGAGGTAGATCCATTTTTTTCATGCAACTTTTGCAGCATGAATATTTTTCTATTTTTTTGCCAACGATGTGCTGGCAATCCTTCTGAAGATGGAAACGTTTTCCGGTTCCAGTATGTTCCAGTCACAAAAACGGTCCCAAAGCAAAAACGAAGATCGGGAGAAGAATACTATTTTAACACAGATCTTCCAGGGAACAATCGGTATCGAAGTTTGGATAAGGCAGAAGAATCCGAGAAGATCCAGAAGGATCCAGAAGGAACAAATTCAATCACAATTCTTTGCCACAAGCGTTTGTGTGTAAAGCAGCTCCTGTGCGTAAAAGGGTCTGTGTGTAAAAGTGTCTGCGTGTAAACGTGTCTGTGTGTAAAAGTGTCTGTGTAAAAGCGTCTGTGTGTAAAAGCTTCTGTATGTAAAAGCTTCTGTATGTAAACGCTTCTGTGGGTAAAAGCTTTGTGTGTAAAAGCGTTTGTGTAAAAGCTTCTGTGTGTAAAAGCTTCTGTGTGTCAAAGCTTTTGTGTGTAAAAGCGTCTGTGTGTAAAAGTGTTTGCGATGCAAACTATTGTCTTGCACTTCTCACTATTTTGTCTTGATACTCCTCTTCTCGACTGCCTATAACACATCTTTATACATCTTTCATATCGGTTGACAACAAATTGTCATTCCACATGCTGAGAAGAGCAAAAGAGTCAGCCACGCCGGAAACGTGCTTAGAAAATTCACCAGTCCTGACCTGGATGCAATGCAAAGTAACCTCCAAACTTCACATTGAACATGTTGAAGCTTGGCTCGGGACAACGCAGCAAACAGAAAGGATGCGCCTCAGATTCACTTTATCCCGCGACTGCACTCTAGGTTGAAACTGTTTGAAACTACAAATCAATACTTCATACTAACGCTGTTTCTGTCACGATCTTTCAGTGTCAGGAAAAATGTCAGCCTTGAATGTGGAAGATCTTCTTGAAGACAGTGGGGCCGTAATGCATGAAGACATTCATACCTGGCAGCAAAATCTTCGAGTTTGCGCTCGTTTGTTGAATACATCCTTTGAATGGGTATGTCTTATGGCTAGTATTTTGCCTTCGCTCATGACATAAGCAGCATGTCATATGCGGGTGACAAAAAATGCTGAACTGATACAGCTCTTCAAATACAGCTCTTCCGTGGGGCTGGGTTCCCCGACTCGGCTGGAGCGGCTGGTTGCTGAAAAGCCCACGAACATGGCATTGATAATCAGTGATGGTCTGCGGATCCCCCTGTGACTTCCATGGGCTGCCCCCAAGTTTATTGTTTGCCTTTTCTTTTCATTCATTCATAGTCATAGTATATGTCATAATATCATATTATCTCATTAAATCATTGACAAAAATCTTATCTCACAGCAGGAAAAACGGCAACTGTGACAAGCAGTTACAAAGTTCAAACCTACAGGACAAGGACAAGTCTACACCTTACAAACCTAAACCTGCTTACTCCTGCAGACAAACCCGCTCCCACTGCAAAGTTCAAACAGTGAAAATATGAAATCTCTTTGGGTTACAAAAATAAAACTGATTGAAAATCAAAAGGATCTGTCTCTACAAAGCTGGATATAGGTTACATCAGGCTCAAAAACACCTCTCTGCAAAGTTACGATTCATTTGTTGAAAACATAGTTAATTTAGCATCAACCTCAGAGCATGAGATCCAAGCATATAGTATATAGTGGAAAGTGCTTGTGCAAAACTTGGTGGTTTTGGGAGCCCGAGCTCCTTGCTTTGTAAGGGATATTGCCGGGGGGATGTCCGCGGATCCTCTGGGTATGGCTGAAAATTACTTGGCCCAGTTTGGAGTGGGTGTCTGCATCAAGCCAAGCCAATCCAAACCATATTGCACTTATACAGATATACAGATCGTCGCCATTCGGAGTCCATGGAAACGACCCCTGGCGCCAGAGGTCGTTTTAACTGCCATGCATGGAAGTGCGCCACTCGTCTTCGGAACCCGTCTTGGGGGGAATTCGTCTTCGGAATTCGTCTTCGGGAAATTCGTCTTCGGGGGGGAATTCGTCTTCGGGAATTCGTCTTCGGAATTCGTCTTCGGGGGGGAATTCGTCTGCGGGGAATTCGTCTTCGGGGGGAATTCGTCTTCGGGGAGGAATTCGTCTGCGGGGAATTCGTCTTCGGAATTCGTCTTCGGGGGGGAATTCGTCTTCGGGGGGCAATTCGTCTTCGGGGAATTCGTCTTCGGAATTCGTCTTCGGGGGGGAATTCGTCTTCGGGGGGAATTCGTCTTCGGGGAATTCGTCTTCGCAGTTCGTCTTCGGGGGGGAATTCGTCTTCGGGGGGCAATTCGTCTTCGGGGAATTCGTCGATTGTGGGGGGAATTCGTCTTCGGGGGGAATTCGTTTCGGGGAATTCGTCTTCGGAATTCGTCTTCGCGTCTTCGGGTGGCATGATCCTCTAAGGGGAATTCGTCTTCGGAATTCGTCTTCGTCTTCGGGTGGTAAAGTGCTACGCCCCCAGCGGCCACAATGTATAAACGCCATAACTTGGGAGTATACACTATTTTTTGACAAACCCAAGTGAGCCGTCTTTGAAACCCTTGTTGATTGATGATTAAATTATATGGGTTTATATATACTACCCAATATATGTGGGATTATAACCATCCATGAGCTGGGAAATCCGCTCAAAAAAACCAACCGTTGTGTCAAGGCACTGCCCTTGAAGCGGCGAACTTTGAACACTGCGAAAATCTGTGACTGGCTATTAAAAGCCGTTACCCTCAAGTAATTTAACATAGCTATTGAAAATGACCATTTATAGTGGATTTACCCATGAAAAATGGTGATTTTCCATAGTTATGTAAACGTTTACCAGAGGGTACTATTTCTATAGATCCTTTCCCATTGGCCAATTGAATCTGCCCGGATAGCCTGGCCTTGACATCCTGGTTGAGAACGAGAGTTCCAAGTTTCCCCGGATCCCTAGGGTTGAACTCCTCAAAAAACTGAGTCTGAAATCCCCATCATCGACCAACCATAATCCATATGATCTATGAAAAACACAGGATATCCTATCAAAAACCACCATGTTTGTTGCTTCAACATGGTTAAATCAAGTGAAATTCCTCTATTTCATCAACCACCCGGGCGTCTCGTTTCGCACGTTCCAAGTCACCGTAGCGATGGGCTTCTGTGTCCCCGGAGGTAAAGCGGGGATCAATGCTCCAGTCGTCACCACCTCAGCGATGATCAAATGCTTATCAGTCTAGTTAGATAGGTTGGGTTTTTGCTAGATAAGTTGGATATATCTACCATAAACTATCCATGTTTAAGTTAGATAAGTTATGAACTATGGTAACTATGGATGTTTATGGATGTTGATGGATGTTTATAGATGTTCATGGATGTTTATGGTGGATATTATATCCGCGCATAATCTTAGATACCTGTCAAAAAAAAAAAAACGATTTGTTTAGCTGGTAGACAATGATGAATTTTACCATTGATAGCAGATTGAAGTAATAGTTCGTATCTAACCAAGGTTGACCATGATTAACCGGATTAACCCAGTCAATTGGAAAACGAGACGAAACACCAAGGAAATTGCAGGAAACTGGTCGGTCATTTATACACAAAAGGAAAACAAGGTTAAAAGGGTGTAACAAGCCAAAATGATCCCAAATTGGGATCTGGTGGTTTGTTCCAGAAAAACATTTCTGGTCGAGACACTGACTTTTTTTAGGGAAATTTGCGCAGTTTTCACCCGCAAGAATCACCTACCCTCCATGAAAAAACATTTCGAATCAATCCCGGGAGGGAAACAATCACGAGCGCAAGTTCAAGTGGTAGTCCCACTGGGAAACGCTTGAAATATATTGAAATCCCTATGGGTGGACATCCGGTGATGAGGGATCCACAAATTTTTGCGGATCATCCCAAATGTGTGGTTTATTGTCGTTTACTATTGGGCACAGCCCTATTGACATGAAATGAAATGAAATGAAATGATTTACAATAGGCCCCAAATGTTTCATAGCACATCAACCACAAATACTAAGGTGATTTATTGAGCCTGCAGATCCCTGAAACAAGCACATTTGTAGCCATCTGGAAGCTAGAAGAAAAAGACTCGGACCAGCACACGTACAATGTGAGGCCCCCAAGATAGCTAAGTTGGTGAACATAACTCCAATAACTATGGTTTATGGTATTTATAACTATAGTTACTGGGGCTTATAAACCAACTTATATCTTGGGGGCCTCACATTGTATGAATATTGGTAAAAGAAAGGTCATGATGAATCGCTTTCTGTAGACAAAAGTATGATTGTATCAATTGTATCCCAAAAATAAATAGAAGCGCTGCCATATAGTACTTTTAGATGGATTTTTCTATCTGATTGGGCGTCACTAGACACACAATCAATACTCAAAACGGACAAATTATAGAGACCTGAAATCATTTTCATTACTGGGCTGGGGCAGATAAAGTTCCTAACATCAGCATTTTCTCCAAGAAGTGCCCTATCATTCACCATGAGTTTTACCGCACCCGGATCCCTTTTGGATCGGTATCCAAGTGGCTGTGACCGATGTAGACTCCCATGTGTTTGCCTCTGACGTTCTTCCTCTGTAGACCCGAACTGTACAAGGCCTGGACGAAAAACCCTCCATTCATCATGGCGGTGGTGACGTCAGTGACAACTCCAATTTTTCGGCTTTGTCATCGATATCTAAGGGGCTTCCCAGCTTCAGTGCAGAGTTTCATACTTTCTCAGAAGTCCAGAGCAAACCCATGGTGTTTTCCCGTCCAAATCAACCAGCTTCCTCGAAACAAACTTGAAACTTCCCGAGATTCATATTTCAGCCATATTTCAGTCATGGATTTTGGCATATCATATCTTCATTAAGAAATTTATATCATCTTCCAAGAAATCATCTGAATCCTTCCCATCCTTCCCATCCTTCCCATCCTTCCCATCCTTCCCATCCTTCCCATCCTTCCCATCCTTCCCATCCTTCCCATCCTTCCCATCCTTCCCATCCTTCCCATCCTTCCCATCCTTCCCATCCTTCCACCATTTCCCACCTCATAGCTACGTTCCAGGAGCTGTTTGCTGGCAGGCGCCAACAGCCAGGCTTCACCTGTCGTAGCTCTCTATCGTGGAAGCTTCGTTGTTGTCAGAAAATACGCAATTTGTATTATATATATATGGGTGTATATATAATATGTTTTTTTTTTTTTGGCTGCTGAGATCTTTCTCGTGCCGGCTCCATGCACACACCTGTCAGAGTTAAACAGGTTGATAATCCGGCATCATGGTTCCATCAACGGTCATGGAACTGTGCCAGATGAATTCCCTATATATATATGGGTGTATATATAATATGTATATATATATATATTTATATTATATTATATATGGGCGTTTAAGATGAAATTTAAGGATCTAACATTATTTACTGTAACTACAAGTGAAATTTATAGTCGATGTTTGATAGCTAGGTTGGGAACTTTCCTGGATAAATACAACCATCAAGAATGGTGATATCAATATTCACCATTAAGAACCATCATGATGTTTAAATGACCAATACATTAACCATTCTGTAAGAACCATTCATGATGTTCCAAATGAGCAATAGCTTGATAGCCGATGGAGACGTGTCTCACGTCAAGAAAATGTCAGCAGGCTCCGAAAAAGGAGGGTACCCCATTCCACTGATATTTTTCATGTTCAGTGATTTTCTGGTTGGTGGTTTCAACCTACCCCTCTGAAAAATATGAGTTCGTCAGTTGGGATGATGACATTCCCAATATATGGAAAGTCATAATCCATTCATGTTCCAAACCACCAACCAGATCATGATGTTCCAAATCAGCGCTTGATAGCCATAGCTTCGTGCATTTTCCCCAGATAACCAGGTAGCCGATGGAGATGTGACTTCACGGTCAAGAAAAAAACCAAGCGTTGTCCGAAAAAGGAGGGCTACCCCATTCCACTGAATTTCTTCATCAGCGATTTTCCGTAACTGAGGAGTTTGTTGCCCAGTTTTCCCACATATGGGTATGGGTCAAAATTAGGTACCCCAATAATTAGATGGTTAATACTAAACTAGACATTTCCATCTGTGGTCCCCTAATTAGGTCTTCCATTTTGACCCACATCCATCTCACGATGTCCTGATCTCACCATAGATGACCTCCGCTCCAACAGCTCCGGACCTTCGGGGACGTTGAAGAACTCATTGTCAAAGGAGTGAATGTCCTGCGGGAGATCCGATGATGACAGACATGGCGTAGAAACGATGGACCATTCGAATGGTGTCTGTTGAAGCAGCCCAAAAACAAACTGGTTGGTGGTTGACCTACCCCTCTGAAAAATGATGGACTTCGTCAGTTGGGATGATTATTCCCAATCTATGGAAAAATAATCCAAATGTTCCAAACCACCAACCAGAAAAGTATACATATTGCAATTGGGACTTGTCCAACTGGATATTCCAAAAAATGAAGGATAAGTCCAATATATGCCAATATATTGCTGTTATTATCAGATATTATTATTGTCATCAACTATTATTACTGTTGCTGTTGTTATTTTTGTGTAATGTGTATACTATATCATAGACTATATCTATATCTGTTGGTTTCGTGCTGCCAACAAAAAAAACGCTGGCACTGCTGCCTGACCAACAGCTGTCACCGGGGGTTGCCAAACAGCATGGAAGCATCGGCACGACTTGCCTCTGCACGTTGGTTCCTGAATATGGTGTGATAATCCTCACCATAGTTACAGTATAAACTAGCCTGGCTTCATTTGAATCTTTGGCGTTCTATTCATTTTAAGTATTCCACGAAGACAATCAACATATTCCCGAACATGAGTTGATAATTTGGGCGTGTTAAAGTCCAATTTCTGCGGGGAAAACAAAAACTAGAAAATTCTAGTAGGTGAAATCCCATATATGATATGTTTCCCATGTTTCTTGGATAAACTCAGCAATCCTTTCCCAAAGATACCCGTTCTTTTCTGCCAGCTCCTTGCAGAAGCCACCATGCACAGTGTATGTCCAGCCAGGAGCCCAGTTGTCCTCAGCAGAAGCATGCGACTAGTCCTGAAAAGGTTCATCCTAATAATGGAAAATAGCGGTTAATAGTGCTTAATAGTGATTCACAATGGTTGATTGAATCACTATTAACCACTATTAAAGATGATGGTAATCAGGGACATCATGGGACTAGAATGGATGTATCATCGGAATAAATCCCGATAATGTGGTATACCCAATGCCAATTCCCAATATCGCTATATTCTTGGGTATATCATGGTATATTGGCATAATGTGGGTAAAAGAATACTAAACCATCCCCCAGGAAAATCACCATTTTTATATATAGGTGCTATGGTTACCATTCCCAGGAAAATGGGTGGTAAAAATGACATTGTTTTACCAACATGTTCATGGATATCAAAGGGACATAGTCTTTTAACACTTGCTAATGGGATAATGATCTTTGATAGTGGTCCATTACTACAAATCACCATTTTTATAGCTAGGATTTGTTTCACCATTCCCAAATGGGTACCCTCTGGTAAACTAACATAGCTATGGAAGCCATGGCCCATTGAAATCGTGAATTTTCCCATGAAAAATGCTGGATCTTTCCATTTCGTGATGTAAGTTCGTTTACCATTTCGGGTAGTTTATGACATTGTTTTACCTAGAAAAAATGGCATAAACAGACCCAGCATGTGGGTCGTAATGGAATCATTCGATGGGATGCTGTGGGCTGTGCCGCTGTCCGAAACATGAATGAAACGGGTCATTTCTCCACTAGTCCCAGTTGGAGAAACTCACCATGATTGTTCAGATATATTTGATAAGTATATTATATTATGTAATTACATAATGTATTATATTATGTTAAGTTATATATATATATATATCATTGTACATCATATATATATAATTGTGTATATATATATACACGAGTATATATGTCAACCACTTGGAAATTGAGATAGTCATGATATGTCATGATGATGAACCAGTGCATGGTTTTTTGTGGGGTCCCGAGCCATCACGAGGGCCACTTGTCAAGCCATGAAAGTTACCCTCTGGTTATTAACCATAGCCATGGAAGCCATGGCCCTAATCGAAATCGATGGTAAAAACCGAACTTAAAAATGTAGTTTTGGCTTCCATGGCTTCCATGTAACAGTCATAACCAGATGAAACAATATCCCCCGTCCGATGAAATACTCCAAAAGTTGATAGCGGCTTTTCTAGGATGGCTTTTCTAGGTACAACATCTCAGAAACCGTTGTTTTTGTGTGCCACCAGGATGGTCTTCAACTTTTCTCTACCGGGCAAAAACATGGCAGCTCTGTCACATCACCTGTCCGTTTACCCAAAAGGCTTAGGACTCATAATCCGAAAAATGAAAAGGCAGAACTCCCACCAACAAAAGGCGAATTTTTTGATCAGCGAATGTGAGTGAAAAACCACGGTTTTGTTGTATTCCCATATGCTCCATGTATATTTACCTACATTTGGGCCATTTGTGGGGTAAATGTAGGTAAATATTCCATACATGGAGCATATGGGATTGGCAAGCATCTCCGGTTCGGGTGTACAAATCAATGTCGAAGCGTTCGATCGGCGCTTTCACGTAACCTGAAAAACAAGCTGCAAATGCTGTGGCTGGTGAAAAAAACTTTGAAACGGAAATGACCTGTATTCCCTTGAGATTTTGGCAAAACTTCATGTCAACCCCGGATTACAGAATAGATCAAAATAGTTGATTCAGAAGGGGAGTATTCATGGCAATTTTACATGGTATCTGTGGGTTTACCACCGATCAACCATTCCCAACAAGAGTGCCAGAAACCATCGGTGCCCGCCGCAATGCCGCACCTTGGTGCTCATCAAAAAATGCTGAGCCACAATGTGTTTCACATATGGATCTAGCCATACTTTGATATATATTTTTTGATACCCTCTGGTCAGATCATCTGAGAATATCAAACGGTCTGGCAATGGACAATCCGCTGGAATTTTGGGAGTTTTTGTTGGCTGAAGAAACATCAATAAATCGGACATTCTCCAGCAAAGCATGTTTGATTACTCTAGAGGGTAAGCAGCAAAAAGCTGCAAACATGACGAACATTCGGTGGATTTAGCCATATTTCATTGGGAAAATGATGATCAATGGATGGAATGGGGGTACTAATATATACGTAGGAATCGTAGGGAGTGGAAATGGGATACCCCAAAAAAAATAGTGCGGAGATCATGGATATGACTGTACTGCAATGGGATATATTCTGTATACATTAATTCACCAAACTGAAAAGTTCGGTAAATAGTGCTTACCACTACTTGCCATAATCTATGGTGACTTCGCAGTGAGGTCTTCATAATTCATCCATGTATGTCTAATGTCGTAGGGTTGGAGTTCAGGGTTTAAGTTTACACCGCATGTTTAACAGAACAAACAAACAATATGTTGCCCTCGGAAAAATTGAATTGACAAGCTCAAGGTGCGCATATTCCAATCCTGGTCTGGTCAATCACCACTGTGTTGGTCCAATCCCCATGTTCGACCCCTTTTCTGGGCTATGTCGTCATGTTTCTTGCTTCAATCAACCCCTCCTCGGACAAAAGCACCTTTCTTCTCCAAAAAAAGAAAGTTTCAATCACAAAATCTGTGGTGAAAAAGCAACATAAACACCACATATTTAAGTTCCAGTGCCAAGTATATGGTGAACACCATATTTTGGGTGAATCATGGTATTTTTTCAGTATTTCATCATGACCAAAATCTGGTATTCACCATTATATCAACCATTGGCCAGTTACAAACCATTTACTTACCATTTACTTACCATTTACTTCCCATAAACCATAGTTATCAAACAATTAACCATATATGAATATGTATATCAAACATCTGGTTGCGCCAAGTCACCAGTAGTTTTGCAGATGATCCTGCGCCGCCGCCGGCAACGACACGCCCACCCCGAAGACGCAGATGCGGCGACCCTCGGGGGTGTTGGGCCCAGCCATCAAACCAAAGGCCTCATCCTTGGACTTCTGGTCTCCTGCGAGAAAAAACCCTGGAAAACTGATATCCTCTGGTAATGACTAACATAGCGAACTGGAAAATCACCATGTTTAATCGGAAAATCAACTATTTCTATGGCCATCTATAAATGGATGATTGGATGATATCCTCTGGTAAACATACAATTTTAGCTAGTGAAGCCACGGCCCAGTCGAAATAGTTGATTTGCCATTAAAAATTGTGAAATTCCATACTTAAACATGGGGATGATGGACAATGATGGATGGTGAATTATAGAGGCTATAATGAGGATATAATGAAAAAAATCCTGTGGATGGAAGAAATCCTGCACCAGTTGGGAACTATGAAAGGTACCTATGAAACACTGCAAATAATGGGATTAGAATGGGAAAAAACCATCCATCTACCAACTGGTGCAGGAGTTCTTCACCGTATGATGGGAATAGATGGGATAGAATGGTTATGGATATGAGGATATCATGAGGATATCATGAAATACTGATGATATAATGGAATTTCATAGTTTTATAATGGGAGATTCACATCTGCCATCTCGGGGAGTGCAACTACTTTGGGACAATGGGTAAATATTTTTATCAAGCCCTATTAATGTGAGGCCCCCGTTAGATAGCTAAGTTGGGGTTCACATAACTCCAATAACTATGGTTTATGATATCTATAATACTATAACTATAGTTACTGGGGCGAATCTACCAACAAACATATCTTGGGGGCCTCACATTGTATTAATGTGGCCATGACCATCGGGGATTTTTTTATGGGACCCATGGGTTCTTCATGGTTTTCAGTGGCTGGTTCACTCAACGGGATTCCCAACCAAACCTGGGGCCTTGAGTCGGATGGGCTTAACTGACAGATTCGCCAGAGCACGGGGGGTAGCACAAAAACAATGGGTCAACCAAGAAGATAAGGTGTTCACCGCTTGAACTAATCAGTGTAACATAGTGTAACTAACCAAAAGCCAAGCCGTAAACTGCGTGTTCGCACACAAAATTCGGATCAAACCTGAGGATAAATCGGCAAAATCCAGGGCCAGATGGAGATGATACCAAGAAAAGTTCTTCAAGCAACCAGTTGAGAGACAAACAATGGGGGCTCCTCGTCCGATCCATTAAAAGCCCATTGATGCTTTCACCAGGCTACCCATGGTGGTGTCCGCCCAATGTTTGTTGCTTTGTGTATGACCCCCCATGAACTACATGTATCTATATGTATCGTACACATGAAATTAAACCCATTCGTGACATTGGAGTTCTTAAACTTCCAACTTAGCTGACATAAATCAAGTATAATTATAAATCACCATCTTTCTTAGATAAATCCCCATTTTTGCGCGTTAAATCCTGATCTATAGCTGGGGCACCACCCTGTAGTCGTCTTCTGTAAGTTTCGCCCCTTCACCAGCGCCTTCCGTCATGGCAATCTGAAACTGCGCCGGCGCTGTGAGCACCCAGCCTTGAAGCACCTAGTTCGCAACGTTTTGTTTCACGGCTGAAGCCCGAGAAATGGGGACTTCATCGGCTCAAAATTGGTGATTTCATCGGCGAAAAATGGTGATTTCACCATCAAATCATCAAGACTGCGGAGAAAAAAAAACAGCAAAATCCATTAAAACCATTGAACATGGGCATGAACCACCATACACGTAAAAAAAAAGATCTGTCATGGGATAGGAATCATGAAATTCAACAGAGGAATCATGATTTTTTAGTCCACCACTAGGATCTGAAGCCGCAACCATGGGAATATCTGTTTCTTCGTTTTTGCCATGGAATAAATGATAGATCAGGGCCCGGCGATGTCGAAAAAAAAACATTCTTTGGGAGCCACCTATGATCGTTTTCGGAGCGATATTTGCGGAGATAAAAATGTGGAGTTTGGGGGCCGCCATAGATTCTTCCGGGAAAAACAATTCTAAGGCTGAGAAGAATGACATTTTGGGTATACATAGAAAAGATGATGTATGAATTTTGGGTATATGTATAATATGACTATGATGAAAATAGAAAATAAAAAATCAGACTTACCGTCCGGTCATCAAACGTGACAACGGCAAATCGCTTAATTAGAAATGTAGGCTTTAATGGGAAGATTCTCCACATTACTTGGTTTGACTCTTGGAGAGAAAGACCTGAATTTAAATTGCTTTGTTTCTCTGAAATAGTTGGTTTTCCCAGCTACAAATGGTGATTTTCCATAGTTTTTTGTATGTTTACCCTCTGGTAAACAAACATAGCTATTGAAAATGGCCATAGAAATAGTGGATTTACCCATTAAAAATGGTGATTTTCTATAGCTATGTTAGTTTACCAGAGGGTACCCCGAAATCCAAAGAATCGATCACGAGGTTCCCTGAATAAAATGGCACTTGGAGGGCCTAAATCCCCCATTACCAGACACTTGGCCGCCCAAGTGGCGCTTCAGAATTTCCGAAAACGTTAATGTGACAAAGAATGACAAAGCTGCTAGTTCACACCAGGTGGTGCCCCCACAGGTTATAAGTTGGTTTAGAACCACCATTACCCTCTGGTAATTTAACATAACTATGTAAAATCACCATTTATATAGTGAATTTTCCCATGAAAAATGGTGATGTTCCATAGTTAAACATCCATTCACTAGTTCCATATATCCATCATCAACCCATTCGTGAACATTTTCCGTGGCACCTGGCATCTAACATTTATGAGCCCAAGCCACAAGGTCATCTTCCGAGTCGGGTCGATACGCATAGCTAATTCGATCATGACCTCAGAGGAAAGCCGGAAAAAAATCCCCATAGATCAATGGCCATTTTATAGGAACCGATTTATTGGAGGTACCTACCATTATTTTAGGTCTATGTAAGGCCTATGTAAGGGAATATCCTCACAACATATGGCCTTATATGGTACAGTACCTCCATTTTAGGATCCTGAAATTCCCATTGAATAGATTCCATTGGTGTCCAGAAAATGGGGGGACCTAATGGCTGGATGGTTGATTTCGATGGAAAATCCGAAAGGAAAATGGATGATGACTGGGGGTACACCCATTGTAGGAAACCAACCATTTTGTTCAATACAACCCGTCTATTGATCTTCTTCCGGTAAAAAACATGTGGAAAAACCAACGAACGTATGCAATGCAAGGTGGATCTAGGTTTTCACCCAGTTTCGTAGCCAGAGAAGCCCCTCCTCTAGTTGTTTTCAAAGCAGTTTATACATGTTTATACAAATATCAAGTCACTTGCCGATCATCATATCATCCCAATTGTACTGCTTCTTCAAAACACCAAAAAAAACAATTGGGGATGGGTCAAAACCCTATCCCTCTAGTGAACATCAAAATAGCTGGTAAATGGATGTTCATCCCACTAAAAATGGTATCTATAGGTATTGACCCCTAGCCAATTCTTGAAAAAAACAAACGAAACAAACGCGAAGAAACTCCATGTTCACCGAGCGGCGGAAGACCACCAAACGCCCAGCTTCAGCGCTCAAGGTGATCTGATCGCCATCCTGCCATGGTTGGTAAAATGGTTGGTAAAATCCCACCCGAAACAGAGCCATTTCATAGGGATTTTTTGGGAAATCGTCATTGTTAATGGGTAAACCAGCATGTCAATCATCTATTTCTAAGTGCTATGGTTACCATAGCTATGTTAAGCAACCAGCCAGTTCATCATATGGTATCATATGGACTATTGCGCTAGAGTAAACTAACATAGCTATGGGAAATGGCCCAACTATAGGTGATTTGCATATTGCAATGGTGATTTGCATAGCTTTTTGTGTGTTGACCAGAGGGTCATGGATAGAATATGATCGAATGGGGATTTCATGGGGAATATCTGATTAGGATTGGGATTCACCATCCAAGTTGGTATATTTTTGGAGGACGACTAAGCCAACTCTACCGGTAGAATATGGGATATAGTGGGATATAACCAACAGAGATATCATATGCACATGCCCAAAAATAGTGGATGCCACCTTTTTTGTTGCGATTTCACACACTATATGGCGGGTGTTTCCACGGAAAACACAGCCATTTACTAGGGAATGTCAATTCCAAACAAAAGGGGATTTAAGTGGTTTAACCAACTATGTTAGGATATAATGGGATATACAAAGAGAGATATACAGTGTAAATATATATATATATGTATATATACAAACGTAGATATAATTGGGGGTTAACCAACTACAATGGGGATATCATGGGGATATCGCCAACTATATCTGGGCAAATTATAATATTTCACTAACCTGAATTAAGGCCATTTGGGGATGATTTCCCTTACTAACCATGATTTCCAGTGAGGTCGTAGTGAGGTCGTTATAATTTACCCAGACTATATGATCTATGGCGTTCTTCAAGAATGAGGAATTCTCCATGGATTGCATCCACAATAACGAAGGCGCATCTTAGCCTGGTAGCAAGTAGTTCACAAGCCAACAAGAAAATGTTGCCAGAAAGGTTGCCATTTGATGTGTCCACAGGACTGTCCACATGATGTCATTGACCCTGAAAAAAAAATGGCGATTCTGAGATTCTTTGTTAATTGATCATGTTGATCATGTTGATCTGCGCAAAAATAAACCATGGTCGCTCCTTGGGATACAAGGAAAGCTCTCCGCCGCTTCCATCAACCATCAGAAACCTCGGCGCTTTTTCCAACTTTTGGGCAAAGAATCGCCTCGCTTAGTAAGGGAGGTACAGAAAAATCAGAAAAGCACTGGAATATACTGGAATGTTCTTAGCGGTCCGGAGAAGCCCCAATTTTTTTCAGTGCCTGGACATGGCCAAATGTTGTAGATCTGCTACTCTTGTGGTGAATGTCCAGCCACGTCTTGGAAAAATCTACTAGCGAGGAAAAATATGTGTGTTGGATCACAACTGGTATGACCAAAAAAATGAAGCCCCCAAACTCGTGACATCTCGATTCTCGATGAGGTAACTTTCAGAACTCCTTCGGGAATTGGATGGGTTTCAGTCTCTTCTTTCAAACCATTAACATGCCTGCTAAGATAGATAGATATGATGTGTGTATACATATATATATATATATATAGTATGTAATAAGTTAAGTATAAACATTATCAACATTCCTCTCCTACATCCCTGGTTCCCTGGCGCTCAACTACCTGCTCACTGTTTTTTTGTGAGTTCCCAGCACCAGGAAGTTCCACACCGCTGGCTGAAAATGGGGGATTCACCCCGCGGACTTGCCATATAAAGGTGAAATCCAAAAAATGGACTCATCCAGTTCTAGAGGGATCAATTTGAGCCATTCAAAATCTCTCAAAAATCAAAAAAAATGCAAAAACGTCAGGAATATCTCAAGTACCTAACTTAGAGGTGCTCCTTCATGATCTAAGGCAGGGAATATCCCCACAGGATGCGAATACGGCATGTTTTTGATGTAGAGTAATTACCTCCTTTCAAATGGCTCGTGAAAATCCCAAATTGGCCGGTTGAGAACGGGACTTCCCTACTGGATTATGATAAAACCAAATCGAATTAATAGGCATTAGAATCCCGAAACTAATCATACTAATCATCAACCAACCCGGCTATCGTCTGGGGTTTAGCTATAGGTTTTGCTAGGCTTAGCTGCTATGCAGTCCGCCATTGGAGTCAACTGGGTCAACCAGGCTTCATGGTAGGCATAACTGTAGTTCGATTGGATTATCAACAAGCACAGTTTTAGCCCATAGCAGTTCCGACTGGCTTATGGCCTCATTGTAATCCCATTTATAACTGTGAAGGGCCATAACTGATGTAATAGAACTGATGTACTATATATTATATTATATACATATATATACATATATATATATACATATGCATATACATTTACCCATAGCAATAGAACTGAACCAACTGATCCCAAATAAATCTGTCAAAGGCCCTCTTTATGCACCATAAAATCAGGGGTACCAATTAAGTATCATATGACATCACTATTTGGAAGGTACCTTCCTAATTAATAAACCATGGTCTATTAATCCAGGGTTGACATTAAAGGCCATAACTGAATCGTCCAGAATTATCCATTAGTATCCATTAGTATCCCATTATCCTATTAATTAATATCCCATTACTATTGCTAAATGGACCATTAACATCCCATTTTAAATGTACTATCCAAAAAACAATTCTAGTATCCCTATAATATATATATAATTACGTATGTATATATCCCATTGATAGTCCCGTTCATATCTGCAAATATTATCTGATTGGTGGTTTCAACCACTCTGAAAAATAATAGTCAGTTGGGATTTCCCAGTATATGGAAAAATAAAAATGTTCCAAACCATCAACCAGATATTTGTTTTAACTGCAATAGTCCCTAATAGTCCCATTAATATCAAAAAATACGCCATTTTCGACCATGGTGTTACTACTGTTATCATGTGGTTAAAACAATTTCATAAACCATCCCCCAGTCATCACCCTAGATAGGTGGTATGGTTACCATTCCCATATCCTTGGGTAGTTGACTAATGGGTTAACTGGTTATGACGAATATGACCAATATATTAGTGAAATGTTATCATGTGGTTAAAACAATGCCATAAACCATACCCTAGATAACATTTCACCCAGTCATGGGTAGTTGATGGCATTGAAACTTAACCACATTAGTCCCGTATCCTTGGAACGTCCAAGGCGCATGCAGAGTTTCCTCCTTCGCAGATAGTCGACGTGTTCGTCCACCAAGCCCTTGGCAATGTCTTCGTCTGTCACCGCTTCGGCGGGACCCACCTGCTGGCAACTGAAACATGACCATTTTCTGGAAAACATGAGATAAATATTTGGGAAGATGTTGGAAACACATGGGATTCATATGGGATTTTTATATCCGGGAAACAACTCTAGATGCTTGATTATTGGGTTTATGGTTTACTTCAGGGATGACTATAGATAATCAATGATAATCATCTATACAGTTTTAAACTAATAGTTCGGATATGTTGACCATCACCTGAGATGCATAAATCCTACATAGACACATGTACACTTAAAGTTGACTCTATATATACTGTAATATGTATAATATGTCTGATATGTATAATATGTATATATATAATATGTATAATATGTATGATATGTATGTGTGTAATATGTATATATATATATACGGGGCGGGCTACAGTTATAACTTTATCATATGTGAAACTGTGGTGCCTACCCCTCTGATGTTAAGCTGGGGGATCCCCAATAGTTGGATGGTTTATTTCGTGGAAAAACCCAAGATAAAATGGATGATTAAAAGAGGGGTACCCTCTGGTAAGCTAGCAGTTAATGGGATTATTAATGGGATAATTAACAATGGTATATGGAAAGTAACAGTAATAGTCAATTAATGGGATACCCTCTGGGAAACAAACATAGCTATTGAAAATGGCCATTGAAATAGTTGATTTACCCATAAAACATGGTGATTTCCTATTAAAAATGGTGGATCTGTCCATATAAATCACCATTTTCCGATGGTTTTCCCATAGTTTTCCCATTAAAAAATGTGATTTTCCATAGTTATGTAAACGTTTACCAAAAGAGATATCCCCATTTTAGGAAACCTCCACATGGCACTGCAACAGAGCCCGTGTTTGGTGACTCATCTCGCCCTTCTGAGTTTTATATCCCACTTTTTGATGAATTGTCTCCCCATTGTCTGGCAAGATATCTCCCAATTTTTCTAAGAGTTTCTCCAAACATGTAATGTATATATAATTCAAAATATATTACACTTTATATGTTGTCAAAAATTATGACATGTTATAATGCCAGATTGTATAAAATGACAATTTGGGTCCCAAAAAACGGATGATATCTATAGAAACATACATAATTATATAACTATATACAGATACACACAATGAGCGTACCCCCAAATCATCCAAAATTAGACTATTTTAGTATTGAAACAACCATGGTGACGTGGCTTTCCTACAGTTGTTTTTTTTTCCTGAGATGTGGATGTTTCATGATGTTTCCCCATTTTGCCAGGAAATTATAACTTCCTGAAGTTACTGGTTGGTGGTATACCTACCCCTCCTGAAATAACCATCTTTAATAGGTAAATCCACTATAAATAGGCAATGTTCAATGGCTATGCTAAATCACCAGAAGTTGAACTTAACCATCTTTAATAGATTTTGTTCCATCATTTCCTATTGAACCATGTTTGCCATTTCCTACAATGTAGTTCAATTTTACCAACTTAACCATCATTTCCCTACAATTTCCAGATTTTGTTGGTTCATCCATATTCATCCCCAACTCACCGATCACCTCCTGCGCGCTGCTTGGCACACGTAGCATGCCGCTGCTGCGGCTGTGCGGCACAAAGTCCAACGCAAAAGGCGCCACGGGCAGCAGGAACCTCCAGCATTTCACCAATGAGCGATGAAAAAAAGGGAAAACATATGGAAACATATGGAAAAATTGAGAAACATATGAAAAACATAGGGATAGCAAGGGGATATTGACCATTATATATATGTATATTGGGAAAATAAACCATATAGTGGTCATTGACCATTCTTCAAGGACTTTAACCTATATAATCCTATATATATATACTATATATATATATATACATACGCGTTATGTGTAGCTAATAATATGTTGATACTGGGATAAGATATTATTAGTGTAACCGTTGTTGATGTTTAAATCAAGTTTTACCAAGCATCACATTCCGAGGAGATCACTTGATTTTAACATCAATAATGGTGATATAATGGTCATATAATGGGAAGAATATGGAGATATCAACCTTAGATTAAAAAAGGGTGTGAGTGAATAATCTGGTATGGATAACTCCGCGGTGATCCGTATTATGGGTCGGAAGTGTTTGCGTAAGGTTCCTGATCCGTACCTGGTCATAGGACCAGCAGCAGATAGCAGCAGTCTTTTCTTAACAAAAGTGTATGGATCACGGGTATGGATCATGCAGTATCATAAGGTATGAATCAAGGCATGCATCGGGAAAATGGATCGTGTGGCCTGGGGCCTTGATCCATACGTTACATAGCTTGTATCCTGAGATGTACTCATATATGTGGGCGAGTTCAATTTGATGGGGATATAGTGTGTATATATATATACATACATACATACATACATACATACATACATACATACATACATACATACATACATACATACATACATACATACATACATACACTACACACATGACATACATACATACATACATACATACATACAACATACATACATACATACATACATACATACATACATACATACATACATACATACATACATACATACATACATACATACATACATACATACATACATACATACATACATACATACATACATACATACATACATACATACATACATCATACATACATACATACATACATACATACATACATACATACATACATACATACATACATACATACATACATACATACATACATACATACATACATACATACATACATACATACATACATACATACATACATACATACATACATACAACCATACATACAACCATACATGCAACCATACATGCAACCATACATGCAACCATACATGCAACCATACATGCAACCATACATGCAACCATACATGCAACCATACATGCAACCATACATGCAACCATACATGCAACCATACATACATACATATCATACCATCATACATTACATACATTACATACATACATAACATACATAATACATACATACATACATACATACATACATACATACATACATACATACATACTACATACATTACATACATACATACATTACATACATACATACATACATACATACATACATACATACATACATACATACATACATACATTACATACATTACATACATTACATACATTACATACATTACATACATTACATACATTACATACATTACATACATTACATACATTACATACAACATACATACATACATACATACATACATACATACATACATACATACATACATACATACATACATACATACATACATACATACATACATACATACATACATACATACATACATACATACATACATACATACATACATACATACATTACATACATACATACATACCCCATTGTTTTTCAGTTTAAGCCAGGAAGAACTGAGAAATGCGGGTATAAAACATATAAAACCCAGCAAAATGGGATGTTTTGTTCTGATGTAATGGCGACACAATGGGTATACAAAATGGGGATATACCATGCGGCAAATTTTCACAACACGATATGGAAATCCCTCAGGTTTTCCCTTCGAACTTTTCCATAGCTATATCAAGTTACTGGAGGCCGCAAACCATAAGAAATGGAGATAACTATCTCCAATATGAAATATTGTTGCTTGTATATCCCCAGTATGAAAAAAACGATTATGTCTATTCATGGCCTATAAATCCATTAAATGTCCATGAAATGTCCCTGATTGGTTTGTACCCCATAAAAGTCATAGCCCACTTACCACGCCATAATCCAGTGGTTTATCATGATGTCCCCAGTTAAGATGACAACGTTTGTGGTAAGTTTTCACGTTTTCACACAGAACCGGTTTCCAAACGTGGGGTCAAACATATGTTAAATGAAAAACTGGTCGATGTTATTCTTATGTTTCTTGTTTTACCCAGGTCGATGTCAAACGCGGCAATTTTTCACCCCCAAACGATAGAGGGTGTTTTCATCTTTCTTCCCATTTCAACATCCATAGGGTTTCCAGTATTTCGAGCCAGCCAAATGGGGATTTCCGCTAGATCCCCATAGAAGGTACCATTTCTTGCAACAAAAGCCTGATCTTTAGCAAGTCGCTGCGTGAATCTGGCCAAGTACAAGTCCAAGGGATCGATAGGGCTGTCCTTGAGCTCGTGGTTTTTTTTCTTCGGTGCTCGTTGATGTGGCCACCCATTCTGTATGTCTATATTGGATTATATTGGGTGAATCCAAACTAATAAATTTAGCAAAATAATTAGTTTAAATCCCAATTACCATTTACTAAATCACCATTTACTAAATTTAGTAAATGGCTAAATCCCAAAGTAAAGTTGGGAGTACCCCCAAGAACTGTGGGTTCTGGGCCGCGAAGCTTGCAAAAGTCAAAGCTAGATGAGTTGTCCTCAAATGTCGAATCATCAAAAACCATCAAACAAAAACAGATATTGATATTCATCATGGCTACGGAAGATGGTTTTTGTTTGATGATTATCATATTGATATTTGATGGTCTTGGAAGATGGTATATCATTTGATAATCATCAAAAACATCAAACAATTCATCAGATCAGAAATCGGATGTCATCAAAGATCAGAAATCGAATTTCATCAAAGTTACGGAAGGGCAACTGATAAACAACCAAGAACTTCGACTACGAGTTGCGACTGGATTTCAGGGAGTTCACGTCGAATTTCATCCATCCCAAAAGACTAACTGGCTAGTGGTTTCAACCTAACCCTCTGAAAAATATGAGTCAGTTGGGATTATGACATTCCCAATTAATATGGAAAAATCCATGAAAATCCATGAACATCATTAAAATCGATTAAAATCCATTAAACCACTATAATCCATGAAATTCCCAACTGAATGGAAAGTCATAATCCATTCATGTTCCAAACCACCAACCAGCTAATTGCTAAGATTATTCAGTAAATTCATCGAATGGTTTACAGTAATCACTTTTCACATGGAAAATCGATGTTTTTACGTCCTCAAACATCTGGCTGCCAGGTGTCCATTTCCTCCTTCTCTTCGACCATCTCCTCTAGCCATGCAGTCTTGCACTTCCTCGGCGGGTTGGGATGCGCTGACTAGATATCAACTTTGAATAACTTTGATGATGATTTTCGCCAATAGTTGGATGTAGTTCGATGTAGTTGGATGTAGTTCAGGGACGCAACGCTGGATTCTAAGCCTGGAATGGCAGGAAATGAGCCTGACACATCCAGTCTATTGCTTCAACGCCCCAACAGACGTAATTCTTTTAACAAGTTACCCCCCGGTAATCAAACATGGCTGGCAAATCCCCTATAAATGGTCATTTAAAAAGAAATCCATCTATAAATAGGGCATTTTCATGCATTTTCATTGAAATGTTTGATTACCCGAGGGAGGTAGTTGCAGTTTCCGCATCTTTTAGAACCCTTTTTTTGGGCGACTGGCTCGCGACTCTTCGTGTTTGTCAAGTATGTGAAGGGTATGGCATTAATCCTGATGAATCATGATAAATCCATATACCCTCTGGTTATGTAACATAGCCATGGAAAATGGTCCATTTATAGATGGTTTATCTATTAAAAACGGTGATTTCCATGGCTATGTTAAATAACCAGATGGTATTCCAATTCAACAATCTAGTACATCGAAACACAGTTCATGTCACCATCAACCAACCTGTATTTGAGGACAAAAAATCCCACGTTTGGTTGCTGCATTCTGAAGATCCCAATTTGTGCTCAGAGAGAACCACCAGTTTCGCTAAAATGACCATGTTTCATGATGAAAATCGATCCGTTTTCTGGTGAACCATGTCCCCAGTAGCATTTAAATCTGTTCCGTTCCTGTCAAAAAAACATATTTTCTCTAGAGATCCCATATTTGATGTTTTCATGTCATTTTTCCGTTTTCATCCTGAACAATGTGCATCAAAGTGGCCAAAAATCGGGGTATATTTCCCCAGATAGCTGGCAAGCTATAGGGGTTCTTACTTCTCAAAGGTGGGGTCTTCGGTGGCGAACTTTTGGCCAAGGTGCTGTGCAGGGTGCTGTCCAGACTGCGGTGGCAGGGTGTTGTGCAGGGTGCTGTGCAGGGTGCTGTGCAGGGTGCTGTACAGATTGCGGTGGCGAAGTCTGGCAAAGGTGCTGTGCAGGGTGCTCTGCAGGGTGCTGTCCAGACTGCGGTGGCGAAGTCTGGCAAAGGTGCTGTGCAGGGTGCTGTGCAGGGTGCTGTACAGATTGCGGTGGCGAAGTCTGGCAAAGGTGCTGTGCAGGGTGCTGTGCAGGGTGCTGTGGAGGGTGCTGTGCAGGGTGGTGTGCAGGGTGCTGTCCAGACTGCGGTGGCGAAGTCTGGCAAAGGTGCTGTGCGGGTGCTGTGCAGGGTGCTGTGCAGGGTGCTGCTGTCCAGACTGCGGTGGCGAAGTCTGGCAAAGGTGCTGTGCAGGGTGCTGTGCAGGGTAGACTGCGGTGGCGAAGTCTGGCAAAGGTGCTGTGCAAGGTGCTGTGCAGGGTGCTGTGCAGGGTGCTGTGCAGGGTGCTGTGCAGGGTGCTGTGCGGGGTGCTGACTGCGGTGGAAGTCTGGCAAAGGTGCTGTGCAGGGTGCTGTGCAGGGTGCTGTGCAGGGTGCTGTCCAGACTGCGGTGGCAGGGTGTTGTGCAGGGTGCTGTGCAGGGTGTTGTCCAGAGTGCGGTGGCCAAGTCTGGCAAAGGTGCTGTGCAGGGTGCTGTGCAGCTGTGCAGGCTGTCCAGACTGCGGTGGCGAAGTCTGGCAAAGGTGCTGTGCTGCTGTGCAGGGTGCTCTGCAGGGTGTTGTCCAGAGTCCGGTGGTGAAGTCTGGCAAAGGTGCTGTGCAGGGTGCTGTGCAGGGTGCTCTGCTTGGTGTTGTCCAGAGTGCGGTGGGGAAGTCTGGCAAAGGTGCTGTGCAGGGTGCTGTGCAGGGTGCTGTGCAGGGTGCTGTACTAGTGCGGTGGCAAGTCTGGCAAAGGTGCTGTGCAGGGTGCTGTGCAGGGTGCTGTCCAGACTGCGGTGGCGAAGTCTGGCAAAAGGTGCTGTGCAGGGTGCTGTGCAGGGTGCTGTGCAGGGTGCTGTGCAAGGGGGCTGTGCAGGGTGCTGTGCAGGGGGCTGTGCAGGGTGCTGTGCAGGGTGTTGTCCAGACTGCGGTGGCGAAGTCTGGCAAAGGGTGCTGTGCAGGGTGCTGTGCAAGGTGCTGTGCAGGGTGCTGTGCAGGGTGCTGTCCAGACTGCAGTGGCGAAGTCTGGCAAAAGTGCTGTGCAGGGTGCTGTGCAGGGTGCTGTGCAGGGTGCTGTGCAGGGTGCTGTGCAGGGTGCTGTCCAGATTGCTGTGGCGAAGTCTGGCAAAGGTGCTGTGCAGGGTGCTGTGCACGCTGCTATCCAGACTGCGGTGGCGAAGTCTCGCAAAGGTGCTGTGCAGGGTGCTGTGAAGGGTGCTGTGAGAGGTGCTGTGCAGGGTGCTGTGCAGGGTGCTGTGCAGGGTGCTGTGCAGCGTGCTGCGCTTTGGTTCCCACGTTGGCAACCATCAGTTCCAACCTTTAGGAAACGGAAGTTCTTTGCAATGGTAACCTATGGTTCCCAGGTTGGGAAGCATGAATTCCAACCTCTGGTAACCGGCAGTTGCTTGCAATGGTAACCTCTGGTTGCCAGGTTGGGAACCATGACTTCTAACCTGTGGGAACCGGCAGTTCCTTGCAATGGTAACCTTTGGTTCCCACGTTGGCAACCGTGAGTTTCAACCTTTGGGAACTGGCAGTTCCTTGCCATGAACCAAACGCAAACATTCCGGTACCGGTCCATTAAGCAAAACAAAGCGTTCTGTACCGGTCCATTAAGCAAAACCATAAAATTGTAAAGAAACTGTTTTCATATCATTTTAACATGCACCTTTTTGGTGCAAAAACATTTTTATGCCGGCCCAACAGCCAAACGCAAACATTCCGCTACCGGTCCATTAAGCAAAACAAAAGGTTCTGTTACCGGCTCAGTAAGCAAAACAAAACAACATTAAGAACCATGAGTTCTAACTTTTTGGAATCAACAGATCCTTCCACTGGTAATGTATGCTTTTTCAGGTTTGGAACCATGAGTTTCAAGCTTTCGCAACCGGCAATTCCTTACAATGATAGTTGCTTAGCTTCGAAAGCATAAATTCTAACTTCTGGGAACCGGCAATTCCTTGCAATGGTAACCTCTGGTTCCCAGGTTGGGAACCGTAAGTTTCAAGGTCTGGGAACCGGCAGTTCCTTGCCATGGTAACCTTTGGGACCATCAGTCCCAACCTTTAGGAAACGGAAGTTCTTTGCAATGGTAACCTATGGTTCCCAGGTTGGGAAGCATGAGTTCCAACCTCTGGTAACCGGCAGTTGCTTGCAATGGTAACCTGTGGTTCCCACGTTGGCAACCGTGAGTTCCAACCTTTGGAAACCGGCAGTTCCTGGCCATGAACCAAACGCAAACATTCCGGTACCGGTCCATTAAGCAAAACAAAGCGTTCTGTACCGGTCCATTAAGCAAAACCATAAAGTTGTAAAGCAACTGTTTTCATATCATTTTGACATGCACCTTTTTGGTGCAAAAACATTTTTATGCCGGCCCAACAGCCAAATGCAAACATTCCGCTACCGGTCCATTAAGCAAAACAAAAGGTTCTGTTACCGGCTCAGTAAACAAAACAAAACAACATTAAGAACCATGAGTTCGAACTTTTTGCAATCAACAGATCCTTCCACTGGTAACGTTACTTTTTCAGGCTTGGAACCATGAGTTTCAAGCTTTGGGAACCCGCAGTTCCTTAAAAAGCCGCTTAGCTTCGAAAACATAAATTCTAACTTCTGGGAGCCGGCAATTCCTTGCAATGGTAACCTCTGGTTCTGAGGTTGGGAACCGTAAGTTTCAAGGTCTGGGAACCGGCAGTTCCTTGCCATGGTAACCTTTGGTTCCCACGTTGGGAACCATCAGTTCCAAGCTTTAGGAACTGGAAGTTCTTTGCAATGGTAACCTGTGGTTCCCAGGTGGGAACCGGCAGTTGCTTGCAATGGTAACCTTTGGTTCCCAGGTTGGGAACCAGGAGTTCCAACCTCTGGGAACCGGCAGTTCCTTGCAATGGTAACCTTTGGTTCCCACGTTGGCAACAGTGAGTTCCAAGCTTTGGGAACCGGCAGTTCCTTGCCATGAACCAAACGCAAACATTCCGGTACCGGTCCATTAAGCCTAAGCAAAACAAAGCGTTCTTTACCGGTCCATTAAGCAAAACCATAAAGTTGTAAAGAAACTGTTTTCATATCATTTTGACATGCACCTTTTTCATGCAAAAACATTTTTATTCCGGCCCAACAGCCAAATGCAAACATTCCGCTACCGGTCCATTAAGCAAAACAAAAGGTTCTGTTACCGGCTCAGTAAGCAAAACAAAACAACATTAAGAACCATGAGTTCTAACTTTTTGGAATCAACAGATCCTTCCACTGGTAACGTATGCTTTTTCAGGTTTGGAACCATGAGGTTCAAGCTTTCGCAACCGGCAATTCCTTACAATGATAGTTGTTTAGCTTCGAAAACATAAATTCTAACTTCTGGGAACCGGCAATTCCTTGCAATGGTAACCTCTGGTTCCCAGGTTGGGAACCGTAAGTTTCAAGGTCTGGGAACTGGCAGTTCCTTGCCATGGTAACCTTTGGTTCCCACGTTGGGAACCATCAGTTCCAACCTTTAGGAATTGGAAGTTCTTTGTAATGGTAACCTATGGTTCCCAGGTTGGGAAGCATGAGTTCCAACCGCTGGGAACCGGCAGTTGCTTGCAATTGTAACCTATGGTTCCCAGGTTGGGAAGCATGAGTTCCAACCTCTGGTAACCGGCAGTTTCTTGCAATGGTAACCCATGGTTCCCAGGTTGGGAACAGTGAGTTCCAACCTTTGGGAACCGGCAGTTCCTTGCCATGAACCAAACGCAAACATTCCGGTACCGGTCCATTAAGCAAAACAAAGCGTTCTTTACCGGTCCATTAAGCAAAACCATAAAGTTGCAAATCAACAGATCCTTCCACTGGTAACGTATGCTTTTTCAGGTTTGGAGCCATGAGTTTCAAACTTTGGGAATCCGCAGTTCCTTACAATGATAGCCGCTTAGCTTCGAAAACATAAATTCTAACTTCTGGGAACCGGCAATTCCTTGCAATGGTAACCTCTGGTTCCCAGGTTGGGAACCGTAAGTTTCAAGGTCTGGGAACCGGCAGTTCCTTGCCATGGTAACCTTTGGTTCCCACATTGGGAACCATCAGTTCCAATCTTTAGGAACTGGAAGTTCTTTGCAATGGTAACCTGTGGTTCCCAGGTGGTAACCTTTGGTTCCCAGTTTGGGAACCAGGAGTTCCAACCTCTGGGAACCGGCAGTTCCTTGCAATGGTAACCTTTGGTTCCCACGTTGGCAACCGTGAGTTCCAACCTTTGGGAACTGGCAGTTCCTTGCCATGAACCAAACGCAAACTTTCCGGTACCGGTCCATTAAGCAAAACAAAGCGTTCTGTACCGGTCCATTAAGCAAAACCATAAAATTGTAAAGAAACTGTTTTCATATCATTTTGACATGCACCTTTTTCGTGCAAAAACATTTTTATGCCGGCCCAACAGCCAAACGCAAACATTCCGCTACCGGTACATTAAGCAAAACAAAAGGTTCTGTTACCGGCTCAGCAAACAAAACAAAACAACATTAAGAACCATGAGTTCTAACTTTTTGCAATCAACAGATCCTTCCACTGGTAACGTATGTTTTTTCAGGTTTGGAACCATGATGTTTAAACTTTGGGAACCCGCAGTTCCTTGCAATGATAGTTGCTTAGTTTCGAAAACATAAATTCTAACTTCTGGGAACCGGCAATTCCTTGCAATGGTAACCTCTGGTTCCCAGGTTGGGAACCGTAAGTTTCAAGGTCTGGGAACCGGCAGTTCCTTGCCATGGTAACCTTGGTTCCCACGTTGGGAACTGAACCATCAGTTCCAACCTTTTCTATCTGGGGTCTATGCCGGTGTAATTTTTTATCCCCCGGAATTGTTGGATCATGGATTTTGCCAGTTCCCCCAACCTAGCGTTTAAATCGGGGTGTCCAATTCATTTCCAAAAAAGTGTCCCTGAAGAATCAAGATTTTGGCCAGTTGAATAAAGCCTCGTTTTCCCCTGCCCATTCGAGGAAATCAAATCATTACAGTTTCCCAATGCCATGGATTCATTTTCCATGATTTCTTACTGTTTCCACAACCCCTGGTGCTTGTATCTCTTACCCTCTGGTAAACGTTTACATAGCTATGGAAAATCACCATTTTCAGTGGGTAAATCCACTATTTCTATGGCCATGTTCAATAGCAATACATTAAAAATTACCAGAGGGTACTGATTTCCCAGGCCCCCTGTTTGGAGTCGCGATCATCTTCCAAGTCTCTGATGTCTTCCCAGGTAGGCGGGCTCGAATTCGCGCCGGAGCCGCTTCCAACGATACCTGCGGGATGATGCCATGGGACGAGATGTTTTGGGATGGCAAGAAGTGGTTTACCCTCTGAAAATGGGAAAACCATAGGAAAACCATGGGAAAATGGTGATTTAAACACTATAAATGGTGATTTTATGGTGGTTTAATGGTGATCTAATGGGATGTTACCCTCTGGTAATGACTAACAAAAAGCTATTGAAAATGGCCATAGAAATAGTAGATTTACCCACTGTAAATGGTGGATCTTTCCATAGCTTTTTGTAAACGTTTACCAGAGGGTAGTGCTTTGGTGGATCTCAAAATGAGATGGTTACACGGTTACAAGCTGCGGTATAAAAAGAACATCGCACATGAACAACTGCACAAGCTGCGGTATAACGCGCAGAGCACATGAACTATACATAACCCTTATGGCATCGCCGATGTGCGAAGCCCTACAATATAAGGTATGCTCCATGGTGCTGGAATATTTACCACCATTTACCCCATTTTTATGGCCCAGTTTTGTAGGTAAATATACTATACATCGAGCATATGGTTACTAAATTATTGAATATTCTGTGCGATCTGCATGCTGGGGAAAAATCGCCAGACAAAATATGACCAAATCTCACATGGATCCAATCGGGTTTTTTTCGGATCCTGAAAAAAGGGATGTGCCTTCCAAGAATCGAAAAAACATGGATACTCTCCGGTTTCAAACATCGAAATGGATAGAAATGGGATGCAATGGGAAATTTTCGAGGACGTTTGATGGTCCCGAGCTCCAGTTCTTCATGGCCATACTTCGTTTTTCATGCATAGTTCATGGAAAAAAAGAACAGCAAACCATTGGGATATGTGGAACATGCGTGGCCATACTGTGGCGAAATCCCACCATGGAATCTCCAGAGTTCTCCAAAATCTTCCAGGCGCCACTGGGGATGTCATCCCATCTCTAGAAACATCACTTTCACGGTGAATGCACTGGAGTTCAGCCAACAAAAATATACATTTTTGACCCACCATGGAGTTGTTGTCCATGAGTGAATAGCATCAACTACTTCGCAAAAAAAAACACGTGAACTATCCAGAAGTATCCCATAGATCCATAGTATCCGTAAACATATCATCAAGTACCCAAAGATATACCAGAATATCCACAAGAACATCATCAATTATCCCAAGAATCCCCCCAAAAAAATGAAATAACAAAAAAAATACTACAAACACATGAAATATCAAAAATAAAAGAATCCCTCCAAAATCTCCCCGAAAAAGAATCCTGTGCCGCACCTGCCACATTTCACCTCCACAGCCGCGTCTAGGGCCACGTCCTCCCCTCAGTTGCAGCAATTTACTTTGGGGGGTTATATTCTTTATACACAACATCGTATGATCGTATGATAATACATTATCAGAAACTATATCTGAGTAGGACTTTCCCACATTCTATCTTTTCGGTGATTGCCATATATCTATATATGTGTACAGTACATATTGTATATTTAGATCAAACGAATAATGCATTATCTATATGTATTGTCTGTAAAATATAATGTATCTTGATATCTGCATGAAAAGAAAAGATCAAAAAGCGAGGCTATCCGCTTTTTTGTAACAAAGAAAAGATGAAGAAGCTGGATGTTGAGAACATCTTGGAAAATGGATTATTGTTAATGGAAGCTTCGGGGTAATCCATCAAAACCAGGTTCATCTCTAGTGACGTGGCTGAATATTGTGACCTACATCTCTCCGCATATCTTCGTTTTGTTGATTAAATCAACAGAAAGGGACGCTCTCAGTCCCCACGTTTACACATGTCTGGATGGATGAGGTAAAGATAAATATAAAGAAAAAAAATCAGTAAAACAATGCTACATATATGGAATTTGTACAAATGAATATATCATGTTACTAAAAAAATGATTGAAGGACACCTGGCCATAACCTAATTTCCAAATCTCACAGGAAAGAAGGAGCCACACAGAAAACAACCGATTTTTTATATTTTTTTTCGGTTGTTTTCTGACCCCCCCTCCCCTCCCCTAGATGGGCTATCTTGGCTATCTTGGTGGCTCTAGGTGGCTCTCTGGGCCATCTTGTCTGCTACAGCCTCATATGGTATTCTTATGGGACTTCCACTGGGTTCTTATGGGATTTCTATGGTATGTCTATGATATTTCTATGGAATTCCTATGAGATGTCTGAGGGAAATCTATGGTATTCTTATGGGATTTCTTTGTGGTTCCTATGCTATTTCCATGTTATCTATGATATTTCTATGGGGATTTCTGTGGGATTTTCCATGATATGTCTATGATATTTCTATGGGGTTCCTATGGGATTTAAACAGGATTTCTATGGTACTTCTATGATATGTTCAGAGGATTTCTTTGGGAATTCTATGGGATTTCCATGAGGTGTCTTGAGAATGTCTATGGTAGTTCTATGATATTTTCTATGGGACTTCTATTGGATTCCTGTGGGGTTCCATGGTAGTTCTATGATATTTCTTTGGGACTACTATTGGATTTCTATGGGATGCCCATTGTATTTCTATGGGATTCCTATGGGGGTTCAAAAGGATGCCTGTGGGATTTACATTGGAATCCTATGGGATTTCCATGATGTTTCTATGATATTTCTAGGGGATTTCTATGGGATTTCTGAAGGGATGCTATGAGAATTCTATGGTATTCTCATGGGAGTCCCATTGGATTACTATGGGGGTTCTAAGGTGTCTTTGTGATGTTTCTATGGGATTTCTTTGGGATTACTATGGGGTTCCTATGGCATTCCTATGGGAGTTCCATGATGTTTCTATACTTCTATGGGATCACTATGGGATTCCTGAGGGAATTCTATGGGATTCTTTAGGGAATTCTATGGGATTCTTTTAGGATTTCTTTGTGGGATTCCTGTGCTATTCCATGTTAATTCTATGATCTTTATATGGGATTTCTGTGAGATTCCTGAAGGATTTCTATGATATTTCCATGGGATTCCTATGGGGTGCCAATTGAAAGGAAGTTGAAACCATTTCAAAATAAATTCAAACTAAAGTGAAAAAACAACATCCAAACATTTTTTTCAAGGGGGTAGTCCATGAGCAAGAGATGAATCAAGACCAAAGGTTTCCCAAAAAAGATGAACTTCAGCCAACCAACAAAATCCATGAATGACAATGATCTTCAATAGTATGTTTGTTGTGGTGGTCCTCTATTGTGTCCAGCTTTTTTTTTGGCAGTAAACAGTTTCCAAAATCATGTTCTCCTTCCCTTTTCCTTTGCTAATACGTTTCTCTTTTTTACTTTCTTAGCTCATTCTTTTGGAATTCTCAAAATGTCTAAATGAAAAGTTTTTTCCTAAGGGTGAGCTTCAGCCAGCCAAGGGATTTCCATGGGATGTCTATGAAATTTATTTTGGATTTCTTTGATATTTCTATGGTATGCCTATTGGATTTCTATGGTATTCCTATGGAATTTCCATGATGTTTCTATGATATTTCTGGAGCAATTCTATGGGATTTCTGAAGGAATACTATGGAAATTCTATGGTATTCTTATGGGACTTCCAATGGATTCCTATGGGATTTCTATGGTGTTTCTATGATGTTTCTGTGATATCTCTATGGAATTTCTATGGGATGCCTGAGGGAAATCTATGGTATTCTTATGGGATTTCTTTGTGGTTCCTATGCTATTTCCATGTTATATCTATGATATTTCTATGGGGATTTCTGTGGGATTTTCCATGATATGTCTATGATATTTCTATGGGGTTCCTATGGGATTTAAACAGGATTTCTATGGTACTTCTATGATATGTTCAGAGGATTTCTTTGGGAATTCTATGGGATTTCCATGAGGTGTCTTGAGAATGTCTATGGTAGTTCTATGATATTTCTATGGGACTTCTATTTGGTTCCTGTGGGATTCCATTGGTATTGTTTAATATGATGTTTCTTTGAGACTAGGACTAGAAACTTAATGAGTGATAAATAACCAGAAAAAATAGTAAAAAGCAGCTAAAAATCACGTAAAAACTGGGGACCCACAGCGTCCCACACTCTAAATCAATGAGATCCAGCCCTTTTCTTGTTGTCAAACCCCAGTTGCGCACTATCTTTCTTAATGAACTATATATATATATATACTCACCCTATGTCTATATATATATATATATCATACATATGTCTAGATGTATATACGTATAATTATATATACTATATTCTTGGTGTCAAACCGCAGTTTCCATCTCGATGACCGTCTCCGATGGGCGTCCCGGACTCAGTGGAAGTTGGATCACACAGAAGCCATCCTTCGCCAAGGCGTCCACTGCAGTAGCAGTGAACTGAGCCAGGGACTCCATGCTGCCTGGATGTCTGGTTGTTGGTGGTGCAATAACCATCTTGAAAAATAGTCAATGGGAAGGATGACATTCCATATATGAAAAATATTCAATTCATGTTTGAAACCACCAACCAGATGTCTACAAATCTATCCTGATTTAGCCCGTGAATATCAATGCATCATTGAAAAGGTATGAAAAACATATCAGACGTTTCACTGAGTTCTTACTGACTTAACTTAACATGATTTATACCCGATGAATCAAGATTGAGGTGTGTCCAGACATGGAAAATTGGCCAACCTCCATCAACAAAAGGGGTGTGATTCACCCGCACATCCAGTGTCACAGTGTCTGCGTGTCTGTGTCAACTCATAGGGGGTTTCCCTTAAATGTTAAAGGATAGATTGCCGTAAAAAAATGGTGAGTTTACTGTTTACCATAGTAAAAACCCTTTGGTAAACCAACATAGCGAACTGGGAAAAACACCATGTAGAAGAGACGTAAATCAATTGTACATGTGCCAAATAGCAAAACAATGCAAAACATTACAAATTACCATAGTTTACCCATCCAAAAAGGTCCCTCTCCCAGGTTTACCATCTGACATCGGCAGTGAGCCTCGCCTTCGGGAGGCCAGGCCACGTGAAAGCCGCCCCTCTCTGGGTGTTGTGGGGTGAACTCCTGCCACTGTTTTTGCAAAACTCGGCTGGGAAATCTCTGATTTTCTGAGATCAAACAAGTTTGAATCATAGTTTATCATATAGTTTATATATCGTAGTTTATCACAGTTGATTTAGTTTTCAAATGATTTACCATCTGGAAATCAAATATTGCGATGGAACATCCACCACTGATAGGGAATGGTCCCATGAAGACCTTCGTACTTCGGGGATTTCCCAGCCATGTTTGATGACTGAAGGTATTATTCATGATCCTTTAGGCTCGCCCTTTGGGCTCCCAGGGAGTTGATCGAAATCTGTTTCAGAAATGCTTCGGAAAATGATGTTCCCCTCCAAATGATCATGGTTGGTCCATGTCGATCCAAAAAATGGGACTCCATGATACATCCGGGATGGTCCAAAAAGGACCCAAAAGCCTGAACCACAATGGTTTACCCTCTGGTAAACGTTTACATAGCTATGGAAAATCACCATTTTTTATGGGTAAATCCACTATTAAATGGCCATTTTCAATAGCTATTTTGACATAACCAGAGGGTAAAACGGTTTCTCCGTTGGGGCCACCAGTAGGTGGCAAATCCCAAGTTCTCCTTCAAGTTCTCGGGCGCCACCAGCACTCGGAGACCTGCTTCCCACCAGCTTCACAACTGCGAAAAAAACAATGACAAACGCCCGGCCCAATTTCGCCCAATTTTTTTTGCATTTGGTGGCTGTTCTATCATGTTCTAACCAGATAGCAAAATAGAAAGTTGGGGATTTGTCTAAAAATTGTTGGGTTTACCACATAAGTTAGCTCACTTTGCTCAATGTTCGACACCGAACAACTGCAAGATCTGCAAGTGTGTTTGGGCTGCAGGCATGCTTAGGCTTTTCTGCTATGGAGCTACTACTGGTATGGACTTTGCACTTTCCACAACTTTCCAATTCTCCCTCAGCATGGACATTTGTGTTCATGAATCTTCTAAGAGAGCTGCTGCCCCATGTTCAACCCCAACCTAGAATTTGAATCTGTGCTTCTTTACTCATTTTCAATATACCCCGAAGAGATCAGGTTTCCCAGACATAGATCCAGATATGGTCTCACAATTCCCCTGCCATTGATACCATTTTTGAAGTTTCTGAACTTGCACTGAGTCCCAAAACTCGATAGAAGTGGCAAATCCTTGAAACCACCGTCACTCTTGGATCAACTATAGTTTACTAACCTCGAAGATGTTTTACAATTCCCATCATTCCAGTGACGGAAAACAACCTGGGGTCCTGCCAGATTTTTTTGCTTACAACCCCCCCACGGTGGACAGTGGACCCTTTTCATGCACAAGGAATTTGGCTCAAGGGTTCCTACCCAGTGTTTCGAAGCATAACCCCCTACTACCCTGAACAGCCCAAGAAAAATATTGCGGAATATTGCGGACATATCTTTTTGTTGAGCTGATGTCAATCCCGAATGAATAAACTGTGGTTGATTAACTGGGGTGCTTCGCTCCAATCGGTAGTTTCAAATAACTAAATCCAATTTAGACTATATGTTCGAATCACATTTTACTCTTCGACATCTTTTCCTGTGTTCCAAATTTGATCGTGTTTGAAAAGCACAAAATTTCCAGATGAACGGTACCCTCTGGTGAACTAACATAACTATATGGAAAATCACCATTTTTTATGGGTAAATCCACTATAAATGGTCATTTTCAATAGCTATGTAACAAATTACCAGAGGGTAAAATCCCACACCAAATCAAAGGGGATTTTTTAATGGGATCTCCACCTTTGAAAGTCTCCACCAGCACTCTGCCGTCTCTATGGTGTTGCACCACCTGACAGGGGAGTCTGGGGCGTTGGTGACCGTGGTCAAATGTGACAAGCAAAGCCAACTTAGACCACCAAATTTTGGGTCAAACTATGTCATATTGCGATCTATTCTGATCTATTTTAGAGAACAAAAACAATCTTATATATACCGCCTGTTTGGACACTTCGAGATGACGTTTTGGCTTGATGAGCCTTGGCGGCCCAGTAGACGATCTACATAAGCTAGGACGTGGATGGACATTGAGGTCATCGCAGCACCGTCAACATCCATCAAGAAAAATCACTAAAAGCACGGGCATTAACCGATAATCCATCTACCTGTCGGCGTCATTGTTCACCCCAAAAAACTGCTTCTCAAAGGTATGTCAGGGTCAACAACGGGCGGAAGACTTGGATGAGAACCCCAAGTTTAAACATGTTTTAACCACGTTGTTTGATGTTTAAAATTCCCCAAGTTCACCATGTTTGATGGTGAAATCCCTACCTTTCACGATGTGTGATGTTTAAGTCCCCTATTTTTAATGCAAAAAATGACAGTGCACTGGCTGTTTTAGGCCTTCCAAAAGGGGTCCACCAACCCCCAACCAACCAAGCCCTCCATCGCCACGCCTGCCCTCGCCAACCATTGACGCGTAGCCGGCTCTCTTTCAACTCCTCAGCCTCGTTGTCTTGGAGAATCTCCTGCAAGGAGTGCGCTGGATGCATGAAATATGGAAATCGCTGACATGGGGAATACTAATGGATACTAGTGGATATTCATGGATATATATATATATATACACAAAAGGGGGGACCAACAAGGAAACAACCGAGTTAAACTCCCCACCATCAAAATCAACAAGTGCAAACCCTTTTACGCTATGCACTTGAGCCATACCATCGGTAGGCGCTAATGAACCCTACCTAAACATGGCTACTACTACCCCATTAGGTTACCGCTTTTAACCTTGGGGTTATTTACATTGAAATGACTGTACAATCTATTAGAGTGTTGGTCAAATAGCTACAGCATGGAGTGAACTAATACTAGTATATACAGTGGTGGTATAGGGGTCGTAATATTTCTACTCCCCCCTACCCGGTCTAACGCTGGCAACTAGTATACAGGTTAGGGCGCTAGGTAGCAGCCCCTCCCCTGGGTTTAAGTTCACTACCTAAATCTACGCGGATGCCAAGCAAGCGCAGTGCCGGGGCCCACTTTTGGGGTGGCAACGCCTTCGTAAAAATGTCTGCAGCTTGACTGTCAGTCTGACAGTATTCAAGCTCGGCGGAATCGTCTCGAAAGACTTCGGAAAGGCCGGACAGATTTACTTTATGGGTGCGAGTGATATGCCTAAGCTTAGGGGAATAACCTTTACGTACTACCAGGATGGTAGCTTGGTTATCTTCTAAAACTCTAAGCGTCACTGTGCGCCCTAAGAGAAGCTCCCAGAGTTGCAGGGCCGGCAGGCCTTCTTGGTAAAGGGAATAAGCCAATGAAACCACCTCAGATTCTGTTGTAGAACGGGATGTGGATGTTTGGCGTTTGCTAACCCACGCAAGAGGGAAGAAGGAGTTAGGCCCATGTAGAACTAAATACCCACCGGATGTGGACTTTCCACTGAGACGATCACCGGCGAAACCTGCGTCAACGTATAAACGTAACTCAAGATCTTCGGGATTATCTTTGATGGTACCCACTAGACGGTATTGGGGTGTAGAGTCTATGTATTGGATGAGTCGTAACAACCTCTTATCGTCCCCCCTGGACCAAGACTGCACTTTAGTGGCTAAATCGTTGATGGGTTTTATTATGTCAGGTCTGGACAGCCGACCAAGCCAAAACGCCTTCATAAGAATGCGGCATGCATTGGGTGCCAGTTCACCTTTAGCCTCTTCATCTTCAACAGAGACAGAACCATCAGGTACAAAAGGAGTGGCAGCATGCTTCAAACTTTTGGTGTTGGTGATGGACTTGTAAAGGTCAACTGTTTGGTGTGCATAATCTAGCATGTCAAATACTAAGGCTTCTTGTGCGCGAAACGCAGCACATTCCTCGGAACCCTCGGTTTTGGGCAATGGCATTACTAGATGATTGCGACCTAAAATTCGGTATATTGGTTCAGGTGGCTCAATATCCACAACGGATGTCAGCTTTGCCCAGAAGGCATCATGTTGGTCAGTGGGACCAGCAAGCGTGAGATCATCTACATAGGTGGAAAGCAACAACTTAGTATCTGGGAAAAAGAAGTTACCGGGGTATTCAGGTACCTCTTGGCCACCTAGGTTGCGGATAATTTTCTTTAAGTGCTGCTCCCAAAGGCCACCGGCATCAGGATGACCATATAAGGCTTTAACTAGGAGGACTACAGGTTTAACAAACTTATCTCGCCAATGTTTTGGTCTCAGCTCAGGCGGGAGTTCTATCCAGGTCTTGTACTTTGAAGACAGGAGTGCTTGAACGTAAGCCTTTACAGCATCGGCTGCGGATGAGCTGTTACCTGGCAGGGAACCGTATGCCAAACAAGCATTCAAACCTTGGACCGAAGTCGGGTTTGCCCCTAGCTCCTGGTAGACCGCTGCAGCGCCATGTTCGTCCTTTGCGCAGTCGCCCCTGTAGACGATCCTGCCCTTCATCTTTTGCAGGTGCTGCGCAAGCTCGAAGAATTTAATGGACGCTATGGTCATGAGTTGCCCGAAATGAACGGACACTCCTGTGCGCTTGGCCTCAGCGCGTACATCTTCCTTTTCCCGAACGGAATCAAGTGACCACGTTCCCGCCTTGATGCGTCCATCGGCCTCGGCCTTAACAGCATCAAGGGCTTGGGGGTTGGATAACATCTCGGCCCTAGAAAGCAACTTAGTTACCATGGCTTGAACCTCTTTGGAGGGTTCATTGTTATCTTCATGTCCGAAGGCTTGTGACAACAAACGCTCATGGTCTAGAAGCTCCGACACTAAGCAGTTTACTGTTGGATCTGTTTCAATGGCAACTGCAAGATCCTCAAAACCAGCTAGTGGGGACACATGTTTAAGATGTTGTTCAACTTCGCGGTGCTCTTGGGGTTCGGTTGAAAGTGGAGCGCATGGCATTGCGGGAGCATGTTGTTGAGAACACTTAGCAGGGTACAGCGCTTGGGTAATCAAAAATGCCATCTCTGGGGGATACATAGCTGATCGCGCTGTTTCCGAACCTTCACACTTTTCATGTGGTTGTTCACAACTGCACTTTTTATCCTTAAAAACATCTACTATTCTTTGGGAAGTGGTTCGGACTCTCCAAGGCTTTTTGATGGGAACACCTTTCTTGGACTTAAGACCTACTGCACAACCATCGAAATCAACTTCCATAAACTCAGGGTGAGAATTAAAGAAAGCTACGACATCTGGTCTCTTCCAGCCAGTTGAGGGACGTGGCCATTCAAAAGAAACAGTGCCTCCTAGTTTCAAAACTAATTCTGCCCTTTTGGTAAAGCTTTTGAAAAGTCGTTTCGATTCTCGGAGTTGGAGCGCTAATCTTTTCATGTAAGCAGCTCCTCCCTTCCGTCTATTAATATACTGCCAAGGTGAACCAGACGTGCATGGTATGGACGACCAAAGGTTAGGTGGTGCAACTTTTGCGGCTTCACCTATTTGATAATCAAGTTGGGAACATTGATTCTCATCACTTAAGTCTATCCTTTCCTTGCATAACCCAATGTGATTTATGTTACATTGTTCACTGGTCAACCCAAGCTGTGAGTTGAGGGAACATGCAAACTCAAACAGTGTTGATCTTTCATTGGATCTCTGGCTTTTCTTCAAGGCACGTCGTTTACGACGGTTATTATTATTCTTAGGAGGCTGATTAACTGCGGGGCATGCAGGCACGGGCTGTGCACCGAACACTGGCAAGGAATCCCTACTTAGCTCAGCACGGCTGGGAGCGGTCTGTGGTAAAGTGGCAGCACCAGAGACGCTATAAGGAACAGCAATTGTGATTTCACCTTCATCATCAAATACGCTGTCCACCGGTGGTGGTTCCACGGGGGCATCCTCAAGCGCACTAGGAACTTCGCTCGGAGGTTCGACAACTACCGACTCTGATATGGGTTTTGACTTGGCTTCCAGCTCCTTTTCTTCATCAACTAGTTTCTGGAACCGTTTACGGCACTCTGCATTATGGTACCGAGTCTTATTCTTACACCCTGTACAACCGGGAGTCTCCTTAAACTTTATGATGCGGTCTAAGGTGATATAAACCGATCTAGGTTTGGGACCGGGTGTAGATGGGGAAGCTAAACCGCCGTCTGGTGGAAACGGAACATTTTGCAGGGCTATCTCAGGAAGTTTAACATCATCGGGATCATCCCCCCTGATCAAGGCCTGATGCTTCGAAAAACCAACGGGAAAATAGGCATCACCATCTGGAAGGTATAGTTCAGGCTCGGGTACATCGGAAACACATGAAGCACCTCTAGTTCGAAACTCTTGATAATCTAATATCCGAACAACATATCTATAACGAAAACCGGAATCGATTCGCCAACCAAGAAACAAACCAGGAGCCATGTTGGGTTCTAAGGTCCTTTTTGTTGGATGCTTCTTGCGATAATACACAAGTTGACCAAAACACAAACGCTTACCATCAAACTTTTCACGTGTAAGAGCTTCCCATTGGGTCTTTTCAGGGTCCGCAATTGAAGGTCTATCAAAAGTCATGGAAAGGCATGCGTATGGGTAACTATAAGTGTGATACTCATAAGGCAAACCAGATTGTAAATGAACAACCCTGCAACACTCTTTCTCTTCCCGGATGTCGCGCTCTAACAGAGCATTGTGCGGCCAACGGTTAGGAAGGGACGTCTCAGGAACGAAGCCGACCTGATGGGCAGCCTGCTCCAATTCCTGTGCTTCGTCCATTTTGATGAGAGTATGGGTTGCAAGTTCATTGCCTTTCAATCCCACGAAATGTCGAAAGTTCTTGGCATGTGATTCAACATCTCTCTTTGAAAGGGGATATGCTATTCGTGCACCGGAGTAAAGGTCCCTTACCACATGGTGTGTTTTAACCCCTCCTATCCCCGTTCCAAAATGCTCAGACCCTTTTGCAAGGATAACATCATCAGTGGCCAATTGCTCAAAAGGTTGTTTTGGTGGATCAATCTTATCATCGGACTTACCATCCTTAACGTGAGAGACCCGCATTGCAGTGTCCTTAGCAATATGGCATAATGGGCAATATGGATTTTTGGGGTAGTGAGTCAAAAGATGCTCTAAGCTAGTGGCTTCCTTTTTCAAGACTTCATCTTTGATAGGGATACCATCACCTAACTCAACAAGCAACTTATCATCTAAAGGGTGCGGTGGCGCGCTAGGAGCAGCACCTTCCGGTACACTTGCATGTGGGCTGCTGGATGCAGCTGCATCTTTTGGATCATCGGCCTCAGCAACTTCGTCAAGTCGTGCGACATCTTGGCCTGGAAAACTAGGTGAATATCCAGAATCCTCATCCGGCAAAGGATCAGCTGGGAGAGCTGTGGAAACTGGGGTTAACCTTTCTGCTGGAACAAAGTTACGCGGACTAAGTTGTTCATCGTATTGGGGAACATATTCGACAACACGTGAGGCACAAATCCTAGCATTGCGGGGAACCTTAAGTTTGCATCTATTGATGTTCTCAGGTGCAATTAGATATGGAACATTTTCTCGGGGATCCCAAACGAACATATAACCTTTATCCATAA